CAATGGTATCCTGATAATCATCATCATCATCATGTTTTATTGCATCACAGACAGGACAAATCTTTTTTTAGTGAACATCCTTTCAGTAAAAACATCTTCACATCATATCTTTCAATATGATATGCCAATGCTTGATAAATATATTTTTGTTTTTTGAGGTTGGTGGTATGCAGCATGTTTTTGCAGACTCTTTTATTGTTGGTTGTCCAACAGTCCCTTTGGGTGCTGCTCGATACTATATTTATGATCATCCTGATAATAGAAAGTCACCGCAATCAACTTACTGTGAGTGTTTTTTATCGGGATCTGCAATAACATTGTATGCTGTCCAGGGCAACAATAAGAAATGCCCAATTGCGCGGGGCAAGTAAAATTCCACGTCAGGCTAGTGAATCCAGAAAGTCGCAAGCCTGATTGCACGAGTAGTAAAAGAGAATTAAACCCATCATTTTGTGTGGAGCTGATGATGGAGGTAGCTGAGAAGTGAGTCATCACACTTCCCTCTTCTCTCTGTTGAGAGCTGCAAATGTGCAGTAGCGATCGTGCACTCACAAGAAAATGGTGGTAGATAAAGACAAAGATGAGCTGAAGCACAAGAGAGTATTTAAATTATTCTGGAAACAGGAGTTTGATTGGGTAATGTTAGAGGATGTGGGCAAAACAAAGATTAAAAATCACAATTGACTTTAGTCTTTGTTGAGATTTAATAACTCATCATTCATTCATTTTCTGTAACCACTTATCCTGTTGGGGGTCGTGGGGGGGCTGGAGCCTATCCCAGCTGACAATGGGTGAGAGGCAGGGTTCACCCTGGACAGGTCACCAGACTATCACAGGGCTGACACATAGAGACAGTCAACCATTCACACTCACATTCACACCTACGGACAATTCAGTCACCAATTAACCTGCATGTCTTTGGACTGTGGGAGGAAGCTGGAGCACCCGGAGAAAACCCACCCTGACACAGGGAGAACATGCAAACAATTTGTATAGGGGCTGGTAAAGACTGACTTTGGGCAAAAGATTTCTGATCTGCTTGGCAAAAAAACCCCATTAATGTTAAACCTCACTGTCCCATCCTGAGATCCAATATAAGTTTAGACGTTATGTTCTGTGTCCACGCATCTCATCTTCACATGGTAGCATACAGCACCTTCTATTACCGCGGCACAGTAACATTAGAATATCAGATATATGAAATATGAAATAAAGAAACAGTAATTGCTGTAGGTACTGCAGTTCCTGCTTGTGAAGGCTGTGGGAAATTCCTAACCAGTTCATTTTACAGTACACCTCATTTGATTAATACAAAGAGATTATAATTGAAGAGATCCACGTGGCAGGCACAGCAGCAGGAGCAACTGGCAAAGGGTCACGCAATCAGGCCTTTTTTTTTCTTAAGATCTTTGATTTTTCTGTGAGTATGAAACGCAGCTCCACAGCTCGATAACGTGAAGTGTAGGCATGTACGAAGTGAAGCAGGGTAGCTGAAGTTGACACGAAAGGGTCCACATTTATCACCCTGAAGCTGTCACACACACACAAACTAAGCATTAACTGCCAGGGGTTCGATAATCCAGAAATGACAACACACACACAAACACCAGTGGGCATGAAATGTCAGGGGTCAACACATTTAGGAGTGTGACTGTGTGTTTTGTCAAAATGCATTTACAAGTTGTATACAAGTGTACTGAGAAAGGGGAAATGTTAATTTGCTGTTGTTGAAATGGTGTTTGGTCCTGAGGGACGTTGTTGGCTGTGTTGCCCTGTTGTGTTAATTAGAAGGTTAGAGGAGGTCTGGATACTTTATACCTTGTGTATGTGACACTATTATAGGGGTCAAGGTCAGGAATGTGAGATGGGGTGAAGAGGCAGAGAGGGTGGGTGTCAAACAGTCCATACCTGTCACAGCTCAACCCCTGACCTTTCTGACACCCACCCGCATCCTCCTCCGCTAAACCTCCTGGCATGGCACTCTGCTCTAAAGCCTGAGGCTGCAGATGCAGGGAGGGGCAGAGGATGGCTCTGCTCAAGTGTTATTCCAAGTGTTTTTGCCACGAGCTTGTCAATCTGTTTCATGTCTTAGTACGCCACTGGAATCCTGCGCTGTTCTGCTCAGCGTGCCATCACGATATTTCATGCTCCTTGCAAACAATACGTAGGTGCTGGACATATTTCAAGAGTGTGTGTTTAGACTGGCAGGACACAGTTGGAGAGACAGGCCTGAAATTAAGCACAGCCGTGCCAGGACAGGCCCCGTCTTCCAAGATCACGCTGTCTGTTTCTCACTGGGTTTGTTTCCGGAGGATTCTTCTCACCATCGCTCGGTTACTGGCATCAAGTCAGTGTGAGATACCATAGTGGATGGCATCACAACAATCGGGCTAGATTAGAATTAGGTAAAGGTTTGTTATTTTCCAATGAAATTAAGTTCAACATTTTTTTTTAAAGGTTTCAGTTTTTCCAGCAATAAAGAAACCCTTATTTTTGACAGTACTGAACTTCAGTGTGTTTTTAGTACTGGCTAATTGAAATGTTCATGAGGTACTGCAGGTTGGCATGATATGCTTTTGTCTGACAAGTTATCATATTGGCACCTTGTGTTTCCCCGAAGGTTGACAGCTCTGGCCTGACAGATGGGATAGGGGGTGTTCTTACACAACTCAACACTCACTCTTCCACCTATCGCCACACCAAGTTCTGCTCTCAAATCTAACACTTCAAAGTTACATGAACCCCTCTTCACATCACCATGAATTAAATCCACCACACAGCATTTATTTAAAAAGAAAATACGTACAACAGTGGTGAAAAACTCCAGGAGCAAATGCCAGGAGTTAAGTTTCATTAACAATGAGGGCACAGCAGCATCACCTGTTCCTGTATTTCTAATGATACCCAGCTTTATTCACAAGTCCACAAGGTAAAAAATATGTGCTGAAACATATTGGTTGAATGAAATGCAGACTAATGTAAATGTGCCCCTAGCCAACCCCAAAAACCCTCAGAGAATACACATTTTTTAGCTGTAGCAGAACCACAGCTGATTTTTTGTGTGATAAAGGTATTGTTTTTCTTTGGAAACAGGAGAATCTCTTGTAGTTCCCATCTTTATCTGTACCAATGACAATTGGCGGTGAAGATTTTCACTGCTGTGCATTGCCGTGTGTGACAGGTTCCTGAAAGCAGTGGCATGCTCTGCTTTGGGGGCATTAGGAGGGAAGGGGAATGTGGCGCTATGTTTGGAATCTGAGATGGGTCCACATGCCAGCCAGCACGTCTCTAGCCACCCGTACCCTTTTTACCCTCCCCCCATTTAACTCTCCTTCCTCCCTTTCCCTGGCCCTCCCTTGACGTCATGGCAGCCCGTGTGAACTAAACTTCCTCCTGGTCCTCAGCAGAACCAGCATATTGATAGAAGGCAGCTCCTCTGGAGGAGCCTCGCTTCTGTTTTCAGCCGGATGACAGCCCACGTCTTGTTTGCGTGTGCCCGAACCCTTTTTTGCACATCCTGTTGGATGTGGGTGGAAATGTTCTCTGATTAATTTCAGGACACACCCCATTCAAAGCTGAGGTCAGAAAGAGGCGTTGTAAGCTATTCTATTTACTTGCAGATTTTTGCTCAATGACAACAGTGATTAAAGGACAGTCAAAACCTAATGATTGTGTTGTTTGTTATTAGGGGTTGTTGACATTTTTCAGAGAAAAAGCCCAGACAGTTCCCTAGCTGACCTCTCAACTCTCTCACAATCCATCAACCTAAGAGCTACTTGAACTTCAGGCCATGACTTTTTGGGTTGGGAGAGGAATCCATCAAGATAATTGTGGATTCTTCTTGACACAGTCCATGACTCTTACTTTGCTTTGATTTTCGTGTTAGCATAGCTCCCTGCCTCACGCAAGGTGAGACAGCAACCTGAACGTTTCAAACGCCCGCTGGGGTTTTCATCAAGGCACTGAGGGATGCTAGACGAGTGTGGGCCTGCCTTCATCCTCCTCAAAGAGAAGACAGTCTGTAGAAATGCCTTTTATTTCAATAGCGCTCAGTATTTTAGGCACAGTTTTCATTCATCATTCAATCCTGAGGGCAGGTACCACAAGTTTAGCAAATATGCCTACAGTACCCTGTTTTTGAAACATGTCAAATGTTGCTTTAGGATTCGTGCCAGCACTGAAATTGCATCGAGATAAACTGTGTTTCAGCCTCATAGATACAAGACAGGGGTGTGGTGGTCAGGTGTAGGTGAGGCTCTTTGTTGACACTGCACGTGTCACATGCAGGTTGGTGTCACAGGGTTTAAATTCCAAGCCACGCCAAGTCCATGCCAGACCGTAACAAAGAGAGCTTTGACTATCACAAATTACCTTTCCATTGTTCAATGTTCAATCAAGCTGAAGTCACCCGCTTTTAGGGCTTGAGTCGGATGTTGATGAACTGCAAAGGAAACATACTGTGCTGCTCTGAGCCTGACAGAAAGCTCAGTGTTGGCAGAAACAATCATTGGCATCATTTTCTGCCCTTGTATGGACTGTATAGTCTGATGAGAGGTGGAGATAGAGAGTTCAGAGAACAGATGTAGATCATGTGGGCTTAGCTGATGTCTTTTCAGTAACGTGGCTGCACCTGCACCACTCTTATTGACTCCATGCTGACAAATGTTGGTGGACTGTTTATACTTTGCTGTATGGCCACACAGACAGTGCTGAATTCAGAATAAAACCTCAGAGCACGAGGCCTTGGCCTTGATTCAGTGGCTAAATACTCATTTAAGTCATTAGTTTGGTAGCAATTGTTTGCAGAGATACAACAACCAAGCTTAAGTTGTGTCCCAGCTTTCAAAGAAAGGAAATAAGAGTATTGTCAGAGCTGTGAGCCAAGACTGAGGCCTGACTTGATAAAGCAAGTAGAGCACAGGAAAGTACAACATAATGGAAAAATCCCTTCAGAGTAGTGAGTGCTTTTTTCAGCCTGCTCTTTCTGTTTTTTTTTCTAGCTCTTCCATGTGGCGTACGTCCTCATCAAGTTTGCTAACTCACCTCGGCCTGACCTCTGGGTGCTGGAGCGCTCTGTAGACAACGGGAGAACCTTCACCCCATGGCAGTATTTTGCACGTAAGTTTCCATGTCACTGTCTTTCTGCAATGTTTTACTTTTTATTGTATTCTTAAAAAAATAAAACAACACTTTCCTGCACAATGCTTCATTACTTGTGGGCTTGAAAATCAAAGCTAATGTTCCATACAACCTGCCGTTCCCCTGACTATCAATGATTTGTGAGTAAATTTAGTAAATCTGGAATGCATGTTTGTGTTTTTTAAAGATCTCCTCCACTCAAAAATGTGTTTTCTTCTGTTTATGTTTCCTGAAATGTCTGACCTTGACTATACTGACTGTATCTGTGCAAAAGTTTGTCACTAGAGAGGTGTCGTGATATTTCTCTGAGAGGGGCGATGTCTGTGCACTTCTAAAATCTGAGATTAGTTACGTCACCAATACGAAAGCCAATTGCTGTCCAATATGCAACACTATTTGACAGGAGAACGAATACCAGCAAAGAAACCTAAAACCTCCAGTGCAGAGCAGAATTATTACATTTGGAAGAAAAATCTCAGCCAGACAGACTATATCTTTCTGCAAACACTGATTTAACCTCTTGTATATAATTACACAATAACAATATGGCAATGTAAACACTCTGTAACATGTTTTGCAACTACTAACATTGTGTCAGCCACTGCTGGTCAAAAGTTAACAAGCTAACAAAAAATATAAAAAAAAGATGCTAACTACACTTGCCATTCTGATATGTCTACTTGTCACCGATTTTGAAGCACAACACACTCCCTATCTAAGGGTGCTTTCACACCTGCCCTGTTTGGTTCAGTTCAATTGAATTCAAGTCCTTTTGCCCCCTAAGTGCGGTTCATTTGGGCAGGTGTGAACACAGCAATCGCACTCAGGTGTGCACCAAAACAACCGGACCGAGACCTTCTTGAAGAGGTGGTCTCGTCCGCTTACAAACGAACTCTGGTGCAGTTCGTTTGTGGTGAGAACGTGTTCCGACCTTGATCTGAAGCAACTGCAGTCACATGACACATTGTTTGGGTTAAACATGAGCATGTTACAGTCCTGGAGGATTATTAATGTGCACCTCCTCCTGTACTGCCTTAATATGCACATTCAGCACATCCAATGCATCAAAACATTGTTTTCTAGTTGGAGCCGCGCCTCGTTTTCAAACTGTATGGTTTGACTAAAATGAACAATGACAGCAATATAGTCCACGATGAGCAGCACTAAAATCAACCTGCGTAGTTGTCCCTCCATTGTGACATTAGAAAGTGTCACATTTATCTTGCAAGTGTACTCTTCTTCAACGTTTTGTTTACTTCCTGGATTTTTCCCACATAGAAATTCTACCAATCAAGAGCAGCTTTCTCACACAAGGCATTTGATCTGGTCTTCTTATAAATCATGCCGTGAGAACACGAACCAACTCTAGGCAATTATACAACTTTGGAACAAAATCTGTCCCTGATTCAGACCAAAGCAAGACAACTCTAGGTCTGAAAGCACCCTACACACATACACATACACATATGGCTGAATCAGTCTGATGCTAACGCTAATGTTGATGCCATCTTGATGCACACTACTCTTTCACTGGTCAGCCTAGAGCTAGTCTCCCATAACCAGAGCAACGTCCACACTTTGATTTAGCACTTTGCCAGTGCTGGGAAAAGCAAAAAGGCCAAAGCAAAACTTGCGAGCAGTGGTGGGGGGCAAGGCGCAAGGCCAGATCTGGAATTTCTCATGGAGGGAGACTGAGTGGATCAGCTTAAAGTCCCTTTTCAGAGTTGTTTTGTTTTGCTTTTGATGTGGGAAAGCTATCTTAAACAAAATATTTATCTTATTTTTGCGTACATTAAAATGTGCCAGAAGGGGCACTTCAAATACGTAATGTCTGCTGTTCTTTGCTGACTAAACAACACAGTTTTGATTTCATCCCGAAAGCTTTTACATTTTTTGTCCGTTGCACCTGGCAGCATGTTTTCTCTTCAGGTGCAACAATGGTGTGATGAAATAAATAGAAGGAGATTGGAAAGTGATTCTAAAATGTGCCATGCAAAAACACAACAGCAGCAACCACCCATCAACAAAATCCTATCAGAATCACAAAAAAAAAAGACACGAAGGATTATTGTCTTTGTAATAAACAATTGTTATATGATAATTAGCAGATTTTGGTTGAAAATAGTCCTGTTTCATGGCAGACATTTTGACTCTATATGAGGACATGCACAGGTGTAACCAACAATGGGCTCGCTAAGCCATGCCAAAGATCCATCATGTGGAGTACCAGAGCTCCGGAACTGGCACTGCTGAATGGAATACAGCTCTTATTATTATTGTTATTAATTACACAGGTGTCTTTCCTGCCATGACAAGTCAAAATGCCTGCTCTGAGAAAGACCCATTGTGAAGACGGATTAAAATTTGTTTACTAGCACACGTTTAATCCCGGCTCACTGATCAGCCTGCTTAAAAATTTAAGACTGGAAGTGCGTGTGTTTACGGTGCATGGAAAAGAAGAGGAAATCAAAACTAACAACACAACATTATAACTTTAAATGAATTCCAGGATAAATGTCAGGATTTAAACTTTTATGCTCTGGGGGCAGATTTTGTTTAGAAAGTGGCAAGTGGTGGCACGCAGTATGTTTCAAACTTAATTACTAGGCCTTTGATGTCGTACCATTTCCAGGTAACCTAAACTTCATACCTGAATACATCCTCTTAATTTACTGAGCTGGCATATCTGAGTTATGTTGTCTTATATCTGGGAGGCACCTGTGCACACAGATTGCCAGGAACACACAGCTGTGACTCATCAGATTTACAGTGTCTGAGTTTCTCCTTGCCACTTTGATCCAAGTCCATGTTCATGCACAGACTCAACTTCTGAAACAACTAATTAAATCAAATGATTTATTCACTGAGCTTTAATGTGTTTGGAGCCTTTGTTTACTTTTTCCACAAATACAGATTCCACTTTACTTATCTTACTTTTTCTTGTATTTAAAAATCAAGGTGAATTCACTCAACATAACAGTTGCTACTAGCTTTCTGGCTTTGAGTGGTCAACAATAGGGTTAGTCCAGTGGCCAATGTATATATTTTCAAACCGGTTTAATATTCAGCCAAACACTAGACCGGTATACCAAATTTTACCACTAAGTGTCGCACTTGACTTAGCAGCTGCTCCCGCGTGGAACATGATGACGCCGTATCTCCATAACATCGGAGCTCTCTGTCCACACTGAATCTGTTAAATATGCATTTCTGGTATGCCATGTAAACAAAGCATGTAAATATCAGCTGTGCGCTTGAGATCAGACTTGCTATTTTCTTACATTTGTAACATTATTTTACAGAAAACACTTTTCTGTTGTGATATTTACTTGAAATGACAAACAGTATAGCCAACAGCAAGTAGGTTGTTAATAGTGATGGTCATTTACTCTACCATAAACGTTCAGCTCCATGGCAGTCACCCTCCGGCCCACTGCAACTAAATTTAAAATTTTCAAAGTCACTTAAGGAGACATCGTAAAGATAATTCCTCATTCAAACTCAATGAATCACCCATTCCTCATCCACTGTGGCGCCTTTAAAGTGAGCAACAGGAATAAATAGAAACAGAGCAGCTTAAAACAGCGCAGCAGCCAGTTAGGACACCTCTTTCGTCGGCTTCAAACCCAAACTGTAACCCTATTTATGCAGTTTTAGTTTTTTTCAGACTCTGCCATGCCTCCTTTTATCATCCAAAAAACACATGAACTTTCTAGTAAACAAAAACATCATGCCCACTCTTACCCCTCCGACATCTGCTGAACTTTGTCACGCTGACATATTGCTTATCTGTAATGCAATTCAAGTTGGAGTTAGCACCGTGATGTCAGCACAGGTTGCTGATGTAGGCTACCTTCTGATTTGCTAGAGTCTGTCTTAATGACAAATGTTGGTTCAGCCAGTTTGCATAAAATCAACCAGTTTAAGCTCGAACACCTGACTGGACTGGTGAAACTGGAAACTGATCCAACTGTAGTCAGCAACATGATTTTTAAATACAAGGTTTTTTAGGAGATGGCCCCTAAATATCAGATGTCAGAGCTTTACGCAAGTACCTGAACACACTGGTGTGTCATATTAACTAGTGATAGAGGAGGTTTCCAGAAGTTATACATGTGATAATATTACTTTCTTTAGATTGACATGAAAAATGAATGGAATATGGATTAAGAGATTAAAAGGATTTCTTAATTTTATTTTTAATTTTTGCAGATTCAAAGCGTGAGTGTATTGAAAAGTTCGGAAAGCAGCCCAATGCTCGCATATTACATGATGATGATCAGCTCTGCACCACAGACTACTCAAAAATCGTCCCTTTGGAGAATGGAGAGGTAAAATATCATATCAAGTTGATCAATGAAATCAAAACTGCAGCGTTTTATGACCTATCGAAACAATCTTGTGAAATAAATACATTTGTGTTGTCCAGATTGTGGTGTCTCTGGTTAACGGTCGGCCGGGGTCCAGAAACTTCACCTACTCGCCAGTGCTACGAGACTTCACAAAGGCCACCAACATCCGCCTTCGCTTCCTCCGCACCAGCACCCTGCTGGGCCACCTGATTTCCAAGGCCCAGAGGGATCCCACCGTCACACGCAGGGTGAGGCACATACTGTACAATCTCACACAAAGGTGTCGTGCTGGCAGACTCAAGTTTCCCATTTGGGAAAGCCACATTTACAACTTTGCACCACCTACTCTCCAGCTTCCTTTTTGCTGACACAAACACACCGACCTGCTCCCTCCTGTTCACACATTCATCCTTGTCAGGGACTCATGCCAGATCTTTCTGTCCAGTCATCATGGTAATTCCTTTGGTAAAGACAGCGAGACTGGCTCGGACAGCTCCACCAGACTGCAGGTGCATAACATGGCAACTCTCCCGACAGCAGGAGAACACACACTGTAAAATCTGACAACTTGATCTCACTATCTAAAAAATCTAGGAAACCTATTGTCTAATAAGTAATATAAATATTAATCTTAAGTTATATTTACTTAAAATGTAGCTGTGTTTACATGATTTTGTGAAGTTGTTACAAAATGAAATTAACTTGTTCTCTCTGTTAGCAACGTAATCAAACAAAGTTACTTTAACTTAACCAAACAGTTGTGTTTACTCAGTAGAATTTAGGAAACTGATTGTTCAAGATAAATAAAGTAAACACAATAAAGGGTGATAAATTGGCGGAATTATTTTTCATATAACAACAAGGCCACGGTTTGTTGAAACAAATGAAGTCACAACAAATCTACTTTTATGGTTTATGAAATTATATTTGAAATAAATCTGGAAATATAAAGACAAAATCTCAGATGTCACTCAGGATTTCAACAGGGCTCCATGACACAGCTTTATCAAAAATACCAATTTTTAGTCGTGCTTCAGCCACCTTCCATATACATATTATACACACTCTAAACAAAGGTGCTTTACAGCACCATAGTTCTTTGGCGTGTAAACATAGGGGAACCTGTTTTGGTGCTATATGGCACCCATATTTTAAAGATGCCACACACACTACGGGACCCTTTAAATTTGGAATATTTCTATGCACATGGGTAAAAAAGGTTGAGAGCCACTGCTTTAATTTGTTGTCCTCTGGAAATGGGCAGGGAGGTTTGTAAGCAATTTTATCTTACTCTTTAATTACTAAACCAAGCTAAACTAAAGTAAGTTAAGCTAAGCCAAAATAAGCTAAACTAAGCCAAGCCAAACTAAACTCAACTAAGCTATGCTAAGTGAAACTAAGCAAAGCTAAACTAAACTAAACTAAGCTAAACTAAGCCAAGCTAAACTAAACTAAACTAAACTAAGCTAAGCTAAGCTAAACTAAGCTAAGCTATGCTCGGTGAAACTAAGCTAAACTAAACTAAAATTAGCTAAGCTAAACTAAGCCAAGCTAAACTAAACTAAGCTAAGCTAAGCTATGCTCAGTGAAACTAAGCTAAACTAAACTAAACTAAGCTAAGCTAAGCTATGCTCGGTGAAACTAAGCTAAACTAAACTAAAATTAGCTAAGCTAAACTAAGCTAAGCTAAGCTAACCTATGCTCACTGAAACTAAGCTAAACTAAACTAAACTAAAATTAGCTAAACTAAACTAAGCCAAACTACACTTAACTGAACTAAACTAAATTAAGCTAAACTAAACTAAACTAAGCTAAGCTAAGATAAGCTATGCTCAGTGAAACTAAGCTAAACTAAGCTAAGCTAAGCTAAACTAAATTAAAATTAGCTAAGCTAAACAAAGCTAAACTACTACTTAACTGAACTAAACTAAGTTAAGCTAAACCAAACTAAACTAAACTGAATTGAAAGCAAACTAAACTAACTAAACAATTCTAACCTAATCATAACCTAACTTAATTTAGTTAATTTAAACTAAACTTAAAAACCAGTGGAGAACCTCTAAAGAACGACTGGCTCTTCAGCTTAGTTTAGTTTAGTTTACAGGTGATAGAACCAGTAGAAAATCCCTAAAGAACCTTAAAGGGGCTCAAAAAGTTCTCTGTGTGATAGTGGTACTATATAGCACCTCAACCCACACCAAAGAACCACTGAATATGTAATAAATAAAAGAACACTGTAGGTGTTACATCTGTATTCTACTCGAGGCAAACTAGTTGGTCACATTTTTGTATTCTTAAACATGTTAACATAACAGAACTTGAGATATCCTAACTCCACCACATGCAAAATTTTCTTTGTCATGGTCAAGTTAAGTCAGACTAGGTTTACTGAACTTGCTAACACTTAGAAAGAACAAATTAATTTCACCAGACAAACTTTACAAAAATAAGTAAATACAGTTTAACTGTAGATAAACTTAACAATTAAATATTAAGTTAACATAACTTGAGACTAATAGGTACATTTACTTACCTTCTTACCTACTTACCAGTTTCCTAGATTTTTTAGAACAAGATCATGTCAGATTTGTACAGTGTGCTGCATCAGAGTAATGAGGCTAAAACCTTAGTTTCTTGTTATGTGTTTGAGTTATGATTTTCTGTAGCATACCTTCAGTGAAGTTGTTCTCAGTAAATCATTGAAGATGTAATTCCAGAAATGTATCCTCAGGGTTCATGTCAAAAACAACAAATTAGTTCTGCTTTATTTGACGTGCTGAGAATAAATCTGTGATGTCAGCTGTTGATTCTTGTCTTTTATTTTTTTTATAATGCACTGATTCACCCCATAAAAGTAAGCTTAGCTCATGGTCTAAGTTTGTACAACTCAGCATGATCACTTCACGTCTGCTGCCAAGCAAAGCCAGACATTTGTTTTGGTGTGGCTGATGTTGCAGATAACACTGCTATTACTGAAATGAATCAGTTAATAACATTTTCCCTTTTTTTGACAGTATTATTATAGTATCAAAGACATCAGCATTGGCGGACGCTGCGTTTGTCATGGGCATGCACAGGCGTGTGGTGGGGGGCCTAACCAGGACAACCCAAGCAGGTTGGTAATGCCCTTCATCTCAAGCAATGCTTTAAATAGTTGACCCAGTACTTCTGTGTGGAAAGCTCTGGTTGAAGCATTTTTCATCACTCATTAATTATAACCTGACCTGGTTTCTTGTGAGCATTTCCAAAGTTACCTTTAAAGTATAACTTCAACCAGTGAATCCATTTCATTTGTTTATTCATTAACAGAGTGTAGTAGTTTTTTTTGTACAATGGGCTCCTGTGTATAACCTGAGATGACTTAATGCTGAACATACAGAGGCAAAACCACAGAGATGCAGCCAAATCTGGTGATTTTAAAGATAGTGAATTGTTTCTCAGGAGGGGAAATTACCTCATATGTTTGTGAATTGACATCACCATTGTAAAGAGCAACAGATCATTGTACTTACTCTGTTTACTTGATGTGATGTTACAAATAGTTGGTTAAAGATCAAGATGTGTGATAAACTTCTCCTTCGAGCCACAGTTGCCTTCTGTACCCTGAACATCTAAACAACAAGGCAACAAAGCATTCAGTCATGCTTCATTGTGTTTCATTGTTTGGTTCCCGTTGGTTTAAAGCTGCTCCTTTCAATATTATTGTATGAGCAATGACTAACATACACAGTTAACATAGTGAAAGGGGAGTGTTATCACCTGATTCTGCAGTTACCCTCGTCTCTATGAAGCATTTTAGTGTCTTTCAACCCATTGTTTTGGTTGTACGGCCCCCAGGCATCTGTCTGTTCTATTCTCGTGAATGCGATATCTCAGGAACGCCTTGAGGTAATGTCTTCAAATTTGGGACAAACATCCACCTGGACTCAAGATATGAACTGATTAGATGTTGGTGGTCAAAGGTCAACGTGACCTCAAATGGGTCCTATTCATGTGAACACGAGATTCAGCAATGCAAACATCTTTTTTGCCACAACTCGAAAATTCATACTCTAATTATGACAAAATTTCACACAGATATCTGATAAGATAAAACGATAAAGGAATTACATTATATACTCGAAAGGTCAAAGGTCTGGGGCACCCAGTTGCTCAGTTGGTAGAGCGGGCCCCACATACAAAGGCAGTTTCCTTACAGCAGCGGCTGCAAGGCTCGATTCCAACCCAGGACCCCCTGCTGCATGTCATCCCCCTTCTCTCCCTTCCTTGATGCCCAAAACTGTCCTGTCATTGAAGGCAAAAGAGTCAAAGGTCATTTTCAATGTCACATCATGATGTTCTGCAAAAACACTTTTCTGGCCATTATTCAAAACCATACTTCAGGAACAGAAGAGGAGACGTTTGGTCAGGGTTAGCAGACTAATCCTGAGTGTCCATCTGTGGTAGAAATCTTAAGTGCTGCCGGCTTTTAGATGTTTATGATGCATCCATGTTTTCAAATATGTAGCTTCTTTTCAGTATCATTCATATTCAAAGCATTGTCAACAAGATACAACCACAATGTGGTCAGAGATGGGCAAAAATACATCAAAATGTATTTTGATACAAAATACCCCTCAAATAAATGTATCAAAATAAAATACAAAATACTGGTGCCAGAAAATGTATCAAAATAAAATACATGTATTTTGTATTTTCAAATACAGAAAATCCTTTTTTTCTTTTTCTTTTTAGCAGCGACCCGCAGCTCTATAGGTAACTCTGTTGGTCGGTTGGTCGGTTGGTTGGTCGGTCAGTTGGTCGGGTGGTTGACAAAGCTTTTCGTGAATATCTCAAAAAGTCCTTGACCAAAAATGCTCAAAATTTGCATACTGCAACTAGAGACCATGAGGAACTATACCAGAAAGAATGCCCATGATTCATCCATAGGTGGCGCTATACTAACTGATTCAAATTTTTTTGTGAATAACTCAAAAAGTCCTTGACCAAAAATGCTCAAAATTTACATGCTGCAATTGAAGACCACAAGTAACTATGCCAGAAAGAACAACCATGATTCATCCATTAATGGCGTGATAGTAGCATATTTGGTCGCAGCTATTGCAAATTTGCACTTGTCTTCTCACAATTTGGTGTAGGCTACCCTGAAATATTATTCATTGATTCAGATTTAGATTCAGACAACTTTATTGATCCCACGTGAGGCAATTAATTTGTAGCATACTCATCCCAAGCATCAACCACAACAACATACAATTTCCTATGTTATGCACAGTCCAATAAAACAGACCACTAGGTCATTGAAGGGCACACTGAATGGCCCAAGTTTAAAAAAACATATAAGTAACCTATAAGTAAAAAATATTGTTACATCCAATATTATAAGAATGTGTAGCCTATTATTTTTGTTTTTTGATTCGTTGAGAAAGTATTTTGAGTATTTTAGATACAAAAGTACTCCACTCAAAAGTGTTTTGTTACAAATTACATTTACTTTTTATCGGCCTCAAATACAAATTACAAAATACTCAAATGTAATTGAAATACATATTTTAAATACAAGTAATAGAAACACTGCCCATCCCTGAACGCGGTAATACTATTTTGGTTCTGTCCCACTGTTTTCAGCTCATTGCTCAGCACCAAATAATAGACAGATTAGCACTAGCCAACTAACAGCTTGAAAACCAGATACATTCTTCAGAAGTTGGTGGAGTCGGAAACAGCTAAAATTAGAGTGAATGATGGACTCAAGAGGTTGTCTGAAACATGTTGTTTGTATAAATAGGCAGCTGTTTGCTGATACATGACAACTTAATAAGGTAATAATATGCCTGTGTTTACAGCTTGTTCTGTCCTTTACTTAATGAATGTTTAGAGAAAGCACTGGGGAGGGGGGGTGCTGCAAATAAAAATCTGATCATCACTAAATCCAGGTGTCTCATTTCCTGTTTGCAGACGCCAGTGTGAGTGCCAACACAACACCTGCGGTGAGTCATGTGACCGCTGCTGCCCAGGCTTCAACCAGAAGCCATGGCGTGCTGCAACTGTTGACAGCCCCAACGAGTGTCAACGTAAGTGTACATGTACAATGGTTCATTCATTGTGGAAACAAAACCACACTCTGCTACTCCCCACGCTGCTGACTTCTTGAATTACGACCCCCAGAGAGGCCTGAAGTGTCCCCTTGCCTCTGTTATTTAAACCCTGTTGTGAATGCCCTGTTATGGTATTGTAGAGAGCCTCAGTGAGGAGTTGAGAGGACGTTCCTCATACGGTATGTATGATGAACAGCACAGTGCACGACTAGCTCCAGGATAACTGCTGTTTGTCATCCTAGCTAGCTAGTCAGCCGGCTAGCCAGGCCCCCCACCTAGTCCCCCATGCCAGCTTATCTGAGAGCCTGTGTCAGCTGGAATCTAATTGCTTTGGACTGTTGACAAATTTCCCCGTCATGAAAAATGACCTTGAAGCAGCCACAAATGAGAGAGAAAGATGAAGAAGACTCTAATTAGTGCACCCATGTGGTGGAAATGCGCCCTAACCATTCATAAACATTAATGAGACCCATACAGGAAGAGGATGTGCTTTCTTTTTTAACTTGGATTTTATAGTTTCTCCTCATATTTAACAACCAGACTTAAAACTCCTTTTTGGAGAATGAGTGGCTTAAGGTTCTTAAATACAGACAGGGGAGTCTGGGGTAATTTGCTGAGGCATATAGAATAATTCTCTGTGTGTCTTGGGGGTTTCCTCCTCAGGCTGCCAGTGTTTCTCCCATGCCTTCGACTGTTATTACGACCCAGAGGTGGAAAAGAGGAGAGCAAGTTTAGACACCTTCGGCAGGTACGACGGAGGAGGAGTGTGCATCAACTGCCAGGTATGAAATGCATGTCAAGTCTAAACTGATTCCTGTGTGTGCATGTGTGTGGTTGTAGGGGAGAAGGAGGGTATCAAAAAAATGAGGAAAAATTCCATGTTGTCTGTGTCCTCCGTGGGGCATTTGATACCGCACCACTTACTCTGCAACCTGTGCAAACGGGTCTGTGAGGCCGCAACAAACTTTTTCCATTTACACACTTTGCTGTTAGCTCTCCAGGAAATCTGTGTCATCATGTTTTATCAAAATAAAGTTACATCAAGTGTTATTTATATGATGTGCCTCTGGAAAATAGAAGCAGAGAGTGTATGAAACCATTGTGTCTCATCAAATGTGTCAGTGTGCATTTGAAATGAGAAATTCCACTTCACAGAGCAAAGAGGACTCTTGTGTTTATCATTCTGTTCTCCCTGATCAATCATGTAGGACTTATAGCTCACACATTATTTGTTTGTTCTTCTTTAGCACAACACTGATGGAGTGAACTGTGAGCAATGCCTTGAAGGTTTCTACAGACCTTATGGAGTACCTCCGGAGTCCCCTTCTGGATGCATACGTGAGTTGCGTTTCTGTCTTTGTCCCCTTGATTTAAAGGGGAGACTGACCACCTTTTATGTCCAATCAGTGTTGATGGGAAATGTAGTTGATTGAAGCAATAAATTCTTCAGTGCGTGCCTTGTTGACTGAGAAGGCTGAGTTTGCAGCTGCAAAATCTGTTCTTCCTGCATCTATCCAGGGCATTTGGCATGACAGTGACGTAGGTGGAGGCAAGGTAGAACTACAGGCTGTATTACAGTTTGTATCGCAAACTATAGAAGCTAACCGTGAAAATGACATCCTAAAATGTGAGTGCAAAGGATGTTATAGATCAGGATACATTTTATAGCGTTTTGACTGATTCGGATATGCAGCAGTATTTATTTGAGCTGAAGCCCTGCAAGAGGATACGGCTGGTGAGGACCCTCCAGAACCTGAGCTGTGGAGGGCAAACACCAACTGGTGGTGTCGTTACACAGAGGGCCCTCCGATACCAACAGAAATTGAATTATTCTGCTGCGATGAATTTCAGCATGGCCAGTTTTAGTTGGACGCTGTCACCGATGTCAGAAGAGCCCCGAAAGAGCTCATCTGCACACTACTATGCAAAGAGTTACTCCTCACTAAGACAGAGATGCGCTGGTGACCTTTTTAAGGATCCCACAGATAAACACGAAAATAACCAAGACCAGCAGGGCCGAGAGGGCAGATGACCATTGAGCGAGTATTTTTGTCACATAATGCTATTGTAAGCTATTTCATTTAGCTGCATCTTGGCAAAGTGCTTTTTGCCAACTGGGTGGCAAAGAGTGGCATCTTCGCCAACTGGGTGTGGGCAGGCGGATTTTGCAAGTTTGGCACACCGTGCGCCTGGTGCAGCTACTCCTCTTTCCCACCTCCGTCCCTCCTACCTGCGCAAGTCGGAAAGAGGGAGGAGAGAAGGCGTGGAGTGGGTTTTACACACATCACACCAATCAAATGAGCCCCTCTCCTCGCCCTTAAATGCGCTGTGCGAAGGCGTAATGAGAGTTTACTCAATTCGCCATGGCAGAAGAGAGCAGCAGCGTCAGACGGCCAAACTCCTCCCAGGAGGAAACTGATGTTTTGGTCCGGGAGGTCCAAGCTCGCAGTGTCCGAATATACGGAACTGCGAGCAGACCTCCACGGGCTGATGATGCAAAGGTAGCCTGGGAGGAGGTCACCACAATTGTAAATCAATGTTGCGTTTCTCTCGTGCGTGCACGCTCTCTCTTTCTCTCTCGCAGTCTCACTCTGTTTCTTTTCTTTTGACTTTTCTAAGATGACAGATGCTGAATATATACTCCCTATCTGATGCTGTGGCTGTTTGTGGTTGGCTGAGAGGGATGTGAACTCATTAGTTGGCAGCTGTGTTAATCAAATCAGGTTGGGTTTCCATTACGCGTGCCAAACGTGCCAAACGGTGCCAATCCCCTTTGATCTGACGTCAGATGTGACGGGACAGTCGATATAGAGATACATTTATGTGCTGATTGCAGATAGTTGCATTGAATAGTGGTTTTTTGGGTATTTATTGCATCGTTAATGTGCCTGATATTCTGGAAACCTGCCTGTGAGGTTTTGGTGACGTGTGCGCACTGTCCGCCGGTCAGCCAAACTTCGGCTTACACCGGCTGCGCTCCCCCTGCGCTGACAGTAGACCTGGTTTCAGCTGGCGAGCTTTTAGCACACCTTCGGTGAAGCCTTTTGGCACGAAACTGTCACTGCGCCAAGCTGGATCTGTCGACACCTCCCCCTGCTGCGCCGCCACACCCATCTCAGCACACCTCGGTCTGCCAAACTACCAAACTGAGCGCGCCTCGGGTTGCGCTGCTCGAAACTAGCTCTGCGCGGGGTTCGCCACCCCGCGCCACCCTGCGCTGCGCCGGGAAACTAGAGCCCTAAGATTTGGCCAATTAAATAATAGTTATAGGCGTCAGAAGCTTGTGCACAATGCATCCTGGTACATGTAGGCACAGAAAAACTCAGCTTTCTTGGTCAATATTAAGCACACTGAGGAATTTATTGCTTAGTTCGACTACATTTACCATCAACACTAATTGTACATCCATGTAAGCTGTGGCAAACTTTAACTTTTTGGACACTAATAATTGGACACTTCCTAAATAGTTGTTGCTGGTTTGTTTTTTTTGCTTTGCATGGATTGAAATGGTCATTGTTTGTGCGAGTGCTGCAATCTGTTTTCATTTTGTATTTCCAGACATATGGAAATAGGAATTATATTAAATAAATGAGAGTGGAAATGCCAATTCAGATGCCATTTCAAATCAGTTTCTGCCACTACTTTAATGCAATTGAAAAAAGAGAAAATGTTATTTGTGAGGGTTGAACTTTGCCATCTGTCAGATGTCCAGGACACAGCACTAGATGGGTTTTAGAACTAAATAGTGTCTCACCATGTAGGCATTTGACCTGCAGTTTATATGACAAAAAAGTGAAGCCAAAACAGTCTTCTATTCAAAGAGAGGCATCAGCGTCTTGTTTGAGACAGACACAAATGGCACCACTGAACAAGCACCACCGGCACCACTGCTTGTATTATTGCTAAACTGGGCTCCGCTCTTGTTTACATTACTTTAATGGTCCGTGGCTGTTCCTCGCTATATAAATAGCTGCCAGTTGTGTTTGGACATTAGAGGGCAGTGGAATTAAACCGGTTGCCCTGAGCACTTTGAAAAGTAAATCATAAAATCCACAAACTCGTTTAGGTCTGTTTAGCAGAGGAAGGTGTTGGTTTTGGCAAAAAGCAGAGTCAGTAAATGTTCAGTAATCATTATCTGCCCCTGAGATCTCTCATTTTGAGATGATGGATGACTGAAAGCTTCCTGTGCTTGTTTCTGATATTTGACTCATATATGGTGAATTTCTTTCTGCCTTACAACCAACAATCCTCTGCTGTCTTTATGTGTGTGGATATCCATGTTAGTCTGCATTAGTGTTGCTTTTAAAGGGATAGTTGGGATCATTTGAAGTGGGGTTGTATGAGGTTCTTATCCATAGTCAGGGTATTACATACAGTAGATGGCATGTTCCCAGTTTGGACAGCTAAGCAGGAGTACCAGTACAGGAGCTAAGCAATACACTGCTTTAAACGGGGGTCAGCAGCAAGATGTATTTTAGCCACCTAAAAAAGTCCCTCAATAAAATATCAATATCAGTAAAAATGACTGCTATATTTAGAATATTTTTATCACTTCCACATCACACAGCCATTTCCAACAGAGAATCAAAGCCATTATATTGATCTCCTCAAAGCCAGACACCATTGAGAGAAACAGAATTTTAACGCTGCTGAACACAAGAGCTGCTGGTCTGCCTCTGCTTCTGTCAGTTGGTTTGTTTGTGCTATTAAATGACTTTGGCTTTTAAAGGGCTTAGTTGGGATTTACCAAAGTCACACAATAGCACAAAAACTGATTGAGGCAGTTATTAACCTGTGTTCAGCAAGCTAAAATTACTGTTTTTGTGAATGGAGTCTGGCGGCTTTGAAGAGAGCAAAGACGAGGAACTGAAACTGTTAATGGCGTCCCTGTTGGAAAGGGTTCTCTGATGGCGAGGTAACATTTTGAGAACATTCTAAATATGACAAACACTTACATTTTTTTATGTGGTACTTTTTGGAGGAGGCTAAAATACGTTTTGCTGCTGCCCCACCCATGTTATGTCGGTACTCCTGCCTGCTTCTCCAGTCTGGGGGTGAGCTGACCAACATCCACTGTCTGCAAAAGAATGAACATGGATAAGTCCTTCATACAACCTCACTTCAGAAGATCTGAACTATCCCTTTAAACCGTAATCCACTACAGATTATTGAATACATGCCCTAAAATGTGATTTTTAACATATTCCATTTACCCTAAATACTTGGGATTACTTTTTGAATACTTCAAAATCCTCTTGCTGAGCACATTTGTCTGTTCTAGATTTCCACGCCAAAGACTCATTCCTGACAGTGTCACTGATGTGCGTCGCCTCTGCCATCACCATGTGGCAGGTGCACTGCACGTGCACGCATTGTTACAATTTAAAAAAGAAATCTGTTTATGAGAAATATGTGCCTCATATGAATTTTAGAGCAGTGGTTCCCAGCTGGTCCGGCCACGGGGTCCAGATTTCTCCTTGGTCATTAGTTCAAGGTCCACACAGTTGAATGCATTCAGCATCATACTTGCATTTGGTCATGTATTTGTCCAACTATTTTGCTGTCTGTCAAGTAGCTGTGGCTTAGTCACTCACTCTACTGCAGGAAACGGCACTTCAAAATAAAAGCTCTGTGCCAGAAATTCACTGTACTTCAAAATAAAGTCTGTTTTCACTTGTAGTCACTGGCAGTCCACTCAGAATGGGCCGGCGACCCTCTTTCAGACCGTGACCCAACAGTTGGGAACCACTGTTTTAGAGCAAACAAATCAAAACATACACATAAAGTAATCCGTCTTCAAGTTGTCTATTTTTTTTTAAAAAGTTACTGTATTCAGAATATTGTTAATTTGAGCTATAACTTTAACACAATACATTTACTTATAACCCTAACACTGTTACTTGTATTCTCTCACTCCCCAACTCTGGTCTACATCGATGCATCTGTTGGCATGTGTACATATTTGTCTGCAAATGTTAATTTAAAACAAACATGTGACCCCACCAGCCTGCAGGTGTGATGAAAGGACGACAGCCGGCTGTGAGATGGGGTCTGGAAGATGTATCTGCAAGCCACAATTTGCTGGAGAAAACTGTGATCGCTGTGCTGACGGATACTATTATTACCCTCAGTGCATTCGTAAGTTTTTTTTCCCTTATCAAATCCTAGATACCCAATTCTCCCTCAGGATCATGCATAACAGAGAAAACATTATCATTTGATTAAATGATGTGTCTGTGTTTGGGAGCTCAGTGTGTCACAGTATACAGTATCATGTGAAACTGAACCCACTCTTTGATGTTTGGGATCAGTTTCATGTTCACCCTTTTTTAGCCTTGTGTGTTACAGTCTGTCAGTTTTTGCCCAGAGGAGAAAAATGCAACTATTTTGGACTTGTTATTATATGCTCAAAGAAATATGCCTTTAATGCTGCAGGGCTACACACAGGAGGATGTATGCACATGCTACAGGACTGACGCATGCCAAACCTCCATCCAAACAAATAAACTCAAATATTAGACACACAAAGGAGGAATTCCCTCTTATCTCATTCTGATCTGGCTACAGACTCAGGTGTCTGCCAGGGCATGGAGATAAGCCAACCAGTCTTTCATCTTTTGGAGTTGTTTTTTTATTTTTTCTTCCAGTCTTTGACTGTCATAAATCCTTTTTAAGGTAGCCTATCTGGTTGAACTTGCTGCAGTGTTCGGATTCAGTGTTCTGACAGTCACTTGTTTTTTGTCTGATGGGGCATTTATGTTTTAAACTTTAACTTAATCTATTTTAACTAGTCCATAAAATGAGTCATAGAGGCATCATTGTAAACCTCTTTGATGAACCAGTGATATCATTCTTAAAGTTTTTACAGTAATAGAAGAAAAAGCAACAAATCTAATCTGTCCCCCTGGCGGATTGTTTCTTATGTCATATAACTTTAAATTAATTGCAGATTGCTAAATTCAGACTTGGCATTTTATGAGTGAAAGATAGATTTATTACTTGAAGTTATTATTAAAACCGGGTCTCTCATCTCCGGGCTATTAGCACTGACAAACTAGTCTAAACATGCGGACACAGTATTTAAGAGGCTGTCTGGGTTTCAAGAGACTCCTCTCTGCTGTCTTGTGTCACTGTAAGATTTTTACGATTTGTGTTTGTGATACAGTAGATCAAAGTTGATTCAGTTTATTGCTGGCAGAATGCTGTGATTCATAGGGGTCTCAGTGTTAAAGGGATAGTTTGACATTTTGGGAAATACCCTTATTTGCTCTCTTGCCAAAAGTGAGATGAGAGGATTGATATTGCTGTTCTGTCTGTATGTTAATGCTAGATGTGTAGCAGTTAGCTTAGCGTAAAGACTGGACACAGGTAAACAGCTTGTCTGGCTCTGTTCAAATTTACTGAATCAACCAAGAAAGTCAATGAGCATATTTCCCAAAGTGTCAACTATTCAATTAATCATTTATTTATCACATGAATTTAAAAAGAATTACTCTGTATCTCAAAATAATGACTTACTTATTTCAAAATACAATCAATCAAACAATTATTTATTTGTCACATGTACAAGGTACGACTCCAGTGAAATGTGATGCCATCAGCTCCCTTTAACTTGTGCACTGTAATTCAGTCCTTTTTTGTGTCCTCTTACATTTTAAGCTGCGACTCAGTGAATTCATTGATGACAGGGGGTGGCGATATGGCCCTAAAAAGTATCACGATATTTCAGGGTATTTTTGCGATAACGATATTCTTGACGATATGACAAATTAGTAAAAAATAAATTATTAATTTCAGAAAATAGACTTGCAACAGAATTAGTCATGTAGTTTTACACTACTTTGCCTTCAAATATTCAGTAAAAACTAAAGAAAAATTATCTCATTTCTTTAGTTTGTGAACAACAACAGTAACTCAAAGTGAGATTCATATTCTGTATACAATATTAAAAGTTCAACAAAATAAAATCTAACACAAATCACACATTTAAACAGCTAAATGCAAAAAATGTCCCCTGGGATCTATATATATATGAATCAACAGGTAATTTCCTTCTTTTAGCAAAATCCCAAATGATGTTGTATTTTTCCACCTGGACCTTTATGCTCTGCCATTTCTCCTCTAATCATCATGTGCTCACGGCAAGAGAGGAGAGGGAGAGACGCTGTGCTGCTGCCAGAGGAGCCACTGAATGAGTTCCCTCTGAGCAGTAACTCGCTAAAAGAGTCCGGGGCTGTTCATAAAACATTCAGGACGCCACTGTTTATTCCACACTACTGAGGCTGCTGCTGTTTTTAGAACCATCGCAGAGTCTGAAATAATTTTGTTGTCAGCCATGCTTCTTGTTGCTGTGGGTAACAGTATGACGTCAGTATGTCAACAAGTCGAAATATTGTGAGTATCACGATATGAATTTTTCATATTATGATGCTACAAAATTATAGAGGTATAATCGAGAATTATATGATATGGCACACCCCCATCGATGACATCATCATGGTTTGTTCACATATCTCGACCTCAAGATGGCCGCATGGTCGCTCCTCCCAAACATGGGAAGTGACTCTGCTCTGGACTTCTCTGAACGTCGTGTATCAGTGATCCAGAGTGTTTATTCCCCTTGTGGCGCAGTGTGAGCAGGAACAGGACAGCACCTCAGATTCCCACAGTCACACCACCTTTAATAATGTATGCCTCAAACTGCATAGCAGTTTGTTGTTTATGAGTTTGATGTAATTTTTCAAATCTTACATCAAAAGCAACCTCCCACTGCGATAAATAAAGCTGACACTTTTGGTTTTACGTGATCACAGTTTCCCATCAGTGGAGGTCTTAATTGCGTTGCTTTTCCTTTGCAATCAGGATATCCCGTATACGAGCCGACCACCAAATCCCCTGCAGGACCTATTGTGGGTAAGCTCAAAAAACAAGCAATGTCTTGTACCACAATTTAGCTTAACAGATGTTTTTAAACAAGCATTTAAAAATGCTATTACTGTTGATCCTCTTCTTTTTTTTCCATTCTTTTTTCTTCCTCTCCATATAGGGCCCACTGCCTGCCCTCCGGGTTATTTCGGCTCACCCAGCTGTCAGCGTGAGTGTGATTACACCCGATATGTTGTGCTGCTATGGAGGTGTTTACAAGGCTGTGTTATGTTAACTGCTTTTATTGCTTCTTCTCATTTGCATCAACTGTATCTAAAGAAAAACAAAACAGCTGAAACTGTATCCTCTTAAAGAGCTTTTTTACAGCACAGTCCTTGACATTTTTGTCACCTGAGTCACATTTACTCACAGTCAGTCCAGGTTGTTAAAAAGGGAGGACCATGTAAGGCACCACTGAGTCTGACTTGGTTTTCTGCAGAGTTAAATGTGATGAACTTGTGGCAGGAGTCGGTCAAGAAAAGGCGTAATGTATACATGTTTGACTAACGGTGAGATCATGTTTGTAGGCCTTATGAAAACAGAATTAGCTGTATGTTATGGTTGGATTTAATGGGGAAATACTTAAACAATATATCATCAGGAAGAGTAAATCTGCTGCTCAGTGACAGCAGATCGCGTACAATTGTTGAGCAAAATCCTGCGATGGTCGTAAACTATTATGTCCGTCAGTAGGGATTTAAGCTCAAGTGGTCTCTGTCCTCTCCAGACTGCAGTAGTCAGTTGGGACAATTCAGTGAGAACTAACCAGTCTATTATTAGTGATGCTCCAAACTGCCCTTTCTGGTTTTCTCTTAGCTGGGAAGCCCATTATTAGTAATATGGCATTTCTATTTGAACAAAGACCTTTAGCCCTGTCTTATCATTTGTCAGGGAATGAAGGTAAACAATGACTTTCCCTTAACTTGTTAACGTGTCTTTTATCCTGTGAGGTGACTGAAAAGGAATTTATTCAGCAGCCTTCGAAAAGCTGATTTTAATGTTTTGGAGCTGCTTAGGGACAAAAAAACCCCAAACTGTGGCAGTCTTTCTGTTTGCCATCCTGTCATATTGCCAAGTCTATTCACATACCAATACCAGGGGAGGCTTGGCAAGATGTAGGCACCAGTGTAGCCGTACCACTGTGTGCCACAATATAAGAACAGTTCCACTAGAGGAAGTGTTTGTCATTCCCTGTTATTCAGCGGGACCGAAGAAAGAGCTCAGGCTCATTAATAAGCAGACTCCAGGGTTCAGCAGGGTTACTCATTTGAATTTCTTTTAGTTTGGATTTAATTTGATTACGTTTATTGTTGAAATATACATGTCCAATGTGTTTGTGCACAGCGTGCAGATGCGACTACAGAGGGACAGCATATGGGGTGTGCGACGCTTTTGGCCGCTGCCTGTGTCGTCAGGGTGTGGAGGGGGCGGGATGTGACCGCTGTCGACCTGGATACCACTCCTTCCCAAACTGCGAGGGTGAGAAAGCATCACCATGCCAATGAGTATTTACACCCCATAAAGACACAACATCATCAGTGTAACTTGTTTGAATGATTATGAAATGTGACCTTTATTTTGAAAGAGAGGCCGCAACATGCTATAATGTAGATGAAAACAAAGACAGCATGTCGTAAAAGGATGTGTGTGCTACGAAGCTGGCATTTTGTCCAGCAATCTTTTGCTTTATTGTTTTACGCAAAAGTGTCCCTTTGTCTTCATGAATGCTGATTGCACTAGTTTCTGAATCAAGTAAACTTCAAGCAGGGCTTTGTTTTTGACCACTTTAAAGTCTAAATTTAAAGCTCCTCTCTGAGAATTTAATAAACCCCTTAAAACTAATGTCTGTTCAATAAATTGACATATTTGAAAGTTGTTTTTTTTTTCATGAAGATTTTTTCTTACCATTTTTTAATTATCCCTTAAAAAGGCTTAGATGTAACTCTTTATGCACACAATTATAGATATGTAAGTTGGCCCCACCCAGTGGCAGTTCTAGCCTAAATGGCGCCCTGGGCGACACCCTCCTATGGCAGAAAATGACCCGAGTCTGACACAGTTTGTTACTTGACATTGTTATTGTTATGGACAGTGTGTAACACGCAGCTCACACAGCAGCGCAGCACAGCACTGAACACACAGTCAACTGGAGCGGAGCCTGTGTTGCGTTTAGGCGTTGTCACATAAATTACAAATTCCAGCACTTGCCGCTCCTGCCGCCCCCCCCACACGTAGTGACCAAGTGCAGCCCTGTGCAAACGCCCATCCGGCCCATATCAGGATCCGCCACTGGCCCCACCCCTCAAGCGTCACCTGCAGTTCAGGTGAACCTGCTCACCTTAAACTTTGCTCATCCATTCACAAACCTGCTTGTAAACACGACTGTTATCAAACAGCTTATAATGTGTTGCTAATCTTAGATAAACCTTGTTCATGATCACCAGCTCTGACAAATTCATTCATTCATTCAAGCCTTTATATAAGACTCCAGAAATCAATGGAGGGAGACCTTCATTTTCAGTGATGCTGAGTATGAGCAAAGACATAAAAAACAATCAATAAGCAAACAAAGAACCATCAGGCATATCAATTAAAACACAAATGAAATCATACAAAACAGCAATAGCAATGAATGACAGCTAAAGGTAGAAATACAGGGTGATAAACATGCTAAGGTGTGCCAAGTGCCAGGTCTGTGCAGATTATTCTATGTGTAAGGTGCACTTTAAGAGAAAGACATTCTGCCTAGTTCAGTTCTGATTAAGGGAATGTGAAGCAACAACCTGTTATGTGAGCAAATACCAAGATTATCTGAGGTCAGCATCTATATCAAAGTTTTATAAATGAACAAATACCAATGCTGCTCCTGCCTCAAAGCTAAATGTGGCCAGCCAACCTTCACTAATAATCACCTGTTATGAACCGTAGGGCTGAGTGCTAGACAGTAAAAGTAAAAGTGAAACTTAGCTTGCAAAAAAAAGTCTTCTCCTTTGACAACACTTGTGTCGCTGTGGCTTTATGGGATTGGTTCTTTAGGTTTGTGATGTAACAAACTACCAAAGCCTCGATCTTTGTTTTTGAGAAGATCATTGGTAAACTGCAGATCCAAGGCAATGGCGTTGACTGCTTATTTTGTTTATGATATGTCTTCTAACATACAAAAAAACAACACATTTACATGTTAACAAGATTAAAAACTTGATTTGGTGAACTTGACTTCTGCCACTTGAACCTCCAGACTCCAAAATGACCTTCCTGAGAAGCCCAGACCAACAGAATCTATTTTATCTTATCATCATCTTATGTTATAGATACAATGAATTTTGATTCTAATGAGGAATAATGAGTGTGTAACTGTGCAAAAGCAGCAGCTGACGACCCTCTTTCTCTTCCTCCAGCTTGTGTCTGTGATGGGGCTGGTGTGGCTGACAGTGTGTGCAGTCCAACTGGCCAGTGCATTTGCTTTCCCAACTATGCAGGGCAAGAGTGTGACGAATGTGCACCAGGCTACTATGGATACCCAGACTGTGCTGGTGAGTGGCTTTGATCCCTCCATGTCCACCAAGCGTAACTACGATAGATAAACCAATTGGGTGCATGGGACGTGAGCACTGGTGGAAAAAATGTTGCTGCTGGTTTCACTGGGCTTACTGTGGCCTCTTCTCATGACTCTGTGGAGCAAACATGCTCATTCTCCCACAGCATCCTGTAAAAGCCAGCGTTATCTTCCGCATTTTTTATGAATGTATTATTCGTGACACAGCATTTCACACAGAGCTAGAGCATGAGAAATATATATATATAAACGTCTTCCTTCCAGGGAATTATATTCCCAAGAATAGACAACTGGGAATCACTGAAGGAAATCAGATTCTGGAAAAAAAACTCTCTTGATACCTCACCTAACTCTTACGCTGATATCACTCATGGCTTACATTTGAATTTCTTACATCAGCTTGTTTCCTGTCCACAGCCTGCCAGTGTTCACCGGATGGCTCATATGGCAGCATATGCAACACACTTTCGGGTCAGTGCCTGTGTCTCCCAGGGGTGGTGGGCCAACAGTGTGACCGCTGTGCCTCTGGACTCAGGTTCCCCCAGTGCTCAGGTAAACACATCAGGAGCCATCATACTCAAAATGAAGTTATTTTGGGACTGAGCAGGAGCAGCAGTTAGACCAGTGGTATTTAAAGGAATACTTCACACACCAGATGAGCATGTATTTATCAGTTATTCACCCTGTGTAATGTTGAATTCATGAAGGAAAAATTGTTGTTTTTGCACATCTCTGGTGAATGAAGAATCCAGAAATGGAGAAAATTCTTTATGAATTTAACTATCCTCTCTTCAAAGCCAGACTCCATTGACAAAAACAGTAATTTTACCTCACTGAACATGGGAGTTGCTGGTCTACTGCTGCCTCAATCTATTAGTTTCTTTGTGTTATTGTGTGACTTTGGTGAATTTGAACTGACCCCTTCAAACACAAAAGTCACACAATAACACAAACAAACTAACTGATTGAGGCAGGGGTAGACCAGCAGCTCCTGTGTTCAGCAAAGGTAAAATACCTGTTTTTGTCAGTGTAGTTTTGCTGTTGTATACGCAGCCCCCTATAATAGATATTGACCGATAGTGGGATTTTAATGGCTGATATGATAACGATAGTTTGGAGGAGGAAAAGCTGATAGCTGATTAATTGGCCGGTAACACCAGCCCCTGAATGCCACTAAAGCTTGCGGTAAAATCAGCTGTTCCCCGGGACAAAGCCACATTCTGTATCGCCAGAAAAATGTCGAGTTAATTGCTTTCTGAGAAAGTTATATCTGATATACATTGAAAAATGAGGTTGAAAGTTTGTTGTGCATTCATCGCTGGAGCGCACTGAGTGCAGGCCCCTCCCAGTCTTGAAGTAATCATTAGTTAATCATCGATTAGATTATCAGAAATTAATTTCACACACATTGCTATTGCAAGGCTTGCTACTTAATTCTAGCTAAATTATACTGACCATGCTAGCTAGTAAAACACAGAAAGCACGTAATGCTATTCTATAACCAGCAACCTTATTATGTCCCTATTAAAAAAGTAAAGCTGTCCTTCATTAATTGACTTTCATTTAAATCATACAAATGATCTAAAGCACACAACACCTTGTATTTGCATGTGAGGTACTCCGTCCAAAAGCCCCACAGCCGTACTCACGTGACAAATGGACGTTACAGCTATTGGCCACTATCGGAGCCTTGTTCTGCCATTAAGGATAGTTTATATAAAGTCTTATCTGCACCGATCAATCGGCCGATCAATCTGTCGACCTCTACCCTATGATTTCATTTTATCAAGATTTTTCCCTGTTTTTGGATTCTATTTATCAGAGGCATATGAGAAAAAAGTTTTCTGCACAAATTCAGTGTAACACAGGGCAAGTAATTGAAATACAAATGGTCATTTGGGGGGTAGGGTTCAGCAATGTCATATAACTTAGGGATGTCATTTGTTTAATATGTTTATATTCCACAGCAGACACTAAATATACACTTTACTTTGTGCTTCCAGCCCCGATCAGTGTGTGTAACCCCGTAGGAACCGAGGTCGCCGATCCTCAAACGGTATGCCACTCTCAATACACTTTAATTTTCTGTCTACCAAAGCCCAGCCTTGATCATGGTTTTATTAGCCTTGATAACAGAAGTGGTTTCAGTCTAAATCCAGCACTGGGGTGTGGATTTACATTACCTCAAAGTTGCATAACTGATAACACAGCTGTGCCGCTGCTGCTTAAAAGTTCTTCCAGCAGATTCCAAAAGGAAGTGTTTTTCCCTGAAATGTAAATGCAATTAAAATAAAGGAAAAGAGACTTCCTTCCGTTTTGAAGAGGAAGAAAAACAATAACGATTTTCTGGAAGGTCATTTCCCCCCTATTTTGGAACAGCGCCTGTGTTTGAAAGAAAGAAAAACTGCAAATATCCAGTCATTCAGAAAACTGGCACTGCAGCACAATACGCAGGCGCTCGTGGCTGATTTCAGTCAATTATATTCTAAACAAATATAAGTGGACTTTCAACAGTAGCTACCAGTCTCAACAATCCATAGATTCCTTATCTGTTGTTTCAGGGCTCCTGCCGCTGCCGAGCAAACGTGGAGGGAACCCTGTGTGACAGATGTAAACCTCTCTACTGGAGTCTGGCTACGGACAACCCTCGTGGCTGTATAGGTGAGTGACCAGAAATCTGAAGAGAACGAAAAACTATCATTGACTTAATTTTGTAAAAGGTACAATTAAAAAATATTTAGTTGACCTCCTGTCAGTCAAAGGTGCCCCTGTCTCATTTATTTTCTCTCCAGGAGTATTAGTTCTGATCACTGACCCCATTTTCCCCCACTGTATTAAATCACCAGCAGCAATCTGACAAGGCACTGATATGGGTCTTGGCCCTTCTTACCCAGAGGATATGTCAACACACCCCTGTCAACAAGGCTGGATCTGCCTTCCTGTCCCTCAGAGGGGAGCTGAGGAATAACTCACACAGGCAAATTCCTGTTAACCGCTTTGAACGTGGCGCGAGCAAGTGAACCTGCGAGATTTCATGCTGTGACTCTGCAGTAATGAGTACCCAGTGGCACATCAGAAACTCTGGACTTCTCCACCCCCACAAAATAACTCTGCCCTAATCCTCTGAAAAAACGTAATTTTGGGAATAATAGGGTGGGCTGCCATTATCCAGCCGATGAGGGAACAGCTTCGGGCTTTGTCCAGATACCTGTCTAATGTTACAGAACAAGAATGTTGTCACTACCGCACAGCCTGAAGACACAAGATGAGGGGAAAAAAAGAGCTTTTAATATCCTAAGAATGCCTCTGGTTGACTGCGGCCGGACATTAAGGGGAAGCTTTTTCCACTGTGTTGAAAGTGAGCGGTGGCAGTAAAGTTCCTCTGGGCCTTTGATGTGCAGATCTCTGAAGATTATGGGGTTTTGTGTCGTTGTGTTTTCACCCATGAAAGTGACAAAATCCTGTAATCAGAGTCTATTCACTGTAGATCCCCCCTTTTATACTTTCATAACCTCTCCCCTCTCTGTGTGTGTCTCATACCAGAGTGTCAGTGTGATTTGAAAGGGACCTTGAGTGGTGTTGGAGAGTGTGAACAGGTGAGTATTTCAATATTACCTGCTGTGACTGATACACATCTATTAATCAAATCGTGATTCAGATGAGACCATTATCTTACAAAGCTTTGACTAAAAGGCTCAGCCATTATGTCGTATCATTTAATCGTATTGTCTTATATTCTCCTGATGATCTGTTTGTTTAGAAAAACGGACAGTGTCACTGTAAGCCTTTTGCATGTGGACTTGCATGTGAAACCTGTAAGGAAGGATACTACCTGCTGCAGAAAAAGAAGTATTTTGGCTGTCAAGGTAAGACACCCTTCTTTGCCAAACTTTAAACACCTCTTTTACTCACATACTTTATACTATGTGCTGCTGACTATGTCGAGTAGCAATCTGATCGTATACTGACAATTGGTTTTTCCTACGCCAGTATTAAGGCGACTTTAACTAACTTGCTATTAGAGTTAAGACTGAATGAAAATAGGCTAATCTCTGGTATCTGCACCCTGCTGAGCATTCAGAAATGTTACTGCTGGAGCATGGTGTCTGCCTGCTGAAGCCCGTTAATCAGAACGAGTGTTGAGTGAAATTTAAATCTTTAATTACAAACAGTTTGCCGTCTCTTTTCCATGGATCTGACATCCTGCATCTCCGTTCTACATATTCCTGCTCACCAAAACTTTGCTCTGCACTCCATGAGAAGAGTTAATGTCGTGGATATAATTTGATTGTGATATCAAGGATAAGATAATAATGTCAAACGGAACATGATGCTGTGATGTTGTTGCACATGGGAGTTTAAAAAAAGAGCCATTGTTTGAATAGAGGAGATATTGTATTAAATAGATTTTTTTTCATGTTTAAATATTTTAGATCAGGTGTACAGATTCTTTTATGAATCACCTCATAACCGTCCGTATTGTCTGACTTCCTTTAATTAATATTCATTGAGATACAGAGGACCATCTCTTTGGAACAACCTGCTTCCATCACTACAATAAACATCGGCATTATTTTTAAATCAAAAAACATCTGAATGGGACTCTAATTTACAAAGACTCTTAACACTTCATTGATTCACACAAAACATTTTTTTTGTAATTTGCACATTTCTTGTAATTTGTAATACTGCTAGTCTTGAAACTTTGATCAATTATGCTATCGTTGATTATATATTTTTCTTTTTTTATGTGTCATTATTGCTATGTAATAGTGGAGGTATCTTCATAAGCCATTTTTCTGACCTCACCTGCACAGTGTTTACACATTTTAAATACTTACTGTGTGTTTAAAATGTTTAAACACTGTGCAGGAGAGGTCAGAAGCCAAAAATGGCACATAAAAAAGAAAACGATATAAACAAAGATTGCATTGCTGATTGCTGCTCTCTTTGGTTCAAAGTTTGAAGTGTATTGCATCTGTGACCACGCCCAACAGTGATGTCACCATACAGTACTGACCACACCCTGAGCACACTTTATCTCTGCAACAAGATGAGAGGTTGAACCACTGGAGGTCAGCACATACAAGGCTTTAGGTTAGCCTACATTAAACCCTCTGCAGAACAGTGTTGGGCAAAATTATTAGATTTAGTTTAGTTTAATGTATTTATTTGCACATACATGTGTATAGGCAAGACAGTAAGAGCAGGGAAATACTGCTTTTTAGTCTGGTAATAAAGGGCTGTTGCGTGAACTACAGATTGTACTTCGGCATTTTCGTATGCCTGTTACTCCGTTGCCTATTTTTTGCCTCAAATGTTTTCAGAAACATACTTTAGTGCACTGTTTAACTGTAATTCAAAATTGCTTGTAAGAGGCCGACCGCCATATTGTTTCCTGTGTCAAAACAGCCAAGCTCAAATTACGTCACTCACCAGCAGTAGAGTTTATTTGCCTGATGCAGCACAGTGCATTCTGGTAGTTGTAGGTTTTCTTCCTCTCGAAAAAAAAGCAAATGCCACAGCTCTTTTTCTCTGTTTTCTCTCATCATGTGGCACCACTTTCAAAAGTACTTACATCTTTCTTCTGCTGCATAGATAGCCCAGTTTTATTAAAAGACCATCTTTCCAGCAGTGAAGTTACTCTTTAATAAAAAATACTGACTTTTACTCTCCCTGGCAGGTTGTCAGTGTGATGTAGGTGGTGCCATTGGCATGGCATGCGATGAGATGTCGGGACAGTGTTGGTGTCGGAAGAATGTAGTTGGCCGTGAATGCACAGAGTAAGATGTGGTTTTCTTGAATGTCACATTTAGCATGACATATTTTCACTTTTGCAAATAAATTAAATTAAACTTTTTGTGCATCTTGTTAGGCCTGCACCAAACCACTATTTCCCCACCCTCCACCAACTGAAATTTGAGGTTGAGGATGGCACCACGCCGAATGCCAGACCAGTGCGCTTTGGTTATGACCCCCAAGAGTTCCCAGATTTTAGCTGGAGAGGTTATGCTGTAATGTCTCCTGCACAGGTTAGTACAAACTCACATCAGTACCTTGATATATTTGATGTGGTTATTCTGATAAATTGCACTATGGCCAGTCTATTTTGGGGACTATCTGCTACTTCAATAAGCTATTAGCTTCCTTTTTCAGTCTATTCTGATGCCACCATGATTGTTTTGCTTTTACCTCTGCTCTGATATTCCTGCTTAAAGCACACAACCTTCTATGATATCAGGGGTGATGTGGGACTGTGGACACCAGCTCTCTTAGAACTAACACTATCTCTCTTCAGCCGGAGGTGATCCTTACACTTACGCTTGGCTTTCCTGGCCTTTTCCATATTGTAATGCGCTACTCCACCCCTAAAAGAAAGGGGAGAGCACAAGTGAGAGCGAGGATCTTGGTGGTGGACGAAGCTGGCTCTCAGTCTTGCTGTGACTGTAAGTGAAGGGCCTGCCTTCCTTTGGCTGTATCTTCATCCCTCCGCCTCGCTTGCTGTCTGTTGATTAACCCGCTCTGTTTGCTCAAGTTCTCATGATTTTTTAACCTTTCCGGTAACATTATATCGTCATCGTCTACTCAAACCTGTGCCATTGCAGTCAGCCATGTGTCACTCTCGCCCCCGCAGAGTGAAGTCAGAGTAACAGTGCATGTTGACCCAAAAGATGAAAAGCAGCACTTATTCCGTGTGGTTCTGCGGTTCACTAACCCGAGCAGCACCAGTGTGACCGGTAGCATCAAGGCTACCAATAACAGAGGCACTGCAGGTGAGGCTGCCTCTTCCATTGTATCAGCTCTGACATTTCATGTACATTTCATATCATCAAGTCTAACCCATTGTTGAAGAAATACAATAAATAACTGATGTCCTTTTGCCATGTGTTTATGTAAGCTGGGGCGTGATGTGTCCCATGCTGATGATGTCCCACTCTCCAGCTGTGAGTGTGTATGATTACAGACCTTTCTTCCTGCTGCTCTTCAGGGTCAGATCAGAGTAAGGAAGTAATATTCCCCAGGAGTCCCTCCCCATCCTTTCTCACTGTCCCGGGAGAGGGCTTCGCTGAGCCCTTTGCGCTGACCCCTGGGAAATGGATCATTCACATAAAGGCAGAAGGGGTTCTGCTGGTGAGTTTGTACTGAAGACAAAATTGTAGGAATTGTCTTGTAAGATGTGAAAAGAACAAGAATTTAAGTCTTACTGTGTAATGTTGTACTGTGTTTATTCCTCTGTTCATTTGTTCATAGAAAGGCAAAGTCCCTCCCCTTCTCGTGAACAATAGTCAACGGCGAGAGGCAAATAATTTTTTGATCCTGCTTGAATTTTGCCATAAGTTACACAAATGATGTATGTCAATTTAAAAGATAATTTTGTGAGTCAAAAAAAATGTGCAGTTTGCCGTAGGTTTGTTATAAAACCATTTAGGTTTGTGTGACTACTCTTGTCTTGCATGATAAACATCACCAACATCAGTTCAGTCAGGAGAGACTCGTGCTGAGAGAAAGTGATATTTATTTATATGTGCACAACTATCTGAGAAATGTAACAAGTCTTTGGCGATTAGACCCCATCGTGATGTCATCTATTCCTGAAGGGTGGTAAGGGAGTAGTAGATTAGGGATTCCTGAAATGAAGAGGGAGCTGAGGGTCTGGATGTGAAGAGGAATGGGCTTTTGATGAGCTCGTCCTGGGCTCTGGATAAGGTGACTGGAGGCGAATGGGTTGGAGGAGGGTGCGACAATTCAGCCTGAAATGACAGCTGACATGAGCAGAGAGGAGAACAGATTTAAAGTTTGTCATTGGGCCCATAGAGCAACTGCACAAGAGACTCCGCCAGCCAGACCGTCTACTTCCATTAAGCACTCTGCTTACTTGAATAGGGATAAAATGACTTAATCGTGCGCCTCTTCTAGACTTCCCAAATGTTATCCAAACAAATGGATCAAATCCTGATGGTAAAACAAGTTATTTTGTGGGGTTTGTAACACTAAAAAAAAAAAAAAAAAGAATTCGCTGATTAACAGACGTCGCCTTCACAATGTAAATCTATGGAAAAGGTCCAATGACATCACGTAACCGACCCAGAAGTTGTAATTTCACGTTTGGCCACTAGGAAAATTGGCTTCACACTCCACAAATGTAACTTTATCGTTCCTGATGCGTTTTATCCAGCTACTTATCAGCCAGGAAGCAAAACAACGAGCAAGACCTGTTGCTTGCATGAGAATATTTGGGTTTATTTGGTGAGAAAGAAAGTTATGACATGACTTACACGACTTGTGTAGTCTTTCTAATTCTGCGTTTTCAGTCTTATACAGATTCACATCAAACTGCAATTGTCGTGTCTTTCAAAATTATCTTTTAAACTGACAAACATAATATGTGTTATTCCTGACACGATTCAAACTGGTTTAAGCAATCATTTGTCCCAAGCCATTAACTACCATACATATTTTTCATGAAATAAGGTCCCATGTCAAATGGAAGAGGAGGGACTTTGCCTCTCTATAGGAGAAGAATAGTAAAAGACTGAATACTAAGTTCATATTGTCACTTTTACTTCTCAGGACTATTTAGTGCTGCTGCCGCAAGATTACTACGAGGCACCTCTGCTGCAGGAGAAGATCACAGAGCCCTGCACATACTTACCCACTGCACGCAGGGATACAAAGTAAATCTTTATACAGTTCCTGGTTCCAGTTTACTGGCTTGGTTTAACTAACTAAAGAAGTCTGTCATGATAAGTATGTGTAAAGGGTGCAGGTGTTTTTTTTATAGCTGAAATGAATCATAATATACAGATTGGTTGTTTTGTGCCAACGAGTAAGAAGAGAAGTCAGGAAAACAGGATGAACTTGTAATTATCTCTCATCATTTTTGCTGACTCTTACTCTTCTGTGTGTCTCTTTCCCAGCTGTTTGCTGTACAAGCATGTGGCCATGGACGGCTTCAGCTCTGCTCTGGGCTCACAAGGAGTACTCTCCAGCCGCAAGGGGCGCAAGAGGAGGCAGGCTCGTGTGCATCGTCCCACCCCAGATCACCCCGAGATGGCTGCTCTCAATGGCAGACAGGTAGAAGGCCTGAATACAATCACATACCTTTTCCTTTCACTTTCCTTTTTCTTCACAGCAGCTGCCCATATAAACTACATACTGTCACATGCAGTATCCACACAATATGGACATGCTACTTCCTCATAACATTGCACCCTGACCCCCCATATATATCCATTACCTCGGATATAAAACATTTACCGAGCTAGCCAGAGACAGAGGTCAATCCGCAGAGCTCAGCTGTTGTTACTTTGCAATAACTGCATACATAGTAGATTCTAACACAATATATTTACAACAGTAAAATTACATATGCATTCCTTGTCGTTGGTAATCTTTATGATTATTTTTTTTCACTTTAACAATTCATATTCCTGTTAATACTATTCGACTGGTCATCAGTTACTTGAATGCTCCATCATCCATTATTGTGGACTCTGACAGCTGTCAAAGAGCTGTCGAGCTGTCATCTGTCTGGCGCTCAGTCGATGTGACGAATCTTCCGCTGTGCAGAAATGCTGCAAAATGTGACTGAATACCAACCATCCTGGTATTTTTGGCATATTAGATATGACATACTATGTATTGGGCCATACTAAATCTTTTTCTGGCATCCTAAATAGTATGGTAGTTTGGATATTGTAACGCACAGAGAGTTTGTTTTTATTATTGTAGGGATCACCTTTGAAGCATGAATAGGTTGAGCACAAAGCTATAAAAAAGACTGAGGTCATTCCAGAAGTTCTTATCAGCTGTTTCAGAGTTCAGAATAAAAACAGATGATTGGGTTTTTGGCAATGAGACTGTGGAACTTCTGCCCAGTTGGCTAAAGCTAAATCTTTTAAGTCAGTAGTTGGTAATGCTTTAATAATTTTTCACTTATTGCTTATTAACCTCCCTTAGATTGTTTTTCTTTTTATTGGAGTTCATTAACATAAAATGACTGTATGGTCTGTGTCCTGTAGTCGCAGCTCCAACTCAGTCTACGTGTGCCCCGTCCCGGCCCGTACGCCCTCATCCTGGAGTACGCCAGCGAGGTGGACGCTGTCCAAAATGTCAACATACTCATCAGTGGCCAAACAGATTTTGAGATTCCAGCCAGGGCCAACATTTACAGTTGTGCCTACAGGTGAGTCTGAATTTGTATCTCTTACTTCAGCTGTCCAAACACTTCTTATATTAGTGTTTTGTTGATTTATGTCTTTATAATCTGTAACAACAGTAATGTTCTGGAGCTGGAAAGTTGGAGAACACGTGTGTTTTTCAGCTGTTGTGTGTCTTTAACCCCTGCAGCTTTTTGTGCCGGAGTGTGGCCGTTGACAGCAGCAACCAGGTGACATTTTTGCAGCTAGATCACAAGACGGAGATTCTTCTGCAAACTTCCACAACATCATTCCTGTTGGTGAGAGAAACGTTTCCACAAAACATTTCTAATAGCTCAATATCTAGATGTGCAATTTAAAATACACTTGTTTCTGTCTCTAGTATAAAGTGTATGCAGTTCCTGCAGAAGAGTTCTCCATTGACTATGTAGAACCCAAGGTGCTGTGTGTCTCCACTCATGGCCGCTTCACTGAGGCCACGTAAGTCACCTTGAATAAACTCACTCGCATGCTTTTAATAGCATTAATCATGCAGGCCTGTAAATGTAAGCTGCAATTTAGGAGATGATGCTATAAGACTAGTCACTCGTCTTGTCTTGTTGTTTCGGAGTGCAGAGACACACACCTGTTTTCCAGGTGCGATTGCAGGCGTCCCTTCAGCTGTGTAAGATAATATACCTGAGGATGAACTTAGGGTCAACTCCTTTCTCACTCTGACACACTAAATTTACTCTCACCCTGAACCTAAAGACCAGGTTAGATGTTACAGTTAAGCATGTGTTTACAGCTGTCAGTGTGCAGTCCTGTCCTTTACTGTAATTCACTTCTGAGCAGTGTAAAAAATGCCTCCACAAAAGGGAAAATATGACAAAAAAGAGATGGAATTGATTTAAGAGAGCCTCTATTTTTACAGAAGGTTAAAGATCTTCTTAAGCATAGGAAACAGTTATAACAGGACTTTTTCACATGATTGTGTACCGGTTTAGTTTCTAAATCTGGAAAGAAAAGCACACATTTGACCAAGAGGGAAATTCAGGGATAATTTGAAGTAAGTCTGACAAAGCATTGGCGTGAAATGGGGAGGTAGAATCAGGAAGGAGGGCGTACAACCTGAGGGCAAAGTGTTATCCTGCAAAACAAAGGCTTTCCTTAGAAGTGTATATATATAGTGTGTGATGTCAGAATTAATACACATTGATGAGACAGTGTGATAACTAGAGGATTTCAAGATTTAAAAAAGGATTATTGGAGATTCGTGTTGTTTTATTAGTCGTAACCTCTGACTATCCCCTGACGCCTCCCCTAAGTCACATTGTTCTGCTACAATAGCATTTGGCAAACACCCTCAACAGGCTTTAAGTAACAACATCTTGTTGCTGTTTACTTTTCTAGTCGATACTGCGTTCCGAGGCAATTCGACAAGCCAACCTCAGCCTGGATTTTGTATGCTGCCCGTGATGGACAGCTCTCTGCAGCACCGGCTGTCTCTCCCCAGCGAGAGGAGAGCGAGGATTGGAGACGGAGGCGACAGACCGGCGTGTTCCCTATCCGTGAACCTCAGAGTGATGGGGTTCTGCTTAAATACCCTCAGGTAAAAACTTTGTTGAATAATCTGAGCTTTGCTAGACTTCCCCCTGCTGCTGGGAGACATTCATCGAGCAACCGCTGCCCTGACAATCATTTTCAATTCCAGCACAACTTTTAAACGCTTAAGCTTCCTCCTTTTATTTTTTATTTCTCCAGACGGAGATCACTTTCACACCGAAGGTGCCCCTCCCAGGCACATATGTGGTTGTGGTCCATTATCACCAGCCTGAACATACTTCCTTCCCCGTAGAGGTCCGAGTGGATGCAGGGCGTGAGTGGAAGGGTAAGTGTGTAGGAGGGAGCGGTAGGCTGACTCCTGTGAAATAAAATAGAATTATAGCGCTTATCAGCTTCCACTGAAGCACATATAAGTGCGGTTACTCGGGCAGTGAGCCCTCTCAGTGAGGGGGTGATTCCTCCTTAAGAGCAGATTAAGTCCCTGGGCTCATGACAAGATGATCAAAGGCCTTGGACACACTTCCCTATATGGCTTTAGTGGAGGGACGGATTATTGTGCAGCATGCAAAAGTCTCTCCCTCTTTGTCTACTCAACTTTAACTCTGCTCTTTTCTTACAGGTTCAGTAAATGCATCCTACTGCCCTGCGGTCTCAGGCTGCAGGGGGGTTGTGATCGCTGATGGGCGCATCACCCTTGACTTTGAGGAGAATACTTGGCAGCCGCCCACCATCTCTGTGATCGTGCCACCTAAGAAGACACTTATTCTGGTCGATGCTCAAGTCAAACTCTGTCCAAATGATGTTTAACCAACAAAATGAAAGTGGTAGAAATAGAAATAGAAATAGAAAATGGGAAAAAATAGTAAGACACTTCTGTGTTCATTTAGTGTGTGTTTTGTACTGGAGAGGTTGGCATGCTGAGGTCCTCTTTCCTTAGTGTTATGCCATATCCCCAACAACAACAATGAAGGGACTGTATTCTACCTGGCAGCCCCACACAGCTTTCTAAAAGCTAAGCCTCCAACCTCAGTAGCACGGGGGCAGATCGGGCTTTGCTTTCCTGTTGTTCCCTTACATTTACTTTCTCTTCTTCAGATAAAATCAAGCAGAAAAATGTGGATAAAACACTTAAAATCCTCAGTTTATCTGCTTATCAGTCTCTGCGTAGTACTGATAAATATGATTTAAGCACAAAACAAAACAAACTGAAAGTTTCTGGTGAGATTGTGTGTTTTAATCAGTTGTTATGCTTTGTGTCTTTTGTGTAGGATTATATCATGTTGGTTCCTGATAGCAGCTACACTCCAGATCTCCTGAAAGAAAAGCCGCAGGATAAATCTACAGATTTCATACAGCAGTGTAGAGGAGAGAGTTTCTACATTGAGTAAGTATCCACCAAATCCATTTGAAATGGTGTTTTAAAGATCAGCTGTTTAATAATTTTATTATAAGCTCTTTTATCTTGTAATCTGTGAGATACTGATGCCTTGTTTGATTTTCCTACTGTAATGTTCCCTTAACTCCCCCTTGCAGCAGTTTTAAAACAATAAACACAGTGGAAGTTTTTGGAAACAGTGCCCTCTAGCTGTGATGATGGAGTACAAAACCACATCTGTATTTGAAAGAACTCCTTTTATTTTTCTGTCTCCTCAGCCCGAGAAATTCTCCCCAGTTCTGCAGAGACTCTGCCCGCTCTCTTGTAGCAGCGTATAATAACGGAGCTCTGTCTTGTGACTGTGACAAGTCCGGCTCCACAGGGAGCACCTGTGATCCAGTTGGAGGACAGTGTCCCTGCAGGCAGCATGTCATCGGTCGACAATGCACAAAGTGTGCCACGGGATATTACGGCTTCCCCTACTGCAGACGTGAGTGAACGGTTACTTCACTGAATGTGACAGTTTCCCACTCTTTAATCTCTAAAATCCCCTCTCTCTCTTCTGCAGCGTGTGAGTGTGGCCGTCGACTGTGTGACGAGGTGACAGGAAGCTGTATCTGCCCGCCTCAGACAGTCAAACCAGCCTGCGATGTGTGTCAGAATCAGACTTTCAGCTATCACCCGTTACTGGGCTGTGAGGGCTGTGACTGCTCTCCTAATGGCATCAAAGCCAACGCAGGGCCTGACTGTGACCGCGTCACCGGACAGTGCAGGTAAGTGAAAATCTAAAACCTACGGCGATATGGAATAAACATCAAATATCACAATATTTTTCACCAAATACAAGATCAGTATTCACTATTGGTGCTTTTACAAAATATTTACACAAGATTTTTGTTTAATACTCACCAGTAATGTGGATGTAATTGACCAAGTGAGTAAAGGCAGATAATAGAACAGCTAGAGCAGTCTGGTGAGTTCAGTAAATTACATTAATTTACTGTAATGCAGCCTTTAAAACCAGGGAAAGGAAACACTTTCAATATTACGATATCCAAAATCTAAAACAACATGTAGTCTCATGTCACAATATTGATATAATAACAATTTATGGCCCAGACGTACTACAAGGTCTACACACATAAAATTGGAGGTTGAGGTTTATTAGTGAGATAAGTAAATTAAACAGTGCTCTGTACCGTATGTTTTTTTTTCTGTTTCCTGTGTATTAAACTAACAATAAAGGATGGAAAAAACATGTTGCCATGTTACAGAAATTTTATGTGACTGAAAGCAAAAAAGTTCTTGACACAAAAACAAAAACTCACTTAAAGCATAAGATTCAAATTAGACGAGAGAGTATTATTAAAAAAAAAAAAAAAAAATCTCAATTTAAAATGACAAAAAGGATGAAAAGACCGGCCTGTACAATTTTTTTTTTCTCCACATTTCGTAAGAGCAAATACTTAAAATAGAATAAAATAAAAGAATAAATAATAACATGGGTATTAAATCCTAATCTCTCTAAAACTCAATAATAAATTGCAATATTTCTGTTTGCTATTTGTGTTTATTTGATGTCAGCCATAGATTTGCTGAAGTCTACCACACAGTTGAGTTGGCACCTTATTTTTTTGTTTTTATTGAGTTTCAAAAAAAATATTTAGATGAAAGTTTATTACACAATTTTTAGCTTTCTCTGCCCACCCCACCCCATGGCACAGCCATGTTCAAAAATATAAATAAATCAATAAAATGAAATGAAATAAAATGTAAAATCTTAAAAGGGGAAGAAAACAAAATTAACAGAAAAATGGGTTTCGAAAAGTTGACATTTTGATAGTGGGGAAGTTGTGCCATACCACAAAACAATTTGCATTGGAAAGCAAATTGCCATATGTGGCAAATAGTGAAATAGACTGCACTTTCTAGTCTTAGACCACTCAAAGTGCTGTAACACCACATGTCACATTCACACACTGGTGGCTGAGGCAACCATACAAGGTGCCACCTGCTACTCTGTAACCATTAACACGCTCTCACACACTGATGGAACAGCCATCTGGAGCAATTTGGGGTTCAGTGTCTTGCCCAAGGATACTTTGACATGCCGACTGGAGGAGCCGGGGATTGAACTGCAATCTCCCAATTAGTGGGCAACAGACAACAAGCACATTATAATCACCCAGTAGTCCCCGGGGCTGCCCCTCTTGCCATAAATATATATGTGGTTGCCATATTTAAAAAAATCTAGATTTAATCTGTGGGATGTAGCTTGACATTTCATTTAACCAATGTAAAACTGAAGCAGGGTGATCAGATTTCCAGTGGACTGTAAGGCACTTCCTTGCTGTGATCAAAGACAGTTTGACGAAAGGTCCATATTGTGTGCCAAGAAAACACAAGTGAGGTGATTTTGTGACATTTCATAGTTTTCTGGTAGGTAACAAATTCTGTGTAAAATGAGTTGTCAGCTGAACAAATAATGACTGTCCCATGCTGCCAATACATTCTCTCTTTCATGCACTTATTTTTGAGTGATGAGGAAGTTGGAATGTGAGACCTACAGCCTCGAACAGTGAAAGTAAAACATGACACCAAAATTCTTGAAGTGATTAATGAGGGGTTTAGTTCATGGTCCGGTCATGTCAGTCGTCTTTTCTATCACATATGTATTAAGTCTCAAAAGCAGCTTGGTTAATCCGTTAATAAGGAAACAATGGAATGCATAAACGCATGGAGGCATAAAGCCACATACTGTACAATGCATAAAATCTGATTACATGTATTTTCCTCTTCACAAAAATCTGTTAATATCTGACTTTATAAATATATAAACCTCATATGATTGTTTTGAATGTTAAGACAATGTCCTTGTGTATTTTTATGCAGCTGCAAGCCAAGGATTGGAGGCCGGCAGTGTGATCGCTGTGCCGCAGGGTATTACGGCTTCCCTCAGTGTTTACCTTGTAACTGTAAGAAAGGTGGCGTCACACCCGACATCTGCCACCCAGAAACTGGAAGGTGTCTCTGCAAGGTGAGTTCATTTCATTAGAATGCTGATTTATTCCCTCCCTCTGGCTCATTTTGGTGTACATGTCTTTTCTTGCTCTGACTTTCTCTCTATTATTGCCGCCGTGTTTGTAGAGAAATGTTGCTGGCATCAAGTGCGATACCTGTCGGGAAGGTTCCTTCTATTTTGACCCCTCGAATCCTCGCGGCTGTACCAGCTGCTTCTGCTTCGGAGCGACTGACCGGTGTCAGAGCTCCAGCAAGCGCAGGGGGAAGGTGTGTTTGCTTTTCGTGCCCCTGCATGTCTATGAATGCCTTTGGAAATTTTATGCCTGCAGAGCTTTCTGGCTGATAGCAGCTCTTTGTGAACAATGTAATTTGTTTAATGAAAGCTGCACATGCTGTACAGGTGCTCAGGAGAATGATCTGCAATTGCATGGTGGTGATTTCATTGGAATTTGGGTACATAATGTGATTCACATTCATCTCTTGCTTATATGCATGGTTAATTACAACCCCGTGGAGTTGGTTATCACTTGTGAAATGTGAATACATTTCAGCATTAGGGTGGATTTTTTCCTTTAACCCCCACATACTCCCTGTTATTAGTTTGTTGAGATGCAGGTCTGGCGTTTGGAAAGCCCTGACCAGGAGGAGGTTACCTCTGTGCTGAACACAGCCAGTAACACAGTGGTGGCAGACATCCAGGAGCTTCCTCCCACGATTCAAACTCTACACTGGGTGGCACCATCGGCCTACCTGGGAGACAGGGTGAGTTGATAAACAGAGACAACATGCTGACAATAAGATTGTCAATAAATGTTCACTAATAATTGGGTGTGAAACAGATGCAGTGTGTTTCAGTGTGTTTGCAGATCAATAGCTTCATAGTTATTTTATTACAAAATCAAGCCAAATAAAAGGTGATATTACAAGAAACATCTGTGTTTGTTGGGTCTTATTTTCATATTTTCATAGCTGTGTCCTTGTTCCCCGTTGCACTCACTAACATATGCAATCTAGTTGTGTTTCTATTTCAAACAGGTTAATAAATGACTCATGACTTCACTTACCACCCCAGTCAAAAACACATTTTGCTGTAGAGATGTCTGCCTTTACTCGAATATATTGGAACTAGATGGCTCTCAGCTTGTGGTGATCACAGTGCCTAAAAGTACATTTAAAAACCCAACAGGAATGTCTCTTTCCAGAAATCATGACCTGGTTATTCAAGATAGTACACAGACCCTGCAAGCAATTTGATGTAGGAACTACTTCCTTTCTAGTGAGCTACACCCACCAACATATTACCGTGCTAAGCTAGCTGACATTACAGCTCAGCAGAGTTCACTGTCATGAGCACAACTCTCTTGTCCATGAGTAGATGCACATTTCCTTTGGTGGGTGCAGTTTGGTAGCAAGAAAATAGTTCCTACATGAAGCTGCTCACACCAAGGTCTGTGGATTATCTTGAGTAACCAGGTCATGTTTTTTTAGAAAGAGACATTGCTGTTGAGTTTTTCAAATGTATCTTCAGCACTTTAAGCACATGAAGCAGAGCGACATGAAGATCCATCATGTTTAAGAGAAGGCAGACATCTCTAATCTGCAGCTCACACCAAACTGATGAACATATGTGATTTAGATTTTGGGCCGAACTGTCTCTTTACCTTTCTGATTACCCTCCTATCAGACCTTTCAGTTGTGTTTTAACTGAACTCAGATAATTAAGTTTATCAGCTTTTTTTATTGCCCTCATCTTCAAGTATTGTGCTTTTATTGAGTCTGTTTCAGAAAGGCTACAATGCCCATAAAATCTTAGTAATTAGATTAATAAAGATAAAGTAACTACTAGAAATGATGGTCTCAGCTGTTACTTCCTAGTTGTGAAAACAGACCCAGCATCCTTTAATACATTTCTGTATACCAGTGGTTTCTGCACTCCTTTCAAATAAGCTGATGGATATTTGTTTTTATTTTTCTCTCCTTTCTTTTAGGTTTCATCATATGGTGGTTTCCTCACCTACCAGTCCAAATCCTTTGGGATTCCCAGTGAGGGGATGACACTCATGGAGAGAAGACCTGATGTTGTGCTGACTGTACGTAGTGCTTCTACTTTCTTCAGTCTAAGACCTCTCATTTTTATCAGTGGCAGATACACATTTCGTTCATCCATCTTGTTATTTCCCCCTAGGGTCATAATATGACCCTGGTCCACATGGCTCCACAAGCACCACTTCCAGACAAGCTGTATCAGGGCAGAGTCCAACTCTTGGAGGTAAAGTGCAAGCCAGTTCCTCTGTTTGACAATCTAAAGCACCACTAGGCTGTGACTTTGAATCAACCTCATGGAAGGAGATGAACAACACACTGACGATTTTTGTATTCTTTGAGACTTGAGGTCATTCAAACCGATAAGCATAAGCATGAATGTCTAGAATGTAAAGTTGTCATCTTCTGGGGAGTGTAAAAGAGCCCTTTTATCCCGATAATGATGCCAGAGATAAGGTCAGAGATATTTTATATGACGTCTAATGAAATATGTAATGAAATATGATTTTTGAACATAGCGCCCCCCTGCCCTCTTCAGATTTCTCATCTTAAATGACTGATATGTTGTCTGCAGGGAAACTTTCGCCACGCTATCACCAACAGGCCTGTCTCCAGAGAGGAACTGATGATGGTCCTCACTGGTCTGGTTGGCCTGAGGATCCGAGCCTTGTACTTTACTCAGACTCAGCGTCTCAGCTTAGGAGAGGTGGGCCTGGAGGGGACAACTGACATGGGGACCGGTGGTCCTGGAAACACAGTGGAAGACTGTTCCTGCCCCCCTGAGTACACCGGAGACTCCTGTGAGGTGAGGAGCTCAAAGGCTGTTAAATATTCGTCAATACTGCTTTGACTTTATTTTCCCTGACTAAAAATGTGTATAGGTGTGAAGATAAGTGATTTTATGATTTAAAGGAGACTATTCAGGTTCATACTTGTATTTTGGGTCTCTACTAGAACATTTCTACATGCTTTAATATTCAAAAAACACGCTATTTTCCCCATACCTGTCTGTGTTGAAACACCTGTATTCACCCTCTGTCTGAAACACTACATTCAGTGCCTGTCTCTTTGAGCTTCCCTCCTGAAAAAGCCCAGTCTGCTCTGATTGGTCAGCATTTCCAGGTCTTCTGCACTTGGGTCTCTGCACTAGCGGAAATGACTGTAACAGAGTATAGTGTCACTTTCTACTGTGAAAAACCACCCAAAAACTTTCTAAACCAAAATTTTCACAACCAGACATGTTCCAGCAGGAATATGATACGAAACTGGCTAAAAATTATTAACAAAGGCAACTAAGATTACAAGTTTTCCTGAAGTTAGCTTGTAGCTACATGTAGCAGTGTACTTTGCAGCTAGGGAATGACTGTAATGGAGTGTAGCGACACTTTATGCCAAGAAAAATCACAAGTTAAAGCTTCTTAATCAAAATCTTCACAACTAGAGAGTAATATGTTCCAAAATTGGGTAGAAATTACGTTAGCATGTAGCTACAAGTAGCAGTGTACTTGCAGCCAGGGAATGATTGTAAGGGCTTATAGCTGCACATTCTAATGTGAAAACTCACCAATAAAATCCTTTAAAACAAAATCTTCACAACCAGACATGTTCCAGCAGGAATATGATACGAAACTAGCTAAAAATTATTATCAAAGGTAACTAAGATTACATGTTTTCCTGATGTTAGCTTGTAGCTACATGTAGCAGTGTACTTTGCAGCTAGGGAATGACTGTAATGGAGTATAGCGACACTTTATGCCAAGAAAAATCACCAGTTAAAGCTTCTTAATCAAAATCTTCACAACTGGAGAGTAATATGTTCCAAAATTGGGTAGAAATTACATTAGCTTGTAGCTACATGTAGCAGTGTACGTGCAGCTAGGGAATGATTGTAAGGGCTTATAGCTGCACTTTCTACTGTTAAAAAGATACAAATAAAATCCTTTAAGCCAAAATCTTCACAAACACACGTTCCAACAAGAATATGATCTGGAATCGGTTTTGTTTATTTTATTTAAAAAGGGACAGTGTACATTAATTAATATGTTCACTTAAGTCACGTAAATGTGCCTGATTTAGCCATACAGGCTAATTTTCATCTGCAGTCACTGGCAGGTTGATGGTTTGTGGGTTTATAAGAAAAAGACATTACATACATGAAGCGGATTGATGGCATGTCCATAGAAGGGCACATAAATGTTTCCCTGATGTTAGCATGTAGCTACATGTAGCAGTATAGGCTACATAATGTAAACACTTGCAGTAGTGTGCCTGGAGCAGATGACCACATAAAGAAAGTCTTCACAAGCTGATGTCAACTTGTCTTGAAAGTCGTAAAAACTGTTGGAGACAGAGTATTCAGAATGGTGTGAAGCCTGAGGTATTTGGAAACAGGGATTACTTTTACATATGTGTACCTCGTTATTTGAAACATTGGCCACATTCAGTATGAACATCTGACACTGTAATATTACATACATGACAGAAAATAAGGAAAATAATAATATGTGTCCTTAAAAACAACAAACAAGTGTAGCATTGTCTGAAACTTAGCATGTTACATCCTGTCTTGGGTCTACTTGGCGTGAATCCAGCCTTATTGACTCTTTCATACTGAACAAAAATTTCCAGTCTTTACTATACCTGAGATCTACATAGGTGTTTAGATGAACTTGAAAATTAAAGACAGGGTGGGGGGATTCGGATCATTTCATAAGGTCTGAGAAACAGTGGAAAAAACAAGCAGGGTGGGGCAAGGTGTTGATTGATATGGCATCTTGTCATCTTTGAGGAACTGGACCTCCTCCTCATACTTTAAGGGTGTCCCAACACGCCTGAGCGAAGTACCACACCCTTTTTCTAGAGGAAAAATTAATCAGCAGGGGAGCTTTGGATGGAATGTACTGGAAAATACCATCCAGGGAGCTTCGCAGCCAAACTTCGTAGCCTCGGGGCTGGGATATGATGCACAATCACACAGACATTATATTAGCGATTATACCGCTATAATCACTGGCATGGTTACAGCTCACAGCAACGTAGTGCAAACAACCGTGATGTCGTTGCTTAGAAAAAGGCTTTACTTGAATTCCTTTTATCCTGGGAATGGTCTTGACGACTGAGTGTGTTTGTGCTTCTCAAATCTGATTTGTATATACATGATTGCAGAAGTTTTGCCCACAGAGGCCAATTAAAAATGAGAATAAAACAACCACTAATTAAAAGGGAGTTGTTTTAGGTAACAGAGAGCGTTTATTGGTGATAGAAAGAATATAAGTTTCCTGTGTTTGTTGGAGTGCTGTTGCCATAGATGTGGTTACCTTCCTGTGTGTATGTAAGCAATCGTCTGATCGGGAGTGTTTAAAGGAAGTTGATTATATGTGCCCCGAGGTAGTATGACAAGACGGCGCGCTTGACACACGGGGTGTGGCAGTTGGCAACACACTGTTACTCATAAACCTGAGTGCATTCGCCTGAGTGCGCCACGGTTTGTGCGTGTGTCTGTGAGTAAACCCGGCACACCTAGTTGTGTCTGTTGTGTGTTTGAGGAGCGTGATTCAGGTGTGAGTTTGTTGTCTGTGTTGTCTGAAGACATCTGACTTTCCTCTCAGTCACATATGCTTGCACAAACACTGATATGAACCACACAAACACACACACACACACACACACACACATACACACATAATTTTACAGAATATGTTTTGCTTGCTTTTTCATGCCGTGGCTTTATCGCCACACCCTTACAGCTTTAAGTAAACACAACAGCGTTTATAATATTGTCATTTTCCTTTTTTCTATTCAGAAATGCTAAAAGTGTATTTCCTGTGTGCATGCTTGTGTGTACACCCTGTCTGAATATGTCTAAGCTATTTTCTGTGTGTGTGTGTGTGTGTGTGTGTGTGTGTGTGAGTGAGGGAAAGAGGGAGAGAAAGGAGAGGGAGAGTACTTGCATGTGTGTGCTTGTGCGCCTGCATACACTCATGCTGATCTGCAAGACTGACTCAGGTAGAAGATGGGGCGTGTCCTCTTCATGTACGTGTGCGTGTGTGTTTAAGAGGCTGAGGCAGGGGAGAGTCGAGCATTATTTCACACAGACTAAACGTTCGGAATGTCAATTACACGTATGGATAGACGACGGCGTACGGGACTTTTGCTCCAGACCCTGCTATGTTGGGCTTTGATTGGTCTTTGCTGCGCTGGCCACAGACCCCGAGAGAGAGGGGAACGAACCCGCCACACCAGGCATCATGACAGATTGTCTCAGAGGATACACTACCCGCAACTTAATGACCAGGGAACACAGAAGATAGAGTATCCATCACTGAATGATCAGGCTATCAGGTGGATACGCGTGCCCTGGCTGTTTGGCAGAGGACAGGCAACTCGCCCTCCTGCTGTTAATGACAGTGCTGCCAGTTCTCAGATTCAGGTAAAAATCTGTGAAGATGTGATGCGTCTTCTTGTTGGAGTGATATTGTTTTGCACTGCTCAGCGTCTCAGGTGTGGGTTGTTGGTGACTTGAAGACTGTTATCATTGAAAGCAAAGTTCATGCTTTGGTTCCTCAGCGTTAACTGTTAATGACACTTAACCTTAGGTCAAGTTTATTGCTGTGTGCTTCGCAAATTCTCAAACCTCATGATAGATCAAAGACAGTCGTCTCGGAGAGTCAATTTTTAATACTCGTAGTTTTAGGTCAAATAAAACAGAGGCTGGTTCCACAGTTTATATGTTTAGTCTCTCTACTGAACAGCAGTAATAACATTTTGTGTATCATTCAAGGTTCAATGCAATATGATAGTATATAACCAAAGAAGATAAAAATGTGTATATGTACATATACTGTAAATAATTATAGTTACAAACTATGACACAAATCAGGAAGCGGAATGCTTTCTTTTTTTCTTTTCTGTTCTTTTATTTAATTTAATTTTTTATTTTATTTTATTTTATCGTATTTTATTTATTTACGAGTGTTGAATTTGGGATTTTGACATCAATTTGATAAATGACTGATTTTTCCGTATTTAATTCACTGGATTAGCCAAAAACAGACACTTCTGGCTGGTTATTTAATCTTTAAAAAATCTGTTAAACAACAACAACAACAACAACAACAACAAAACACTTCCACAAAAATATACTCTATTATATGATATTCCAGATTTTATCCACAAATATACTGTCTGCCCATAGTATCATTATTGATCCAATGACGCACTTTGGTATATGAGTAGTTGTATATACTTGTAAATAAGAGGTAACTTCAGGTTTGGTGATCATGTCTTTACTTGTGTGTGGGGTTTTTTTCCAGAAATGTGCCCCTGGTTTCTACAGAGATGACAGTGGACCCTTCCTGGGCCGCTGTGTGCCCTGTGACTGTAACGGTCTCGCTGATGAGTGTGAGGACAAGACAGGGAGATGCCTGGTAAGAAACGCACTCAACCCTCATCCCTTATCAGTGGCTTCAGGTATACCATAGACGCCCACACATACCTTAAAACCAAGGGCAATTACTTCACCCCAGCTGACTCCAGTGTGAGCCACAGTTTAGTCAGAGTCTAGACCTCGAACCTTCAGGGTACATCTGTGGGCCACATCAGAAACACTGTTTGATAGGGCTTCCTGATTTCCAGACATGGGTTATCGTGTTCATTATTCTCTCTGATGGGAAGATGAGCCTTTACGCATTTCCAAATCTCAGTCGACTCTGTTGTGTTACTGTTATGTAAGACACTCAAGACCGGGCCTGTTTTTGCAATGCAGCCATGGATCCACACCCTAGCAGCTCAAAGCCAAATGGACACAAGCGGCTGAACACACACCATGCGTCAGACACACTCTAAGAATGATTTGATTGGAAATGTGTTTTTTCTGTTTTTTTTTACATTGTCCATCTATAATCTTGCTTCTTGACACCCTTAATGCTTCTCATTTAGGTTGCAAGTGGTTTATTAAATACATTTTGTCATTTTCAGAACTGCAAGTACAACACAGCAGGGGACCGATGTGAACGCTGCAAAGAAGGTTACTATGGAAACGCAGCTCAGAGAACATGCATAGTTTGCCCGTGCCCATTCAGCTTTGCCAGAAACAGGTGGGTAATAAAAACAAAACATCTCCAAACAGTTGTACAGTAACTAAATGGAAATGTGTGTTTCAAGAACTAAATCACAATCTCTCTGTCAATCTGCAGTTTTGCAGTCGGTTGCAAGGAGTTCTTTGGAGACATCAAGTGTGTATGCAGAACAGGCTACACTGGAGACAAGTGTGAGAGGTGAGTGGCTGTAATGGCAGATATATGGGCAGTTTAAAGGCCCAGAGACAATGGCAAATTAGCACATACTTTGTGCACCTGTGTGAGAGGAAATAACTCTCCATACTAACAGGTGGCGGTAGTCCGTATTGATTATTAAAAAAGAGAAACTGAAAGACCGACAGGACAAGTTAGCCAGTTAGCAAATTAACAACACAAGCCAATGTTGAAAGAACAGAGGATGACAATAACACATCCAGTTACGAACTGCCTCTGCTAAAGAGCTCAATTGCTAGAAAAAAATCTTACTTCATCTAACAAGTTTATTTTGATCTCACACCCTCTTGACTTTAGTCATTTGCTTTCCTTACTTGTGTTTCTCTTCTCGTGCACGGAGCTGACCTGCCAGTCAGTGTGATTTCATTCAGCGATAGACTAAACTGTCTCTGTCTCTAATTCAACATGCTGAATTTGCTGAAAAAAAGCCAACAAGTGACTAGCTGACTAGTGCCAACAGTGCAGGAAGCACTGCACAAACTAGGGTGACAAATGCTCACCAACTGCCCGATACTGACCAACAGCTGACCGGCAGCTTGCTCTATCAGGGCCCGAACACGCCATGCAATGATGTCATATTCCTGTGCAGATACTGTGTGTTTTAGAATAATTTAGATTTACTTATTTCTTCATCATACTTGTTTCTCTTTCCCATAGATGTGCTCCTGGTTACTATGGCGATCCACTGACGCCAGGAGGAAGTTGTCGGCCCTGTAAATGCAACGGCAATAGCAACAACTGTGACCCCAAGACTGGAGGTTAGATTGTGGACTCCCATTATGAAACAATGCATTAATCCACTATTTAATTACGCTACATCGTAGTTCAATTCAGTCACACTGCTATACCTATACATCATCAAACATTTTCTTATGTTTCTCCAGTTTGCAAGAACACCCTTGAGCCGGGAGACACAAACACAGATGAGCACTGCCAAGGTAAATTAACAAGAGGAACTGAGATTGGATGCTGTGACATGCAGTTTACAATGAATTGAGTATGATCCCTTTTTAATCCGATCTTCATTTGTATTCCAGACTGTGATAATTGTGCCCAGACTTTACTAAATGATCTTGAGAAGCTGGATGATGAGCTGGGAAGGATCAAGACTCAACTGGACAACGCTACTGCCAGTGCCTCCTCTCAGGACAGGCTGAAGAAGCTGGAGAAGGCTGTGGCTGACACCAAGGTAACTTCAGAAGAGCAGTTAAAGACATTTAAAACAGTCACAGATCATGCCAAACCCTGGTGCTAACTGCACGGTTACAAGCACAATGAGATCCTTTGTTTGTTTTTGCACTTTGCACATGTCCGTTTCTTACAAACACATACACACAAATACACACTCACACACACACAAACTGTGTGGCACAGGATGGGTGTGCTTGTTCAAACATTCGAGATTCCTGCTGATAAGCAATCTCAGTGAATTTTGTCCCACAGCCTGTGTGTCAACACGAGTTAGAGACCACACCACTGGATGCCAGTGCTTGTCTTGCCGCCTTGTCATTCCTCATTCCCTCATAATCTCATTGTTATGTCCACTTCATTTGAGTGCGCATCCTTTGTGCATTCACGAGACACAAGTGAATAAGCACAGCACAGTTCTAAAACAGCCTGTATCAGCCTCAGGCTGCAGCACACCACCTACAGCGGTTGAAGTTTCTTTTATGCAGCTTCATTTACATTTCTGCTGCTGTGCTTTCTGCAGATACTTGTCAACAAATTCAGCTCTGCTGTCAACACCCAAAAGTCCAGAGTCAACCAGCTGGATGACGACATGGACAATCTCTCAGATGACATCCAGGCTCTCAAAGACAAGGTAGAGCGATGGAGACAAGGCTTATTGTAACATTTTATAAAAAATATCAGCATAATGTATAAAAAAAAAAGGTGTGTGAGTATGTATTGTCAGTATATATTTTTTATTTAGGCAGATGAGAGGGCTTCTGATGCTGAGAAGGCAGTGATGGAAGTTGGGAAAACCCACAAGAGGGCTGAAGTTCTGGACTCAGAGATTGAAAACATGCTCAAAAAAATCCAAGGTAAAGGGAACTTAAATTCAGCAGCAAAATTCTGTCTGTACTTTATAAGTGTCTTCACTTACTCTCTTGTGTTTCTGCATTTATACTTGGTTCATCAGTATATATAGTTTGTCTTCACAGGCACTTTAATAGTCTTTATTACATTTCAGTGGCATTGCTTGTCAAATATCCCAAATATTTGCTTGACTGAGTGTGTTGTTTGTGCGTTTGCAGCTCTGCTGGACCAACTGAAGGATGCAGGTGCCAGTGGTGAGACGGTGCCAAATGAAAACCTGGCGAGCATGCTAGAGGATGCTAAGCGCATGGTGAAGGAGATGCAGGATAGGAACTTCACCCCTCAGGAGACAGCTGCTGAGAAAGAAAGAGATGAGGCCAAAAAACGTACGATACTTAGTCTATACATAGTCAGTAGAAACTTCAGATCCTATCCACAAGTATATAAGTATTTTTGAACATGGGATTTTTCCTTCTGTGTTAAAAAAAAAAATCTCATCCACATTTTAAAATTTTAAAACAATCGCTGTATAAATACAAACACAAAAACATGAATGAAGCGACGTCAAGAGCATGCCAAACCAGCAGGTGACGATAAAATCCTAACCCTAAAGCCATGCAGAGAAAAAGAATGATGATGTTGGCCAGGCAGAAGCCTGACAAACAGTGATTATCGAGGGGCTGCCTGGCTGCAAGGACGCATCCAAGGAGGTTAAAAAGAGGAGACGTCGCAGCGTCATATGACGTCATGTCCTTGTAGTACAACACGTGCACAGTAAGATCTGGTCTGCAGCTGCCAAAAGGCTCAGTAGGCGGAGCACTGTCATAGGAAGAGGGGAATCGTATGTGACTTTCTGATGGCTCTGTTTCTCAAAGTAGTTGAAGAGTAACTGTACATTTATGTGTAAACATGTAAAAAGTCCTGTTAGCACGGTTAGAACCAGCGCAATTTCGGCCATGTCCACCATTACACAAAATGTCGCCTTATTTATGATGCCTCACAATCTGACATTTTAGGCCAAAAATTGAGTTTTCCCTGTCTACATGTCAAAAGTGAAAACAGAGTTCTGACAATCTTCACCCTGGAAGGAGCTTTACAAAATGTCAGACCTAAAATGCAGTTAAACGCTGAAACACATAGAAAAAGCTTTGTTTGAAAAAATACCAGTATGTTGTGGACTAAGCATAAATAAATCCCTTTAATCCCCCTTCAGAATTTCATATCAAAGCACTGATGTGGTTGTTGGAAAATTTAAACACCACTGTAGACTGGTCAATAAGATGTCCATCAACATATTCTATTTTATTTTCCAGTGCTGGACTACATTAAGGCCAATGTGAGTAAGCAGACTGAGCAGAACGAGAAAGCAGCCGAGAAGCTTCGGGGCCTTCTGAAGGGTTACGAGGCAAAGCTGAAGGATCTGGACAAGGCCCTGAAGGAGGCAGTGGACTTGGTGAAAAAAGCCAACACCCAGAACGGGCTTAATGCTCAGGCAATGGGAGATCTGCAGGTAATAAGTCATAATCGAGTAGTTAATCAGTCAAGACAAAAGTGTGTGTGTGTTGGTTAATGGTTAGTGAGGAAAGAAATTGTAATGGGGCCATATGTAGGATTGTGAATTGGTTGATGACCAATGATGTCTGGGGACTGTTTAGTGGCTTATAACATAAAAGTGCAGTTAAACATTAAGATTATAGGAAATGTGTTAGCAGAATGTCCTGCAGGTTATTAATGTTATTTATGTTAACTCCTCAGTTGTACTCTTAATTGACTCATGTGCTCCCTACAGAAACGTATCAAAGACTTACAAAAGGAGAAGGAGACTGTTAAGGACCAAATGGACATGGCAGAACAAGAGCTGCAGAAAACAGAGGACATGGTGAAAAAGCTATCTGACAGCAAAAAGGTACGTTTGGCAAACTGTAGCCTGCATGTCCCTTTCCCGAAATATTCTCTGTACTCAGAATCATACACTCAGATATCTTGTATTCTGTTGCTTCTTGGCATGAGTCTAAACATATTTGACACGCTGTAGCTACAGTATGTTATAATAAAAAGTCCCATCTCTGATGCACACGAGCAACCTGCCAGGTCCCAACATGCAGTCCGCTCAGATAATGATCAGTGCTTTTGCTCGCTGTGCTCTGAGGCAAGCCAAATGGTATTTCCTGCTGTTATGAATAACCTGCACCCATTCACCTGTCTTGCTTATCTGTAGGAATATGAACAGCTGGCAGCACAGATGGATGGTGCCAAGACTGACTTGATCAAGAAGGTGAATGAGATTGCCAAGGCTGCAGCCAAGGAGGACCTTGTGAGATCTGCAGAAGATCATGCTAAAACCCTCGACAAGCTGGCAAAGGATCTTGAAAAGTAAGTATTTTGTGCACACAATGAAGACACACATTATAACCTGAGTAGCAAACCACTGTCTGTTGTTTATACTATGGAAGATCTCCTAAGTGCTATTCAAGCATACAGTAGTCTGCTTAGTTTTTCGAGATGGATGTCATTTGCATCCGTTCTCCATGTTTCTTGTTTATTGTTTTTCACTTGTTATCCTGTATAACAGTACTGTGAAGGAAGCAAGTGGACGTCCTGAGGTGCGTAACGCCAAAGACGCTATTGACGCCTACAAGAACATCACAGATGCAATAAATGCTGCCGAGGCTGCTGCCAATGAGGCCAAAGATGCTGCCGACAAAGCCTTGAATGTAAGCCATAGATGTGATACCTGTGTGTAGGATTTAGTGGCATGTAGCGGTGAGGATTACAGATTGCAACCAGCTGAAACTTCTCCAGTGTGCCAAGTATGAACACCTGGTTAGGATTCCTTTAATGTTCATTGTTCAGGAGCCAAATTATCTGTAGAGGTCCTCTCCAAAACAAACGGACACGATGATTTGGATAAAGCAGTTTCACATTACAAATCAGTGTTTCTCCTCATTGCAGACGGGCCGCTAGCCTAGCACCTGCTAATGCGCGCTCATCGCTTTTCTCCGATAGCCTCCAGATGTTCAGGAGGTTTTTATCAGGAGACAAATTATCCACAGAGGTCTCTTCCTCTCCAAAACAAACAGACCCTGTGATTTAAACTGGTAAAAACTCTGAATGAAGAAGTTCCATGCTAAAAAACAGGGTTTTGCAATGCTGTCGTCACAGAGGGCCTGTGAACTACAGAAGCCTTATGCAGAAACATGAACAGCCCTATCTAGAGTCAGTGTTTGGTTTGTCCGCTCCGGGCTATTGTAGAAACATAGTGGTGGACGAGGACCCTAACAGCTCATTCTTAGGTATCAAAAACACAATGATTCAGGTGATCATACACTAAAGAAAACATACTTACATTCCATTACTGCCAATAAATTCTCCTAAATCCTACAAACTGGACCTTTAAACAAGTAATTGTACACACTTCCTGGATTGATACAAAATGCATAAAGTATCAGATATATTTTAATAACCTTTTTCACTTTAACAAATGTTTGTTTTTTTCTTTCCACTATTAGAACGTGAATAACCAGAAGCTCACAGAGAGAGCAAGAGAGCTATTAGGGGATAGTGACGACCCCCTGAAGAATGCAAAGGATGCAAAAGCAGACCTTCAAGGTATTCAGCCCTACTATGAAATTATTGTTTTTAAAAGAACCGAAAGCTCAGTCACTAATTCTGCTTTTTTTTTTTTTTTTTAAATAGATACTAAAAATGTCATTGCTGACGTGAAGAAGCGCCTACAAGATGCTGACCAGAAAAAGAAAGCTCTTCAAAAAGACCTGCTTGATACACAGAACCAGTTAAATGGCATCAATCGAGGTAAAACAAGTCAAGGCGTTATAGCATCAGCATGAGTATTTAACTGATTGTGTCCAAATTTATTTTTCACTTTCCCTAACCACTCATTTCTTCACATCAGATGACATCGCTAATATGATTAATGAAGCCAAGAATAAGGCAGCTGCAGCCAATGACACAGTCAGCAATACTATGGACAGACTGAACGCCATCAAAGATGAAATGAAAAAGATCAATGTCAGTCCCGTAGACCCCAACCTGGGCAATGTATTGGATGATGTGGACAAGTCAGGTGAGAATTCTAAATGATGTCTTTAGACACATTAGACACGATGTTCTTTTTGTGTACTGTAAGGTACGGAATAACCACTTTTTACATTATGAATCTTTTGGATTCAAAGTATAGATCCTGCATTTTTTCAATTTGTTGTCCCTCTCTCATCTTCTACTAACAGTGAAGGACCTGCTGAATACCATCCCATCTCTGAATGATAAGATCTCAGAGGTGGAGAATCTGACCTCCCAGTTCACACCCATTAGCAACATATCTGAGAATATTAAGAAGATCAAAGACCTCATTGAACAAGCCCGGGACGCAGCTAACAGGGTGAGGTCCCACTCTGTAAAAGCATCCATAACCAAGCACAAAGTCAAAGCAAACAGTCCCCTATTTTGCCTCCATAGATCTAATTTCCCTTTTTTCATGTCTCTTTTCCAGATTGTGATCCCGATGAAGTTCACAGGTGAAGGCCACGTGGAAATGCGTACGCCAAAGAATCTGGATGATCTGAAGGCCTACACGTCTCTGTCTCTGAAGCTGCAGAGACCTCCTGGCAGGGGTGATGGACGTCGCAGACGCAGACAGGCAGCAGGCGAAGGAAACATGTTTGTCTTGTACCTTGGCAATAGAGATGTAAGTGACTCCAAATCCATATCCATAGTTTAACATAAAGATTAAGTTTGAGATTTGACACTGGGCACTAACAAACTGCATCCTATAGCCTTCAAAGAATTACATCGGTATGTTTCTGAGGGACGGCGTGCTTTACGGTGTGTACAAGCTCAACGGAGTCCAGAATGAGATGAAAACGGGTCCCATCACCATGTCTGGGTCCGAGCCGGCCAAGTTTGATAGAGTGGACCTACACAGGTAAACTGACAACATGATTCTGTTGTAATTCACCTGTTTTCAGTGTTTTATGGTTAAGTGCATGCTCTTATCCTCTGTGACTTAAAGTGAAAAAGACCAAGGATATTTGTGAATGTTGTAAATGTGTTGTGGTTTTAGGATTTACCAAGATGCAGTTATGACCCTCACCAAAGATGTCACCTCGACCACCCCCGGTCAGCAATACAAGGCCAGTGTCCAAGGCAATGCGAACAAGAACCTCCTGGACATCAGTCCCAGTGATGTTGTTTTCTATGTTGGAGGCTACCCTGATGACTTCACAGTAAGCAGCAAGGACATAAAACCAGCAATACTGTTCATTTCTTTTTTATTTTTGACAAGCATGTGTTAAGAAATCTCTGTTTTGCTTCTCCTCAGCCGCCACCTCCTCTCAACTTCCCCAAGTACAAGGGCTGCATTGAGTTCTCCTCTTTTAACGACAAAGTCGTCAGTCTCTACAATTTCCAAAAGGCAGTGGGGATCAATTTGGAGACTGCATGCAAGAGGTGGGTCCTGGTATAATTAGTGTTGTGTAGTATGTTATACACCGAAAACACACCAAGCAAGTAAATGCGGCCTGCAGCAAGCTGCCATGCAATGTCTATGCATTAGCCCTTTCTATGAGGTGCTCATATGCTCTACCTGTTTTTTGTTTTTGTGGATTTCGTGTAGTGGTCTATTTCCTCAAATAGACATGTAGGTCAGGTTGGTTATAGCCTTTTACTCAGTGTTTGTCAGCATATTAGCCCAGTGGATGCTTTAGTTGGCTCCATCCCCACTGTGATCCTGAGTGCATGAGTTTGATAAGCAAAATTTCTTTAAAGATTGTTGGAGTGACAGATGAGCGGAGGTTATCGTTCTCTTACTTAAAGGAATACTTCACCTACTACTATTTTTAAATCAGTAAGTCATGCAGTGTTACCTTGAATTCATGAGGAAAACATTGTCTTGTTTAACAACAGCCAAACTATATCAAAAGTCTCACACAACTCCTGCAGTATTATCCAAGCGTATGCTCAATATGTTCCAAACACATGCATTTTCATTAAAACCTTACTATTTAAAGGAACAGTGTGTAAGTTTTAGCAAGATTTAGTGGCATCTAGCGGTGAGGATTGCAGATAGCAACCAGCTGAAACTTCTCCCAGTTAGGATTCCTTCAGTGTTCATTGTTTAGGAGGGTTTTTTTTCCAGGAGCCGAATTATACACAGAGGTTTCTTAGGGTGCTTTCAGACTTAGAGTTCACTTGCCTAGAGTTGGTTCGTGTTCTCGCGGCAGCATTTACAAGCAGACCAGATAAAATGCCTTGTGCGAGAAAGCTGCTCTTGATTGGTCAGAATTTCCATGTGGGAAAAATCCAGGAAGTAAAATGTTACACAATAAATGTGACACTTTCTAATGTCACAATGGAGGGACAACTACGCAGGTTGATTTTAGCGCTGCTCATCGTTGACTATATTGCTGTCATTGTTCATTTTAGTCAAACCATACAGTTTGAAAACGAGGCATGGCTCTAACTAGAAAACAATGTTTTGATGCATTGGATGTGCTGAATGTGCATATTAAGGCAGTACAGGAGGAGGTGCACATTAATAATCCTCCAGGACATGTAGCTCTTGGTCTGGTGACAAACAAACTTTCTTGTTTTGAACGAACTGCACTTAGGGGACAAACAAACTTGAGCTCAATTGAACCGAACCAAACAGGGCAGGTATGAAAGTACCCGTACTCTCAAAAACAAATGGATCAGGTGATTAAAACCGGCTTGACTAATTTATATACAAATGGTCATTTTGTGGATGAAGTTTTCTTTTAAGGATCGGATTTTTAAAATATAATTCTCTGACCTTTTCTCCCCTCTATCCAGATATGTACCGCCAGAGGATTCTGACTACTATGAAGGCACCGGTTATGGAAAAGTGAACATAGACAGACCAAATGCCTTCCTCATCATCAGTATGAATCTGCTCACTCATTCAGAAAACGGTCTGCTCTTATACGTAGGAAGTGAGGTAAATTGTTGTTCACATGGTAACTTAATAAATCTTTTGTTTCTTCTGTTTTGATGAAGTTTTGTTCGAATTATATGTTCTATTTGCAAGAATTTGATTATTCTATTTCTCCTGCAACACAGGACAATTACTTTACCTTGGAGATGGAGAAGGGCTTCTTTGTCATACGTAGTAATTTGCTGCCAGCACCAGTTAAAGCGAAAGAGAAATCATTCCCGGTAAGAAGCTTTTCTTGGTTTTGTTTTCTGCAGTCAGGTTCTTCCCTGACAATTCAATCAAAAAACACTGGTGTGCTCCTCCTTTTAAATTGATGTTACTCAACGAGATAACATTTGTAAATCAAGAATCATTCATTCAACCACACCTTGCTTCTCTAACCTTTCTTCAGACACAGGACTGGACAGAATTCCGCATCATTAGTACAAATAAAGGAGAAATTAAAATCCAGTCTGGCAATGTAGAGAGAGTCCAAGCCCAAGTCGCATTTGACAACAGCAAAATAAAAGAATTCTACGTTGGTGGTGCCCCACAAGACTTGAGGGAAAGGTACGTGGTTATCAGTTTTCCTCTTATTTTGTGTTGTGAGTTAGGTAGTCAACGTTTTCCCCCTTTACTGAAAATAACTTGATTTTCTGTCCCCCTTTACAGACATAACATCACCGTACAGCCATACAGAGGATGCTTGAGGAACCTGAAGCTGAGGTCGAACTTTCAACCTGTTGACGAGCAAGTGGGCATCAGCAAAGGTTGTCCCAAGGACTCCTTGGTAGGAAGTTATCCTCTGCTCCCCAAACCAGTTACCAACATATCACTTCCCACATCACAAGGCTTATGTGTCAACTAATTAACTAATGCATCGTGTCCATGTACTTGTCTAGGTTTCCCGTAAAGCAGAGTTCAGCCTGGCGAGCTCTCTGTTAGCTGACCTTTCAGACTTTAGTCTGGCCAATGACGTTACTGTGTCCCTCGGATTCAAGAGCACAGAGAATCAGGGTCTCATTCTGCGAAACAAAGATCAGGTCAGTCCTGAAATTTATTTTGAAATGTGATATTTTAATTGTGACTTTATGAGACTGAGATGAGATGAGTTTTGTGTGAGACAACAGGTAGAACTTGATTTGATTTTTAGACCATTTAATTTTTTCTGTTTTCCAGGCTAATGGGATTAATCTTGCATTGGAAAATGGCCACGTGATTCTCAGTTTCAACAACAAACTCTGGAAGTCAAACAAGAAATATAACGATGGCCAGTGGCATTATTTGACTGCAATTAGAAAAAGTGGAAGGTATGAAGGAGACAATGATCTTACATTCAGACATACAATGAATAATGTTGACATCCATACAGATTTAATATTGTTTTAACAACTATATACAGTAGTCTGTGGTTTTGTGTGATTTTAATTTTACAAGCAGATATGTGGGCTAAGAAATTAACACGGACAGTGACACTTGTTACGTAGCAGTTAATGATGATTTTCCAAACAGGACTGAGCTGCTCATTGATGATGAAGTCAGTGGTCAGGAGCAGAGTGGCACTGCTTCCATACCTAACACAGGTGGCTCCACAATCCTTGGAAAGGACACGTTCAAAGGCTGCGTTTCCAACCTCTACACAAGACGGTAATATTTCCTCCCTTTGCGTTGCATGGCTGCATCATTTAGAAATACCTCCAGATTCATGCACAGCTTTTATTATTGAGGTTACACATCAATTGTTTGCACACTGAATGTCTAGACACTTTGATGTGGGGTGTTTATAGTGTCATCTTATTATCTGTCATCTGTTCTGTTTGCAGGCCATCCCACTTGTACAAGGCCGAGGACCTCAGCAAGTTTAAGGCTTCTGGAGATGTCTTGCTGGATGTGTGTACTGCTGACAGTCTTCCTCAACTGATGCTTGACCGCGCCTCTAAGAAGGTGAGGGTTTGTTTGTTGAGATTGTAAACAACTGACAAAAATACCGAAGTCCTGAGTGGCATGTGAGAAAAAAAATGCATGTTCTAAGTCTGATCTAAATTGCTTTCTCTCCTGTGTTCATGACTTTAGAACAGGTGCAAAAAAGGGTCTGCCTCGATACCTTTTCTTACCACTTGTTTCATAGATGAAAAAAAATTAAGTAACGGACAAAGATTATCCCGGCAAAACCTTCACTTGTTCTTAAATCATAAACACTAAAGAGAAAACCATTTAGACTAAGAACATGGATCACCAGAAAATGCTTTTCTCACTGGCCGCTCAGGAGCCTCCACTGACATTTGATTGAAATAATTAAAACTTCTTTTCAAAGCAAATCAACTAATTGACGTTATTGTTTAACAACTAGAGCGATCCATCTTATTTAAAGGTATAACTGTCAAAACTAGCATGTTCATTAAGAGCATGATGACTTGATGGTTGTTTCCATTCACTAGCAGTAAGTCATACCTATTTTTATCTTTACCTTTTGTAACTCTCACACATTTGCAGAGTGAAACCACTGCATGATATTATTGTTGAGGGCGAATTGATAATCGCACATTGCTTGTCTCATGTTGACATTGCTTACATGATATTCTGCTGCCTTGTTTCCAGAGATGAAGAAGGAGGAACCCTATGACCTGCCGATGCTGACAAGAATCTAATATTGACATGAAAAACTGGCACCTTGCACCACAATGTTCTGTTGCTTGTGCACAATCTTATTCATCTGCAGTGTACTTAAATAAAAAAGTTGCATGAACATTCACAATAATCACAAGAATTACTACATGTATTGTATCACTGTCTGTTCTATTTAAAAAAAAACATTAATTACAAACAAAAACTTGTGAATAACAAGCTTGAAATCACCTCATGTCTCTTTTCTTTCTTTCATGTAACATTAATGAACCACTAACAGTCATTCACAAGCACGTGCACTCTAACTCACTGTTGTCAGACACTCATGCCTGATTATGAAATGATATAAACTGTAATTTCATTATCAAATAAAATTACTAATCATTACAGCTAATATCCAACACAACAAGGTCTGCATTTGAGTTTCTCATCATTGACAGATGATAACATCATCGACAGACTTCATGTGAATATTTTTATATTCTACTTTTAAGGACACAGGTGGACACAAATTAAACATTTTAAACTTGTTAAATTATTTTAAATTAAAATGCATATTAAATGGAAACCCTTGCTGTTGTGGGCCACTGAAGCCCTGTGAGATTTTGTTACATTAATAAACTTGTCTTGACTTAACAACCACATCTAAATTTATCAGTCTTCCATCTCTAACAACTCTGACTGGGCTCTCAGCATTAAGGCTGAGAAACACTGCTGTGCATTAGAATAAATAACACAGCCAGCGGGACGTTTCTGGCAGCATTTCCTGTGATGAACTGTCGGTATTTCACAGATAAGCAGTGAAATATGTGAGGGCCTAGCAGAGCTTACCGTGTTCAGACACATTATCAAAGCATGGTTACATCATCTCTGCACATCACTGTGGATCTCGCATGCCCGTCATAATTTACTAAGCTCTGTGCATTTAATTCAGAGCATGTGATTAACGCGGGCCGTATCACCACCACAATCTCCGACAACCCCTGACCCACAGCAGATTGCCTGAATAATGAATTCTCAGCTGCTGCATGAGTTCACACAAGTGCAATAATCATTTGACGCTACAGTCTAGACATGAAGAAAGAAATATAACCAGAGGAGTCACAGAAAGACAAAACACAGATGAGACTGTGCATATCATATCACACATGACACCTTTTCTTGGTTCCCTGTCCTTTATTGGTGTTTTCTATAATATCAGGACCACATAAGCCATTTAGAAAAAGTCTTTGAGTGTGTTTAAAGTTTAGAAACACTACAACTCCATTTAAAGTATTTATCCTTGAGTGTATGACAATCTGAAATCACTAAAATCATATATCAGAGCAACTACATTCCAGAACAAGAACAAAATGTTGAAACCAAACACCTCTGACTGAACAGGAAGTTTGCCGGAGGTTGTGCTGCTTCAAGAAACTCAATGTTACAGTAAAACCCTCCATGTAACCAAAATAAAACATTCAATGTGTGATTTTGTAGTTTTAATTACAAGATACTAATGATTACATACTAATTTCATGAGTGATTCAGTTATAACTACCAGATTATAGTTTGCTATTTATGAAATTGGTGACGTCTTTGGAAGACATCTACTGTTTCTCTACACTGCGTGATGGTGTTTGTGGATCAACTGAGCAGCAAATCAACTGAAAATGTGCCTGCAACAATTCTGATAATTGTTTTAAAGCAAATAATGCCAAAAAATCACTAATTCTAGTTTCACAGTTGAAAATGTTTGCTGCTTTCTTTAGTCATCTATGATAGTAAACTGTATGTGTTTGGGTTTTAGACTGTTGGATGATTGTTTTCTGACATTTTATTGACCAAACGATTAGTCGATTACTCTACAGAATAATTTGCAGATGAATCAGCAATGAAAATAATGAAATCCTACATTTATTTATTCAGTGTACATCACGTCCTGAATGATCTCGTCTGTGGGTAAAACTAAAAAGAGAATATAAAGACATTTTGGATGTAAACGAGGATTATTCTCATTCTCACCACTATACATTGCCAGCTTTATTAATCGACAGATTGGAGCCGCTTTGGAGATGATGAGATGAGTGAGGAAACCGTGATGTGAGGGCCAACTTTGTCCCCTGTGCTGAGTGTCTTGTCTTTATGCTTGTGCTGTTTTCAGGATGTTGTGATGCAGCCCATAAACGAGAGTCCATCAGCGTGTGCATTACCCACCCTGGTTCAAAATGCCTATCGCATGGGCGGCCCTGTCAGCAGCCTCACCTACAGCCTTCCCCTACAGGTCCTGCAGCCCAGGTGAGTCCCGTCGTACCCCGCTGAACTGCCATTTCACAACTCATGCAAGCACACACATGAAATGTTCAGTGGAGGTTTTCCAAATGAGAAGCGTGCTTGAGAACAGTTGCTGCAGTTCTGTCAGAGCCAACACACACAAACACTGAAGACTTCTTTACCCTCCCCAGGCCTCACTTTTCTCTGGATGTGAGGACTCGAGCTCCTGAGGGCCTGCTGTTCTTTGCTGCTACCAGAGGAGGGCGCTCTCATCTCGCGTTGTACATATCCAAAGGCAGGATCAGACTGTCTGTAGGCAAACAGAAGGAGATCTTCAACAGGGAGAAGTACAATGATGGGAAGTGGCACACGGTCAGTGGACTCATATCATACCTGTACTTCAAGATGTATCCAAACTTATGTACAATCTCAAACATCACTTAATCCACATTACAGAGCAAAGCTTTATCAGTCTGTACGTGTGTGGTGAATCCTGCAGGTCATATTCAGTTTGGAGAGGAAGAAATTTCGATTGGTTGTGGATGGGATCAGAGCCCAGGATGGTCAGCTGACAAATGCCGAGTTGACGTCCATGCAGCAGTTTGTGTCACCCGTGTACCTGGGCAGCACCCCAGAGTCCCTTCACAAAGAGCTGAAGGTAAAAGAAACCCCACACACTGACACAATTCATTCACAAATGTCATTATATACTGTTATATATACCAGTGGTCCCCAGCTGGTCCAGATTTCTTTTTAGTCATTAGCTCAAGGGCCACACAGTTCAATAAATCCAGCGCCATACTTGTGTTTGGCCATATCATCAAGCTAGTTTGCTGTCTCTGTTAAGAATCTGTCCATTATACACTCACTCTGCAGCTCATCACAATAAAAACTCTGTGCCAGAAATTCTTTATACTTAAGAATAAAGTTTGTTTGTGAGTCACTTGCGGTCCATTTACAATGGACCTGCGACCCACTTTTGGAGCACGACCCAGCAGTTGGGAACCACTGATACACACTGTTTCTTCTTTATTCATTTTTTTTTTTTAAATATATACTTTCAGTTGAAGGCCCTTCCAAAGCAGAGCATCTCCGGCTGTATCCGCAATTTTAAAATGAACGGAGCACCGATGGTAAATCCAACCTCAAACCACGGTGCTGGCCCCTGCTTCGAGGGACAGACACAGAGAGGGGCCTATTTCTCAGGGAATGGAGCACATGTCATGATCAGTGAGTACACACCTCTGATAACAATCATATAACACTGCAGATGTATTTCTAACACCATAATGAACTCTATCAGCCTAGGAATTTTAATCGTATCCACATAATCTGACGACTTCTGAACAAGTCAGCGACACAAAATGCTAATAAATAAAGACATATCCAAAAGTGCCAGTGTCACTGGACATAAGTTTGGTTTCCCTTATTTTGTTTTTCCTAAAGAAAAGAGAAGAGGGATGTAAGTGATCTTTTTAAGAATTATTGATTATTATTTGAGTAAAAATCTGAATTTCTCACAGAAATAGTCCACAGATTATACAAAAATATGGAAAACTATATTATTTTACAGGTCTAGTGAATTCTTAATCTTAAACTTCCTAGTTAATATACTGACCAGGACTGTGTCTTTATATCTGATAATTATATCCAATACTAATGTATTAGATAGACTGTGCAATTATTCAGCTGTGCACTTTTTTCTCATTATATGACTGTATCATGCACATAACTGTACATATGTCACGTGTTTACTCTTATTTTATTCTTGTTTTATTCTATTGATGTATATATTGTAGTTAAATTTCACACTTTCGCCTCAGCACATTGACAATATATATTTTATTTTTGACATTTTTAATATCTTAAGTACTGGTATAATGTTTTTATTTTTATTTTTGATTTACTTTTTTATTTATATTTTTATTTTATTTTATTTTGTTTTATTTAATTTAATTTTATTTTATTTGTTTTATTTAATTTTATTTTATTGCTTTATTTTGACATACTTCTATTTCATACTCTTATTCTTACTTCGTATAATTCTCTATTCTTTATATCGGAGCGACTGTAACAAATCAAAGTGCCCCCTCGAGTATTTCTGATTCGCATTCTGATATTTATTTAACTGAATGTGGATAAAATACCCCAAAAAATAGAGTTACATAAAAAGGGGGGGGTGTTATAAGCAGAAATTTCCTTGAAAAAACTGCTAAACTCTAACAACTAACAGAGTCCAAGTGATGTATTTTTCAAATATTAATTGTATTTATTTGTTACCTTCCCTGTATGCTAGTAATATACAACAACACAGAAATTTCATATTTCATCATGTTTCACTTACCTGCTGTGCACTGAGTGAAACACTCTCTACGTCACACACTAGATATTAACTGGAATTGATTAATTAAAGAACCCCGTCTCCCTGTTCTCTATAATTAGATCCAAATTAGATAGTCCTTTCTAACACACTTCTCAGGAAATTAGTTACATGTCAGTTACTTCAAAGAAACCACGAGACCTGTAAGAGTCTCCATGATATGTTCATTTCACAGCTGTGTCCTCATTATTTTAATACTTAGAGTGTAAATTATGATGTCTATAACAATGTCAGTGTTGACAGGCGTGATGATATCTGGTTTCTGTGTTTCAGATGACTCCTTTGTCGTGGGCTACAGCTTTGAACTGCTGTTTAATATTCGTCCGCGGAGTCTGAACGGACTCCTGCTACATGTCGGTGATTCCAGCAGGAACCAGTATCTCACTGTCTACATGCTCAGAGGAGAGGTGAGGCTGGACTGTGATGATGCTGCATCAGCTGCTTTTACCTGGCTCCTAACCCAAGTTGAACTGAGTCTGGATTGTGTGTCATGTTTTGCATGCTTTATCATCACAGAACAGATCCTACCTTTAAGCCTAGGCTGAAAAATTGTATCAACCTAAAGTGTGTTTCCTGTACATGTGATTAAAAGCACTTTCTTTGCTCTCATCTCCAGGTAGTGGCACAAGCCGACAATGGCAAAGGAAAATTCATGGTGTCGGTGAAGCCGAAGGCTTCTTTATGTGATGGGATGTTTCATAAAATTTCAGGTACATTTCACTTCATGAAAGACAAATTAAAACTGCTTTTAGAACCTATTTGGACTCTGCTATAAATTGTGTTCTGCATTAACACCCTGGTCTTGTGTCTTCTAGTGATCAAGAGGAAAAATGTTGTGCAGCTGCACGTGGACACAGTGGACAATTACAAGATTGGACCACCATCTTCCACCACAACGTTGACCAAAAACTCCTTGTATGTGGGCGGCATTCCTGGTGAGTATTAACCTGTTCATCTGAGAGCTAATATACTTAGTGTCATTTTAGTTAATGGAACAATTCACCCCAAAATCAAAAACACATACCTCTTACCTGTAGTGCTGTTTATCAGTATAGATTGTTTTGTGTGAGTTGCTGAGTGTTGAAAATATCAACTGCAGAGATGTCTGGCTCCTCTCAAATGTAATGGAACTAGATGGCACTCAGCTTGTGGTGCTCAAAGTGCCAAGAAATATATTTGAAAAACTCAACAGCAGTATGTCTTTCCATAAATCATGACCCAGATACTCAAGATAATCCACAGACCTTGTTGTGAGCAGTTTCATACAGGAACTATTTTTCTGTCTACTGAACTACACCCACCAACCATATCACTGTGCAGAAGGAGGCGTGCATCTACTCACAGATGAGAGGCTCATGCTTGTGACAGCACGAGATGTAAATATTATGGAGTCCTCTTTCACATGGCTGAGTGAGCTAATGCCCCTTTTCGATAGTCGTGGGCTAGCTTGACTTGGCTTGCTATGGGCCGTCAGCCTAGCACAGCAGGGATTTGCATTTCCATTACAACAGGGCTACCTTCTTGAAGGTGTGTCTTTGGCCCCGTTTATACCACAACGGTTTCAACTGAAAATGGTAAACTTTAGTTGCGTTTTGGCCGATCATTTTGAAAACAGGTTCCAGAGTGCAATTTTTTGGAAACAGCACCGTCTCCGTTGTCACGTAAACTTGCAATATGCAGTTCCTCTGAAAATGGAGACTTTTCCCACGTGCACATTACGCTTCCAGTCACTAGGCATGCGCGAGAAAGTCGACCATCGCAACAACAATGGCGTACTCCCGAACTCTGCTTGTGCTGCTCAGCCTATTGAGTTTATCAATGCTTCCCCGTCAAAGTGTAGATTTACTGTAGCAACTCCACCTCATCGACCGTCCAGACAAACGTTTGTGCGGTTGCCATTTTGTTTGTAAACATCGCCGCTCTGTAGAAGGAAGGGTATGTGTCCAGGCGCATGTTGTTTCATTGCGAAGTCACACCGCCAACTACTGGCCTGGCATGTATACTACAGTGTTTTTGGTCATTTTTGTGGATCCGTGTGCACGGCGATTGTTATCAAAACGTTATCGTCTGAGAAACGATTCTGTTTTCAGTGGATCGTTTTCGTGTAAACATGGCCTTAAACTGATGATGGTTTGTCTTGAGTGATGACATTTAAAAGCTGTTGTATTTGCTGCATGTGTTTTTCCATAGCAGGGCAAGTGAAAGAATTTTACCTGTTGGAGGTGAGCTGTTTGCAGCGGTGCAGTAAGAGCCTGGTGTCTGCAGCTCTTCATCAACATCTCACTGTGACTCTTCCTTCCTGCCGTATTGTTAGACTTGCCTTTCTTGGAGAGAAGCTGCATTTAATATCCTATAGATTCCTCTCAAAGAGCCACATTATTTTGTCATGTATAAACTTTTATTGTGAAGCAGCAAAATAAGGAAATGTTGCGTTTTTGAGCAGCAACTTCACACAACTTCTACCGTGGTGGATAGTGAACATGAGACAGTAAAATAAATCAGATATCTAAAGTAAAAACAGGAGAAAAACTGAACTCCAAACCACAGAGATTTGCAAGAGCTGCAAAAGTACTGAAAGCTGAACACAACGACTTTTAAAAACACCTTTCTCTCGGGTCTCCTGCAGACAGAGGAGAGTGGAGTCATGCAACAGACACTTGTTTGAGGGGTAGAAGGGGGGTCGTCAAGGGTTGGCTGCGGACGGTGAGACGTCACCGCTATAGGGCGGGAGGCCTGGCTTTTAGGGGAAGGTCCATCTCTGGCGTGACAACGGAAACACATGGCTTTACTCGACGTGGCCAAGAGTGACAATGGGAAAAGGGTCTAACATTAGCTAGCTCAGTGATGCTAGGTGAGCTAGTAGTAGATGCATGCTTGCTTCTGTGTGTCGATACGGTTGGTGGGTGTAGTTCGCTGGAAACAAAATAGTTGCGACATGAAAGTGCTCACAACAAGGTCTGAGGATTATCTTGCGTAACTGGCTCGTGATTTTTGGAAAGAGACATTGCTGAGGAGTTGATCTAATGTATTACTTTTGCGCTTTGAGCACCACAAGCTGAGTGCCTTCTAGTTCCATCATACCGAAGAGAAGTCAAACACCTCTACGGTGTCCACTCTGAACTGTCCCTTTAACTTTTTCCACACACATCTCATGTTCACCACATCTGCCTTCCTCCTGCAGAGATGTTGAGGCATCAGACGCTCCCTGTCACATCATCCTTTGTGGGATGCATCCAGGACATGAGGATCAACGGCGACCCTGTCTCTTTGGAAAGGCTGTCTGGTGCGTTCGGTCCGGTCAACGTCAAAGAGTGTCCAGGCTGAATGTCTCACTGCGTCATCATGAAACAAACCTTGGGACCACGTCCGCTGCCACCCATGTGCAATCTGTTGCCAAGACAGAGAATGTGTGTAAAAATGTATATATCATGCGGAGTGTGTTTCAGTGTGAGCGAGTGTGTGTGAGTGTGTGTGTGTGGGAAGGTCTGTGTGTAAAATAGAGATATGAACAGCAGCTTACAGGTTCATAATATTTGCTGCTTGGTTAAACATTTCTGTATTTATTATGTGATAAAATCGTGCATACCAGCTCACATGCTCTAACAGTTGTTTTACAGTCTGACGTGTCGCTCCATTTATTTTCTGTCGACAATCAAATGCTACTGAATATGCTTGTGATCAGTCGGGCTGCAGTAGGAGCATCCCAGCACTTTACGAAAACAAATGATGCCTTTTGTGATGGTGCTTTTATGATGATCTTTATTTTTTTGTTTGTTTGTTGGAAAGTTTATACCAGAATAATTACGTTTACACCCACGGTGCTCAGTTTAGTGACATTTCAGGGGCTGCCTCGCTGTTTTATATTCATATCCACATGCCAGCATGGCTTAATAGACACTGAGTCTTCACACAGGCCATGAAATCATTTTGTTCCTACACTGTATTACTGTTGCTCTGAATTCATTTTCCATTTTGCATTCCTTTTTTCATGCATGAGGGCTTTCTGTGTGGCTGTCACACAAGAAAACAGCATGAACTGAAGTTTGTGGAGCATCGAGGTGCAGTTAGCTTCTAATAAGTCTCACAAGTCTTGTTTGGGACCATGTAGCCCATATTATAAAGTGATATAACAAAAAACAACATGTATCTGATGTGTTTAAAACTCCCCTGCAAATGTTTACTTACCTGCTTTGTACATAATGTGATATGAGAAACAATATGCATGATGATTGGACATGATGGTTTGTACATGCATTCCTGTCTTGTGACCACTGATTTGTAAGCCATTTTGTAATTAATGTTCTTTATAAATACTCCTCAGTGCCATAATGAGGTCTTGACTCAGTTATATGTACTAAAACATGCATCTTTTTTTGCAGACAAGCGGGATTAATATTGAATTATACTCAGCAACATGTGGATACATGTAATTGTACGATCGGATAAATATAATTTGGTCTTATGTGTTGGAATACAGTACATAATGTTGATTTATCTCCATATGCCTACATTTTGGGAGTGGTTCGGCTTGAACTGAGATAAGGCGGTGTTCAGTAATTACACCTCCGAGCAGGTTTTTCCTCTTTGTTAACACATCCTTTAAGGCCCTCTGAGAATAATAATGTTCCTATAATTTGACTAAGAGCAGGGCAGTTGTTATAAGGACACTGGAGTCACACCCTCAGTATTGTTTCTGGGAATATGAGGATTTCGACGACCTGAGGAAACACATACATCCTGCAAGATGACTGTACTCATTTTTAAAGGGTGCTATCTTTAAAATTTGACGACCGTAAAACTTTAGTGACTAGCCCGCGGTATTATTTGCTCAAATCACTCAAATCAACAAGCCTATATTTGGGACAGGCCTATACAGGACTGGGCATTTAATTGAAGTTTTAGGGTATATTTTGCTTAAAAACAATAGGGGTTATAAAAGGCCAATAATAATAATAATGAGAAGAAGAAGAAGAATACAAAGGAATTTAGCATCTCTCCACAGGAATTATTCTCTTGTGTGGAGAAGGCTCTGACACAGTATTTACACCATCATCATGATATCATTTAATTTACAAAAAATATATTTGACCTTTTTTTTCTTTAACTTATTCCATTTGGATTCCTCACATCAGTATTTCTAATATTACACCAGCAGCTCTGACAGGGAGAGACATCCTGGACCACAGCTGCCTCTCAGACCTGCTCTTCACATCTTTGGCTGCATCTCAATCACAAACCACCACGCCCACTCTGATGCTGCCTTCAGGGCCTTTGTGAAGTCACGAGTAGAAGCTGCAGAGTTGTGCAAACAGGTGCTGCACCAAATGATGTGACTCACCAGCTTCTGTGACCAGAGGTATTTTAGCTATGTGCCAGAGCAAATGTTTTTGTACAGCTTTGTCACATACAGAGGCGGAAGAAGTACTCACATCTTTTACTGAAGTAAATGTCGCAGTACTGTAATTTAGAAATATTCTGTTACAAGTAAAAGTCATGCATGTAGTTTTTTCCTTTTCAAAACCTACTTATAATACCAAAAGTAAAACTACTCATTATGCAGAATTGCCTATTTCAGAATTATATTATTGTACGAATATTTGTCCTTGAGCCTCCCTGAGTGATGAGGGGAAATGCATGACCCTCCTTCCTCCATAAATAACCATATTTAACAGTTTAAGGTTGACAAACTGTGATTTTGGTGATTTTTAAAGAAAACATGCTTTTCAAATCCACTTGTGAGTTTTGGGGTTCTGAAGGTTTTTAAATTGCATACAAAATATAGCAATTTAAGACTGAATGCCTCTCTTAAACCAAACGTAACTCCCTCCTGGTGCTTAAAAACAATACTTGAAGAGCCTCTTGCAACAGCCATTTTGCATCACCCCCTCTCCTCTCTTAAGTAATGGACAGTCCCTTATTATGAATAATACAGTATGGATGACAAATGAAGCCAATGTATTTTACTGCAGATTTTATTACCAAAATGACACCATTGATCTCAGCCAGAAACTGTAGAAACAGAAATTTTCTTTGGATTTTCAACTTTTCAACAGTCTTTGGACACATCACATTCCAAAATAAATAAATAAATACAAATAAAAGAAATGAAATTAAAATAGTGATTTTTCATCAAAATCACTTTATTCTATGTCTCACTGTAAAAATGGCCAAAAATAAACTGTTTGCACTAACTAACCAGCATGCACGACAACAGTAAAAAAAAAAACGAGGCTTTTTTTCAACTCCAGGAGTTCGTCTTCAACTTTTGACTTTTAACTTTAAAACATCAGAAGGAGAAATGACTTCACATGCACCCACACAGAAATATTTGTAACCTGTTTTCAGGACCCTAATGGTGTCTAGTTAAAAATATTTCTTGCTGCTAAGGTTAACTCATGGCCCAAGGGGTTCATTTGGCGGCCATCTTGAATTGATGTCCACACTAATTGCCAAAAACTGTTTTCACAACTCCTGAACCGGACAACAGACAAAGACAAATGAACCCACTTATTCATATAATTTAGACACCAGGAATCAAATGGAAAGATCATCAACATGCTACAACCACTCTTTATTGGTAAAAAAAACAACAAAGCTTAGTTTTCACCTTAGTTTTCTGTGATAGCCAGATGTAGCTACTTTATTATTTTACATCACTCTCAAGGTACTCCAGATAATGCCTGCTGCAGATGTACTCCACAGGTGAGGAGATAAACTGTTGTCTGGGAAGCTTGACGGCTTCCGCGTGAACATCAATTCAAGATGGCTGCCAAATGAACATTATCTGGAGTAACTTGAGTGGCTTGGCTATTGCAGGAAACAAAGGTGAGACAAAATAGTATAAGTTATATTGTTATGAGCCTAAAATGTGTCATTTGCCAGTTTTTTTTGCCATAAAGAGTGGCTGTAGCATGTCGACAACCTTTCCATTTGATTCCTGGTGTCCAAATTATATGAACAAGTGGGTTAATTTGTCTTTGTCTGTTGTCTGGTTCAGGAGTTGTGAAAACATTTTTTGAATTAGTGTGGACATCAATTCAAGATGGCTGCCAAATGAGTTGACCTTGGCAACAAGAAATATTTTGACTAGACGCCATTAGGGTCCAAAAAAACAGATAAAAAAATGTCATCGAGTGCATGTGAAGCTATTTCTCCTGTGCAGGGTCGTGCATTTTCCGCCAGTCGCTCAGGGAGGGTCAAGGAAAAATATATAATAAAAAATGAAATGACATCCCAGCCATACCCTCCTCCATGGGTGCAGATCTGATGTCAAGTTTGGGGGGGACACAATCAGTTGTGATTTTTTTTTAATTGCACATGTGCAAATCATGCCCACAGAGCGCTTGAGATTGCCAGCATATTTCACGATTTCATAGAGGCTCATCACCATCACCAAGTCATTCAAAAAGCACTACAAAGAGAATCATATGCTTACCTTTACTGTTTATTTCTCTTAAACAGCCAGTAGTACATGGAACCAGCCATCACCCTCCTTTTCACTGCTTCGCTGTTAGTTAATGCTACTTCTAGTTTCAGGGTCTCAGGCATGTTATGTCCACTCACGTTCTCATCTCTCGCCTCTCACGGATTCCCATTTCTCCTCATCATCTTCCCTTTCTCCCAGTATATAGGATTACTGTATACATTTGTTCAATTTCAATCATTTAAGCTATTTAGAATTGGGGGGGACAATTTGTGTTTTTCAGAATTTGGGGGGGACATGTCCCCCCCATCCCCCCCGGGATCTGCACCCATACCCTCCTCTGATAAATACCCAACCCCAGACATGTTTTTTTTTTTTCTAAAAGCCCTACCTTAGTGATTATTGCTTCGTCTGGTGTCTGATTGAAAATTCACTTTTTTTTTATTTTTTAATTGTGGTCCTTGTTTTGGATCTTGATGTTTTGCTCCAGTTGGTCAAATTTTGTATGCCTCTTATTTTAATTCATGAACTTATTTGTTTTATTATTCTTATCTAATTATATATAATTCTAGTCTATTTTATTTTCTTTATTTAATTTTCCTCACCTTCGTAGAGGTTGACTTTTATTTTTCTCTGTATTTGTACAGAATTCACATCCTCTACGAGATGTTTATGCTTTTTTATGTTATCCAAATGTTCAATTTAAGTGTTTGCTCTTAAGGCTAATAATTCCGACAGCACCCAAACGCAGCACATTTCCTGTCTGCACAGGAACACACGAGCCACCGGTCAGGCGGCGGCAGAATACGGAACAGCGACACAACCGCTGGCTGAACGGCGCACACACACTCTCTCTGACACACACACGCATGTAGTCAGCGGTTAGTTACCTGAACCTGTCCGCTCATTAGTCTCGAACATGACTGCGTTTGCTCCAAACTGCGCCACCGGCTGAGACTAGCTACTCTGCCTGGAAGTAAACTACCGAGACAAACCGCCGCACCTCCCCTCCCTCCCTCTCCTCCTCCGCGGCCGCGTTCAGCTCCTCACCTCCGGTATCGGGTGTCTCAATGGCGGACCCGACGGAACCAGCCCCGAGGAGCGTGGAGGATGAGAAGACAGAGACTATCAACGACGCAGAGCTGGCGCTGAAGGGGATCAATATGCTCCTCAACAATGGATTCAAGGAGAGCGACGAGCTCTTCAGATTGTACAGGTCTGTGAGAGTCCATGTCTCACATATTAAACAATATTTCTGTCTGTTTTAACGTCCTGCTGAACATCTCTGTGATTAACTACTCTCTACAGGGGGTCAGTGAATGTTGCAAAGTAGCCATTGTGTCCAAACTACTGTGGTCAACCAGCACAAGACATGTTAATTCATTTCAGCTCTGTCTCTGTCTTTGCTCAGCTTGCAAAACATAACCCAACATCCTTGTCACGCTTGTCTACTGTACTGCCATATGATCAGGTCACAAGCAGGATGAGTGTTGGGTAAATACCCAGGGCAAATATCCACACCCACAGTGTAACTTGTGATGCTCAAACAGCCTCAACACTTAAATATTATAATAATAATAATTCTCTTATTGTGAGGCAACAGGCTGGTGTTACTGTAAGTGTTGTGACCATCAGACAGTGTAAATACACAAATGTTGTCAAAGAAGAAACAACAGGTTCTTATTCCTGATGTGCAAGTTACTGTCTTTTAGTTTCTTTAAACAGGTTTGTGGTGAATTTCTCATTCTGGCCCAGGTAGTTTGTTAGTTGTTGCACAGTTGCACCTGTGGAGGCTTGTTTTTACCAAGTAATTTAGTATTTAAATGTAAAGATTGGTCATCTAACCCAGTGCATCCCAACCTTTTCTTTAAGGGACCCCTGTTCTAACACGGAGTTAACCGACGACCCCTAAGTGACATATGTTATGGATATTTCATAGTCACAGACTCATTCAAAGAGAAAAGAGAAGAATAAATTATTAACAATATTAAAACAGATAGTTGCTATGTTAAAAAGATATGTTTTGAGTCGTTGTAAAACTGTCCACTGAGCCAGCAAGTCTGATATTTAAAGGCAGGGTGTTTTGTATTTTTGGGGCGTAGTAGCCCAGAGGTTTTTGTACTGACATTAGGAACAGATAAAACAGCAGCTGCGGAGGATCTCAGGGTTCTTGAGGGACATAAGGTGATTGGGAATCTATCGTACAGGAGGGGCTGATGGCATTAAGAGCCTTAAAAACCAAAAGAAGGATTTTAAAATCAATTCTAAAAGATACTAGGAGTTATGCGGTCTCTCTTTTTAGTTTTTTGTTAAAAAACCTGGCAGCAGCAGCGTTCTGAATGCTCTGTAGTTTTACAATAGGCCAGTGTATAGGGTGTTACAGTAGTCAAGACGACTGGAAACAAAAGCAGGAACAAGCTTCTCAGCGTCTTGCTGGCTCAGTCGAGGTCGTACCTTAGCTGTATTGCACAAATGATAAAATGCAGTTTTTGTTAACAAATTAAAATGAGCTTTAAAATTGAGATCACGATCAAAACTTACACCGAGGTTTCTTACTAGAGGTCGTGTCTGTGTGGCCAGACAATAACGATACAGAACAGCTGATGAACTGTAGACTTAACCCAAATAGCAAACACAGTAGCTGCAGGAATTTTTTTTTTTGTTTGTTTGTATATTTTATTTTAGATTTTTAAAAGCACACAGTCACAAATTGACAGTACACAAACACCTGTTTTACATTACGAACATTTCAAAAATATATCAACAGACAATGAAATAAATCGGCACATAACAATGCAAATAAAAAATGTAACGTAAAATGTAATGTAATGAAATTAAATACACCACAAAAATGGGAGGTGGGGGTGTGAGAGATAGGGTAGTCTGGTGGTTGTATGGAGGTGGACGGCAGTGCCTACAACTCCTATCTGATCACCTACTTCAAAATGCATGGATTTTTTTAATAGCTTTCCCATATGTGAACACTTGAAATTAAGTCTTCCACAATTGCATAGTCTCTGTTTTTTTAAAGAATATATTTATTGCAATTTTTTTTTTTTTTTTGCATAAGACACAGAACAGAACAGCTTGGACATAAGACGGAGAATAAAAGGAGTAGTTGAAAATAAGAAAATTAGGGAGCAGTCATCACCTCCTACAACCTTATAAAGGCAGCAACAAACAGACTAACAATTGGGCCATATAGACAAATAACAAGGTTGCGAGAGGGCTAATTTACAGGAAGTGTAGAGAGAGACTGGCTAAGCCGATTTAGGAACCCCCATAAAATAGAACATGACAGCGAAGGTCCAATGTACTTTAAGTAAGGGTCTCAAACTGTATGAAAGGCCTCTGAGGAGTGAAGCATACAAGAGATATATTCATTGGGAACACACTGCATTATAAGAGTGTGGCACGGCTTTTGTTGTCGGAGCAGCGTACTTGGTCCAGAGGAGAAGAATATTCTTCTTGGCAGCAAAAGTCAAAAGATTGAAATGTCTCTTGTGTTTGATATTTGTAATATGACCATCCTGGAGTCATAGTAGGAGGCACATAGAGTCCAATAGCTGTGTAGCTTCACACAAAGCCAAATACAGTGACTGTAGCTTCCAGACTCAGAGTTACACTTCCATATAATTAATTAAAGGATGCCATATTTTCTTCAACCTCATTGCAATACTTTTTTTTTTTTTTTTTGGCCAACAGGATTTCTGTAAGCTTCATGGAATGGCTCTGTCTGATATTAGAATATAAGAGGTTGCCCAAAAGGAATACTTCCGGATCCACTGGGAAAGTGACTCAAGGATTGTGGATAGGGTGTCACAGATCCCCTGCCAGGTGGAATAAAGGGAAAGTGCCCTCAGATAGTGCACACTTACAGGAAGTTTGAGAGATTTGGATGAATTTTAAGCAGATTATTACAAGTTTTCCTGATAGATTTAGGATTTTTTTTACTAGTTCTCTGTCTTTATTGTTTTTTTTTAACAATTGTACATACTTAATAGGCTTCCTTTTGACAAATTCAGTGTTTTATTTTCTCCCTGATGCTTTTCATAAGTGCTATATCGTAGGGAACTGGACTTCAGTTCAGCTTCTTCAGTTCAACTCAAAAAGCACCAAAAATACACTTGGAAAACCTCAGCAGCAGTGTGTCTTTCCAGTAATCATGACCCGGTTACTTAAGATAATCCACAGACCTTGTTGTGAGCACTTTCATGGAGGAACTATTTTCTTTGAATTGAATCTCCCTGCAGAAGGAGGTGATTGCAGTAGATGCACACTTCTTTCTGTGAAGTGATTCAGTTGGTAGAGTAATGCATTTTTTGTGGGGCTTTCTCCCGAAAGTCTGAGATTCAAATCATCTGTCGGAGACCTCTCAGTTAAGTCCTCAAGGGTTTTTTTAGTTCAACTAAACTGAAGAAGCCTCTTGGATGAGAGTTGAAACGTCCAGTTGCCTGCGATACAGCACTTAAGATCACCATGACCTGGATGACTGAGAATCTTCACCAACAGACTCCTGATGCTTGGCAGTTTGTTTTACCCACGTATTTTTCTAGTGCCGGACGAGGCTGTTTAACAGAGAGTGAAGGCTCTGTGAATATCGCTTGTGTTAAAGCCCTTATCCTGTTTTAAAAGTTTATATCTTGAATAATAATCTGAACTTTAAAATAACAAGTTAATTTAGTTGTCTTTACAGAAATTAATTAAATGCTGAGGCCTACTGTATATAAAGTTTTCTTACACCCCTTAAAATCAAGAAGGTCTTGTGACCACCTTGTACAGTTTTAATGACCCCAAATCAGAGTCAGAACCCCTAGGTTGGGAACCAGTGCTCTAACCCAGTGGTTCCAGTCCTGTGAGGTCATCCTGAGGGTTTACAAGACATTTTACAACACAGGAAAGATGGAATAAACATTTGTGTTAAGATAAATAATATTTTTCCACATGTAACTCTTAATTTTTCCCTTTTTTGTGTGAATAACTGTATAATTTTTTAATCTTTTGGATACCCATTAAAAAAAATACACTGTTTTTGGTTGACGACATTACTTGGTTTAAGGCTCACAAGCTAAAAAGGTTGGGAACCTCTGGTTGGGAAGTACCCTTCCTGGTCACAGGATTTATATACATTCATTCATGCTGTGTAGTTTCTAAGGGCTGATTATCTCTAGGAAAGGTTCGCTTTCAACTTGCATGCTGATGCCACAGCAGGGCAAACCCTATGTGTCCTGACCCCTGGTGAAATCTTAAATGTCATCTCTTCCACTAATTGCATTAAACACTAGGTGTCATCCTGTTTGGATTGCATCAGCAGAAAAGATTGAGAGAAGTGAAAGATGCATAACACAGCAACATAAAACCAACTTGTGACTGTATTAACCAGTTCCTCCATGGCTCTGTTAGGGTGGTGTCTGTTGCATTATGGGTTCAGTGATGCTGTATAGAGACAGATCACTTCCAAATCAAATATATACATATTTTTCCTCTTACCTGCAGTGTTGTTTATCATTCTAGATTGTTTTGGTGTGAGTTGCAGAGTGTTGGAGATATCAGCTGCAGAGATGTCTGCCTTCTCTTGGATATAATGGAACTAGATGACACTTGGGTTGTGGTGCTCAAAGCGCCCAAAAATTAGGGCTGTACCAGACTCAGAATTATGTCAGTCTAATCAGATTTGGCTGTTTAAACAAGCTGCTAACGACCGGTCAGAGATGTGCTACAACATTTTTTTGCCGACACTAGATATCAAACAAAAGCCAGAGACTGTAACATATAAAGTGTCTGTGAGCTCTAAATTCACCACCTCCAAACAGAAGAGAGACAATAAAGTTGTCTTAGAGCCTTACAATGCAAACCCTCTCTTTCTCTGCCGCTGCCTGCTTGTCAGCAGTGCCCTGCATCAAAGAGTGGCATGAAAGTCAAGAATGCTATCTCTGCAGCAAAGGCAGGGGACATTAACATCCCCAGAAGTACCCTGCACAGCACACTGAAAAAAAAGACTGCTTGAATTGAAGCAGTCTCAGTCGACTGAGGGGTCTCTGACTGATGATTCGAATCTCCGACTTTCAGGGGGCAGCCCTATAGAAAATAAATTTTAAACTTAACAGTAGTGTGTCTTTTCAGAAATCATGACCTGATTACTCAAGATAATCCACAGACCTTGTTGTGAGCAGTTTCATGTAGGAACTGTTTTCTTTCCAACAAACTACACCCACCAACCGTATCACTACGCAGAAGGAAGTGTGCACCTATTGCTAGCTCACCTAGCGCCGCTGAGTTACAGCTCAGCCTAGGAGGACGCCATTACCGTTTACGTCTCGCGCTGTCATGAGCCTCTCGTCCATGAGTAGATGCATGCTTCCTTCTGAGTGGTGATTCAATTGAAAGGAAATGGTTCCTACTAGAGATGTACTGATACCACTTTATCCTTCCCGATACCGATTCTGATCCCTGAACCTTTGGTATCTGCCGATACAGAGTACCGATCCGATACCAGCGCGTAAAATAAAAAATGTATGGGAATATGAATTGTTGTATGTCTCAACTCCTAAAACTCTATGTAAAATATTAAGAAATAAATACATAATAGCAGAATGAATGCCATAAAACTTTTTTTTAATTATTATTATTCAGTGTTGACAAAGATCAAGACACAGGTTAAAGTGCAGCCACACAATTTGGTAAAAAAGACATTTTAAAGGCTACAGTAGAATGCTTTTTAAACTCCTCTCTGTTTCTGTTTCGTTTGCCTGTAGCGTGCGTATGCGTAATGACGTGAGGCATTACGAGGTATCGGATTGGTCATAGGCTGTACTCGCCGATACCCGATATTTTAGGCAGTATCGGAGGCATTTCCGATACTGGTTTTGGTATCGGTACAACTCTAGTTCCTACATGAAACTGCTGACAAGGTCTGTGGATTACCCCAAGTATCTAGGTCATGATTTCTGGAAAGAGACATTGCTGTTGAGTTTTCAAATGTATTTTTTGGTGCTTTGAACACCACAAGCCGAGTGCCATCTAGTCCTTTATATCTGAGAGAAGGCCGATATCTCCAATACTTGGCACCTCACACCGAAACAGTCTAGACTGATGGATAGCGCCACAGCTAAGAGGGAAAAAAAATGCCCTTTTGATTTTGGGTTGAACTGTCCCTTTAAATCACCACCAGCGCTGTGGACGGATATCTGAAAAAACCACATCCCCTTTGGATCAAGTTGCTCTTGTCTGACTGTCACCTTGTGCCTCAACTTGTTCATGTCGTCACAGTCAATCAATCTAGTGCTTCACGCATGAAACCGGCTCAACACATTTTTGTCGCTCCACCGATGGACGTCTTACGGCCTCTAGATCTGTTATTAGCTCAAACACGTCAGTCACTTTCAAGTCATGCATCTGTTCTCTATCCTCTGTTTCAGGAACCACAGTCCTTTGATGAGTTTCGGAGCCAGTTTTGTGAGTTTTCTGGTGAGTTAAGATGAAGCGCCGTGCTGTTTTACTTTGTGGTCCAAATGCCGACACAAAAATGACTGTAAATTCCAGTTAAAAAGCGCTTCAGTTTCATAATGAGGTTAAAGGAATCTCCCTTGTGTTGCTGCTGGGCTCAGAGCCAGACTTCTTATTTTTTCTGGCACAAAAACAGAAGTGTGACTGACTGAAGTAATGCCTTTTCAGAAGGTGGATTCAAACACAATAGGAACAAGAGGAAGATGTCATAAAACATGAAAACCCTACCAAATAGACAACTTGGAGTTGTATGGGTGACTCATCCATAGTCGGTGCAGTACTTACAGATGTCTGCGAAAGCAAAGTAATGTCCTGCTGTGGACGGGGGCTGCAGCAAAACGTATTTTAGCCACCAAAACAGTCCAGCTGAAAAAAATCTACAACAGTTTAATTGTACCCGATATTGAGAGTTCTTTATTCATCTTTTTTTTGCCAAGGAGGCTGTAAATGGCTTCAGTTTGCCATCTATCAAAGCCACCAGACCCCATTGACAAAAACAGTCATTTTGGCTCAGTGAACACAGGAGCTCCTTATCTACCGCTGCCTCAGTTAGTTTGTTTGTTTGTGTTTTTGTGTGACTTTGGTGAATCCGAACTAACCCTTTTAAACGCCAAAAGTCATAGGATAACACAAAGAAACTGACTGATCGAGGCAGCAGTAGACCAGCAGCTCCTGCGTTCAGCAATGGTAAATCACTGTTTTCCTCAATGGAGTCTGGCTTTGAGGAGAACGATATAACAGCTCCATTTTCCCGCTGGAAATTGCCATCTGTTGGGAAGGTAAAGCAGTGAAAATATTCTCAGTATAGTGTACACTTGTTTTTTTTAGATAGATGGATAGAAGATATTTTTTGGGCATTTTTAGCCTTTATTTGACAGGACAGACAAGCGTGAAGGGGGGAGAGAGAGGGAGTGACATGCGGCAAAGGGCCACAGGCTGGAGTTGAACCCGGGCCACTGCGGCAACAGCCTTGTACATGGGGCGCCTGCTCTACCACTAAGCCACCAGCGTCCCAGTATAGTGTACACTTAAACTGATATTGATTTTTTAGGTGGCTGAAATAGGTTTTGTTGCTGCCCCCTCCACAGCAGGGCATTGTTTAGCTTTCGTCTAAGACTTTAGCCTGCTTCTACAAACTGGGGACGCTTGAAAGGACATCTACTGTAGGTTATATACTGACTTAGGATAAGTACCTTATACAACCCCACTTCAAAACTATCCCTTTAAAGCAATAGAAATACTGAGTCTCCATGTTCACCTCCTGCAGCAGCACAACATGCACAGGGCTGGTGAAGGTGAATATTGCTTCGACCAGTGTTTGTTATGATTATTAAAAACCCTCAGCCTGTCACATTACTGGTCTCATAGCTTTGAAACAGCTGCGTCACCGCTAAACATGATAAGTGATAAGTTCTGTAAAGCAAAAGCTTTACCTCAGGAAGTGTCGGGCTGATTCAGAGCGTCACGACATGAACACACGTCACCACAAATCTGCACTCAAAGACAGATGAGCTATGATTGCAATAATTCTAACGCATCTCACGCCCTACATGGTCGCATAGTTTGGTAATAATTGTTACACAACAGCATTTGCACTGCAGTGTGTTTGAAGGATTAGAGTTATAATCTCCTGTCTGATGTGTGTGGAGGAGGCCAAGCTGAAGTGTTCCTGGGTGTGTGCAGGTGGTTTCATGTTGTCTTCAGAGGGTTTTGATAAACTGATCTTAAAGACACTCACCAGCCACTTTATTAGGTACACTTGTTCAACTGCATGTTAACTCAAATAGCTAATCAGCCAATCCTGTGGCAGCAACTCAGTGCATTTGGGCATGTACCACAGTGTACCCATCTTCTGATGGCTACTTCCAGCAGGATAACACACCATGTCACAAAGCTCACATCATCTCAAACTGGTTTCTTGAACATGACAATGAGTTCACTGTACTCCAATGGCCTCCACAGTCACCAGATCTCAGTCCAATAGAGCACCTTTGAGATGTGGTGGAACGGGAGATTCACATTGTGGATGTGCAGCCGACAAATCTGCAGCAACTGTGTGATGTCATCATGTCAATATGGACCAAAATCTCTGAGGAATGTTTCCAGCACCTTGATGAATCTGTGCCACAAAGAATTAAGTCAGTTCTGAAGGCAAAAGGGGTCCACCCTGGCACTAGCAAGGTGTACTTAATAAAGTGGCCAGTGAGTGTATATGGAAGAGAAATACAGGACTCCTGACTGCTTAAGTTTGTTTGTATGAAATCTGAAAACTAAGAAGATTACAGTTTGGTTTTGTTTCCCTGTTTTCTGGACTCCAGGGTTCAATCCAGGATTAGACATGTTGCCTTACTTATAAGAGCTGTGGCTCACCAGCTTTCATTTAGTACGTAACATGGTTATTTGACTTTCTACCGCTCTTTCAGAACGCCATGATGACATTTGAGGAGGAGAAAATGCAGATGGCCTTTGAGGACCTCAAAGCTACAGAGAGACTGTGTGAGAGTGAAAACACTGGAGTCATTGAGACCATTAAAAACAAGATCAAGAGGAGTGTGAGTAACCTCTGCAACATTTAATTGAATGTATGTGATATGTATAGAACAAATGTAATTAGTCTGAAAAGGAGCATTTTATGTTTGCTGTTTGTTAGCTTGCATGTCACATGAGTTTATGTGTGAGGTGTTTGTGTGGGCAGATGGACTCCCAGAGGTCGGGGGTGGCCGCAGTGGACCGACTCCAGAGGCAGATCATCATCGCAGACTGCCAGGTTTACCTTGCAGTGCTGTCTTTCATCAAACAAGAGCTGTCGTGTAAGAGAACCTTTAGTAGACTGCACATTTATTGATGTGGAATGAAAATACAGATCGTAGCAGTTCTGAATATTTAGTTTTAATATTAACAGATGCATATTTGTTTTTTTAAATATCAGTAGTCCAGTGCAGAGGATAGCATGATTCATTGACCTCCACTTTAATCTCCTAACAGCGTACATCAAAGGAGGCTGGATCCTCCGCAAAGCTTGGAAGATGTACAACAAATGCTACAGCGACATCACACACCTGCAGGAGGGCAGCAGAAGACGAGCCTCCGAACAGCAAGCACTGCCGCCTCCGTCTCTGTCCTCTGACAAGTCCGAGCACAGCCGCTCCTCTTCGCCCGGGCCGAGCCCATCCCTGAGACTAGACGGCATCAACCCCGAGGCGCTGGATCGACTAAAAGGTTCGGTCAGCTTCGGTTACGGCCTCTTCCACCTCTGCATCTCCATGGTGCCGCCGCACCTCCTGAAGATCGTCAACCTGCTGGGCTTCCCTGGCGACCGCCTTCAGGGCCTGTCAGCGCTCACGTACGCCAGTGAAAGTAAGGACATGAAGGCCCCCTTAGCTACGTGAGTATGTGAGTGAGTATGTGTGTCTGTACTCTGGCCGATACTGAAACATGATCTAACTCATTCAGTTGGAAACAATACGATGAAGTAATGGAGGCATCATTTGTGAAGGAAAGAAAAGAAATGTTATCTCCTGAGATGAATTACTGTCTTGTGTTGGTGGCTACAATGAATCATAGCAATAATTTAATTTACTGCATGGACCAAATATATAATAAAAACAGAATCAATGAAATGCATAACATAAAAACCTTCCTGTGAACAGCTTTAATAACAGACTGATGGCAGGCCCTGCAGCAAAAGTTGTCCCATCATGCTTAAATAATGAATCATTTTAAACTGTGTTTTATTCCTAGAATATGCAGGCAGTTATGGCCCTTATTCACCAGCCATTGAGATTTTTCTTTTCCTAAAACCCACCCGCAGTTTCCACAAAAATTCTGACATGCACCGATTTTGCTTATTCCGGATTTGGTCTTAGATAATTGCATGATCTACTGTAAGCACACTCAAGAGCACGCTTACTTACAATTTTGTGCTGAGGCTGAAAGAAAAACAAAAGTTAATCATAAAATAAATGCAGCATTGGTGACAAAAATGATATTTAGCTTAGCATTTGTAGACATACGCAACATTTCGAGGGGTGTAAATCACAAGTTTCATTAAAATACATTGATTTTATTTAGACATCACTGTGCTCATACTACAGTGTTTGCCATCAGTAATTTATCTACATTCCCAGTATGTTTTCAAATTAAATAATTGTCACCCTATTCATATAACAGTAAGAGACAATGCTGAATGTAGGAGGAACAAAAAGAGTGCTACTGATGTTTGTTAGATCCTTCCAGTGCCCACGCTCGATGTAGAGAACACCATCTCACGCCAGTGTGTGGCGTCCGACTTTCACAGAAAAGAACAGCCGCGTCAGCCGGCGTCCTGCCAGGACCCCCGAGTTGTGCAGAGGTGCGAGGGCCCGATCATCGCTGCTTTCAGTTTTAATTGGTTATTGTGTTTTCCTCAATTCAATCGTAGTATATAATGTAGGATTTAAATTACAATAATATTTTAATAATTTCAAATATTTTAAGTAGTAATTTTGATTATTTTACAAAAAGCATTTTGGCTTAAAATTAGTGATTGATCATTGTAGAAACTACACAGGTGGTTCATGCGGCCGGGACAAAACGTGACAAAACAGCGTTCTGAGTTATTAATTAAACTTTCAGAAACATCATGTGAAAAACTCCACCTTCTCTCCATCTCTCTCTGTGTCCCAGAAACACACACACCTTGGAGAGCTCCGTGTTGCTTGTGTCTGTCCTCAGTCCTGACAGTTGTGCTATTAAAGTGCATAAAGTTGGCGGCTGCAGGACGGGTCGGGTTCGGGTGGTTGATTAGCGTCTATTTTTAGTATCCCATGGATTTTCTTATCCACTCATTGTGTAACTAAATATGACATACGTTTGGTGTTCACTCCCTGCAGAACTATTGGAATTTTTTCCCATGTTTTTAGTCCAGTGCTAAACTTTTCTTTTTCTTCTTATTGGTCCTCCTCTTCTTTAATTTCTGTGTGTGCACACGGCCCTGCAGTCTCATGCCCTTTCATGGGGTTTTGCAGGCGTATACAGTTTCAATTCAATTGTATTAATAAAGCCCAATATCACAAATCACAATTTGCCTCACAGGGCTCTACAGCACACGACATCCCTCTGTCCTTAGGACCCTCACAGCGGATAAGGAAAAACTCCCCAAAAAACATTTAACTGGGGGAAAAATGGTGGAAACCTCAGGAAGATCAACATAAAAATATTAGTCATCCATATGACAAAGTGATACATAAAGAGAGGGAGGGACAGAGAGAGAGACCAAAAAATAAATAAATCACACAACAATAAACTTTTAGAAAAGCTATATGCAGCCTATATATATATATATATATAATATATATTGACATATTTTTGTTTTTACTTTGATGTGGCACTGCAGTGCAGTTATGAAGCCTCTTGCTTTCAGATGAACCTAAAATGGAGGAAAACCTTAGTGTTTCTGTGCTGTAGACTGTTGCCGTTTGATTTATTCTACATTCCACATCTGCAGATACGCAGTGTCTCCAGTGGACCAAACTACTCCTCATCCTGCGTACTTGCAAGCTTTACAGGCCGACGTGTTTTCCTTTGATTTTTCAAGTGTCCCAGTGCAATAGCATGTGATCTATAAGGCTAAATACAACGTCCATTTAGAGGGCTGAAAAGGACCACATGTCAAAACACTCTAAAAGAACACAGGTGCGGTTTAAGAACACGTCAAGAATCTCACCTAGACTTTTCTTTCTCAACAACAAATGTGAGAAAATACTTGAGAAGATAATAGTAAATGAAGCCCCATGTCTGTACTTAACCCTGTTTTAAAATGATTAGTGATAATTTAGCTTTGTCTACCGAGTTATCTAAATGTTGATTAATATTTGTCTAAAATGTTAAAGCTGCTGTTCAGCATGTTTAATCAGCATTTGTTAAACGTGGTTAATCTCACTTCATCAAGCAGCTAAATAAAAATCATTACAAATTGTTTTAATTTCATACCAGATGGTGTCATCTCTACTCTCTGACTCATTACAGTCTGTGTGCTCCCCTCACAGCCTGGCCCTCCTGTGGTACCACACAGTAGTGCAGCCTTTCTTTGCTCTGGACGGCACAGACACACAGGCAGGCCTGATGGAAGCCAAGTCCATCCTACAACAAAGGGAGGCCATCTATCCCAACTCCTCCCTCTTCATGTTTTTCAAAGGCAGAGTCCAACGCCTCGAGGTAAATACGCGTTAAGCATAAACCTTATTATCTGCTGCTCTGTGGCCTGTTCTCCAGCCTCGGTTGGGAAAGCTCAGTATTGTCTCAGCCTGTAACTCACACCACAAAGTTCCCCTTTCTAGTGCCAGATCAGTAATGCCTTGACGTCCTTCCGTGATGCCTTAGATCTGGCCTCTGACCAGAGGGAGATTCAGCACGTGTGTTTATATGAAATAGGTACTATTTTCCCTCTCAGTTTTCAAACCACCTTGCTCAGCGCTAGTCTGCATCATAATTTCTGATTGTTGAACATTTTAGGTTGGTGCAGCATGATCGAACTGAACTACAGCGAAGCCTACAGGGCCTTTGAGCGACTGAAGACAGAGTCTCGCTGGTCCCAGTGCTACTACGCCTATTTAACTGGAGGTGGTAACACTACAAACGAATAAGGCTTCAAGGGCATTTTTCGTGAGTTTTTTTTTTTTAATCAGCTCCTAATCCATATTATATTTTTATATGTTGTGCAGTGTGCCAAGGAGCCACAGGTGATCTGGAGGGAGCTGTCAGGGTTTTTAAGGATGTTGAAAGGCTTTTCAAACGCAAAAATAATCAGATCGAGTTGTTCTCCATGAAGAGGGTGAGTGTGCATCCAGCTGGTTTTCTGTTGGGAATGTTTGGAGCAAAATGCAGTGACAATAATAATGTATGTGCTCATGTTATCAGGCTGAGAAGCTAAGGACCACCAGCCTGTCCAGAGAACTCTGCATCCTGTCTGTGATTGAGATTCTTTACCTCTGGAAAGCTCTGCCCAACTGCTCCACCGCCAAGCTGCAGACGATGACACAAGGTACTGGACTATAGCTTAGGTGAACTAGTTTGTGTTTGCTGTTGTCGTCATTGGGCGTAGCTGACTTGTGTTCTTGTCGTTGTAGTCCTGCAGGGGATTGACGATGCCTCATGTGCAGGCCTGAAAAACCTGCTTCTCGGTGCCATTAACAGATGTCTTCATAATACCAAAGATGCCATCCAGGTACTCTTTTGTCACATTAATAATACAGTCATTGTATAAGGTGTGGAGATATGAATCGCTCATCAGCTGTAGCTGTAGGATTGTTGTAAACAGTGTTCTCATCACACAACAGTCAGCACTGTAGTGATAATATCTATAACTGATCAAGTGCATCATATCTGATTTTTTTCAGTATTTCCATCTGGCCGCGAGGGATGAGGTCGGTCGTCTGAGCAACTCTTACGTGCAGCCCTACTCCTGCTATGAGCTGGGCTGTGTGCTGCTCAACACCCCAGAGGTAAGTTTATGAGTGTGTGTGACACAAAGAGAGACTGTTTCCCTGATCTGAGAATGGCGGAAAAGTCACAGTCTGAATATTTCATTGTATTTTTTTCCAGTCTGCAGGGAAGGGCAGAATGCTGATGCTTCAGGCTAAGGTACAGGAGGTTTCCTTTTTTTACTTTATGCTTCCTAAAATTTGTATTGGTTCTTATTTGCTTATAGATTGTTCATAAGCTTTAAGTAGTCGGTAGCAAGTTTTGTGACTCGGTCTCCTGTAGCAGGGTTCATTAGAAGAGCTATTAGGAGAGTGTTTGGGATTTGTCTTGTTTCCACCCTCAGTCAGTTTTTGATCAAAGTTGTGTTAACTTTTTAGGATGTGCACACTCTGACGGATCAATACACTCACTACTTGATCAGGTGATAGCCTATCCAACAAAGGTGTGGCAAGCCCAATGCTTGGCTCCCTATAAAGTCAGCCGGCTAAGTACAGTGGGTCGCGGCAGGACACTGAACTGTAGTTACAGGGGGCTGATGGTGACATACCGGCTGGAAAAATAGCAGCCAACAAACTCTACAGGCCCTGGATGTAGACTGGGTATGTGTGGTCTGAAAAGCTGCCTAAAGGGAGGCTTGTCTTCCCCTGCTCAGCCACCAGATCATGAGGCCAAGTAAAGAGCACTCCCTGAGAAGGACGTGCTCAGTAGGCTTGTGCGCCATTACTTGACTAATCAGTTAAACTCTCACCAGCTGGCTAAAGTTATTATTAAAATTCTTATTTTATGCATTTCCATCACCCTCCCAAAAAAATGTCGTTAACATTTTTAAGTGGCTCTTACTCGCAGTATTTATATATACAAGTAGTAGAGTAAATTGTGCTCAATTTTATGAGTGTTTTCTTGCATTTAGACTAGTTGACTAGTCCAAGTATGAACTTAACAGTTTAAATGTCACAGAAATTAGTTGTTGGGGAAAATCGCTAGTGTTCAGCAGCCCTGAGAGTGTGTTAACATGTCTACCTTAAAGTTGGTAACGTTTATAAAAATAGCTTTGCTGAATTTTAGCATTCACTAAAATCTATTGCTGCAACAACCAATCAGAGCCGAGGAGTCTCTAACACAGCTGTCATTCATGTTGATCGTGGCTCCAGACTGCAGCCACACTCGGCAGTGCTGATCAGAAAAGAATCAGATTTCTGTTGCCTCAAATATTTTCAGAAACATTTTTATGTGTTGAGTGTGTCTTGTAAACATACAGACTTGATTTTATTTTTCTATTTTATTTTTCTGTTGTATGTTTCTGCACGGATACAACTAAATTTAAGGATTGCATTCTCTTTGCTTACTTTTTTTTTTTTTTTTTTTGGTGTGATGTCATCTTCAAAATGGCCTCTCATTGTAACCCATAGCAGTCACCCACCTGCATTCACTTCTTAATCAGGATTGGGTGACACCCCCTACCAAGCTTATAAATGTTTCACTCGACTCTTGTCTACCCTTTTGCACCCTGATGAAGACTTTAGGGTTGAAACTGGTCGGTGTTTTAATGTAAGTAGCTGTGTTTTTTGAATTTTTAACCTAACTCAAATGCATTGTCCTGCTCCACTCCATTTCTTCCCATATTTTAGTGTGTGTTTAGCTGTCAAATGAAAAAAGTTTGCAACCTGGCCGCCATGTTGGAAAAAGTTGACCAAAGTACAGAGCATTGCCCAGTGGCTGGACCAAGTTTCTCATTTTACAGTTAAACAGTGAACTAAAATATGTTTCTGAGAACATTTCAGGTGAGAAATGTCCATTTCAGTAAGATAATCTTTATTGATATTTGGTCAGAGCTGCTGAGTTTGACAGTTTGACTGCAGTTCACAAGCAGTGATTGACATGAGTGACAGCTGCGTTAGAGTCCTCAGTTTGATTGGTTGTTTTTGATCATATGCGGTAAGGCCATTAGAAGTGCTACAAGGCAATAGTCGGTAGAGGAATCAGATTTTAAAATCAGTATCAGTAATCAGTAAAAGTAACTACAGCTTTAACGAGGGGACAAGCCAGGTGACGTTCATTTGTAGGGATGAGCACAGGTGATACTCATTCTCCTTGGAAACAATGAGTGTCTGGCTGAAGCTATGCCAGGTTCTGTCACTATGTCTGCGTGCAGCAGCCAGGTAATTGGACTTCCGCTGGTACGCTGCCCCATGTTGAGGACATCTGAAATGTTCTGCGCCTTCAGGGAGAGGCAGACCTCATACTGCCCTGTTGGTTTAGCTAAGGTGTATTTGCATTGTCTGACTTCAGCATGAAGTCATGACACAGTGAATTAGGCCATATCCCACTCACACTGAGCTGAGAGTGGCCTGCACCCAGAATATCAGCACAGTAAATAGTATCTGCATTGTCTGTGGGGCGCTGGGTGCAGCCTCACCCACCTGAATTGTGTGGATTTCTGATGCAACAGCATTGACGTTGTTAGTGGATGGGCAGCTGACATTGACAGAGCACTGATTTCACTCTCTCTGCTGTTGCTGTAACAGCCGACTGCATGCCTGAGCAGATGCAGCGCTGTCTGACAGGAGCTCAGGAGGAGCCGAGCAGTGGGCTCCCTGCTTCTTTAATGGGCATGCTGCCACATGATTGGGCAGCGAGTGCATTGATCAGTCTGAGTGCTGGCTGGAGAGACTGTTAGAGGGCAGAGCACGGACAAAATATCATTTTTATTTGATTCACTGTTGTGTGTTTTTCACGGACTGTGCAGGAGGACTACGCCGGCTATGACTTTGAGAACAGGCTCCATGTTCGCATTCATTCAGCTCTGGCCTCTATGAGAGCTGCTGCAGCACAGCCTTGACATTTCATCTGCACCTCAGAAAGAACTGGAAGAAATGTCTTTTTAAAAAGCCACAAAACCATTCAAGTCATCACTGTTATATTGTTTTAATTTATTTTCATATTCTGAGCCAGTGCATCATTTTAAAATGTGTGCAATAAACAGCAGCTGTTTTAAGGGAGAATAGTTACAGAAGGTATTATGTTACTGTATTTTAAAATAAATTAACTAATCAGGTTTTTATTGTTTACATGGCTAATCTCAAAACTAGATTCTAGTCAAATCTATACATTAATTTTGAAAAGGGTTAGTGAAATCGCTTCAGAGTTTTTCCTCTGAGTCAGGTCAAGTTATGGCACATAAACTATTAACTGACAAAGCAGTTAAAATTAATGACTCAGCCATCTCAGTGTTGGTTGTAAAGGCTTTGCTAATCCATAGGCATGAGTACCAAACAGTGATTGTTTTTTAGTGCAGCCCCCTTTTTTAAGCAGACTTGTTTTTATCTGTGTAAATATGTCTTGCACACAGGTTTTAATAGATGTGCCAACATCATGTTGAGTGGCCCTAGATACACAGTGCTACTCTTGGCTGTAAACTGGATCTCATTTATATTGTTTGTTTTAAGATAATAAAATGGGCACTGTAAAATTGTTGTTTCCAGTATACTTTGTTAGGCGTGTGATATTTGCACGTACTGCGAATGATCTTATTACAGCTAACAAATGCTAATGCTAACCCTCTTAGTCATTCCAACAGTGTAAAGGAAAAGTTCACAAAACAAAAATACATATTTTTTCTCTTATCTATGTGCTATTTATCAGTCTAGATTGTTTTTTTGAGTTGCTGAGTGTTGGAGATATTGGCTGTAGAGATGTCTGCCTTCTCTCCAATACAATGGAACTAAATGGCACTCAGCTTGTGGTGCTCCAAGTGCCAAAAAAAAAAAACCTCAACAGTAAAGTCTCTTTCCAGAAAGTGTGACTGGGTTACTCAAGATAATCTACAGACGTTTTTGTGAGCAGTTTCATGTAGGAACTTTGTTTCTACCAAACTACAGCCCCCAACTGTGAGAAACTTCTGAGTGCCTTCTGAAAAGAGACATTGCTGTTGAGTTTTCACACTTTGAGCACCACAACCGTGTGACATCTAGTCCCATTATATTTGAGAGAAGGCAGACATCTCTACAGCTGATATCTCCAACACTGCATCTCACACCAAAACAATCTAGACTGATAAATCGCACTACAGGTAAGAGGAGAAATATGTTTTTGACTTAGGGGTGAACTGTCTCTTAAAACAGTGGTTCCCAACTGGTCCAGGCACGGGGTCCAGGTCCCACACTTAAATACACTCAGCGTCATACTTGAATTTGCCCATATCGTTGAACTAGTTTGCTGTCTCTGTCAAGTAGCTGTCGGTTAGTCACTCACTCATTTCTTAATAAAAAACGTGCTGGAAATTTACTGTACTTAATAAAGTGTGGTTTTTTTTACAGACTTGCCCACAACGCACTTTTGGGCCGCCACCCACCAGTTGGGAACCACTGCCTAAAAAAGCAAACACACAGTAGTTACTCTTACGATCAGCAGATGTAGTAAGTCTACCCATAATTATAGAAATTAGATGGACAAAATATTAGAAACACCTCTCACAATGAAGACACGAAAGAAACAAGTCCTGAGCACGTCTAATTACTGCCAGGACCTGGATTTTCCTGATCCCCAGGGATCCATGGATGAATTCTGAAATAGAAGTCTGCGTAATTTGTTGGAAAATCACCAGAATATGAAAGGTCAAGACAAATTTTATGATCTGTCGCTCAGGGCGTGATAAGTAGGTCATGGCCCAGGGTAGACCAGGCAGCATTTCTAATGCCACTTGTCTTGTAACACCTTAAAGGGATAGTGTACCCAAAAATGAAAATTCAGCCATTATCTACTCACCCATATGCCGAGGGAGACTCAAGTGAAATTTTAGAGTCCTCACATCCCTTGCGGAGATCCAAGGGGAGAGGAACACAACTCCACCTAATGCAGGCTGACGGCGCCCCAGATTCAAACGTCCAAAAACACATAATTGAAACCACAAAATATCTCCATACTGCTCGTCCGTAGTGATCCAAGTGTCCTGAAGCCCCGACGTAAAAAGTTGTTTGGAAAAACGTCATTTGAACTCTGTTTTTTAGCCTCATTGTAGGCTGCAGCTCTAACTGCCTCTCTGTGCACCACGCTCACATGTGCGCGAGACCAGCAAAAGCACGGGAACACACATGAACGTGGTGCCCATGTCTCACGGTCTCGCACAAGCGCACGCACACGAGCGCGGTGTACAGAGAGGCAGTTAGAGCTACAGGAGTTCAAATGACATTTTTCCAAACAAATTTTTATGTCGGGGCTTCAGGACACTTGGATCACTACGGACGAGCAGTATGGAGATATTTTGTGGTTTCAATTATGTGTTTTTGGACGTTTGAATCTGGGGCGCCATCAGGCTCCATTAGGTGCAGTTGTGTTGCTACCCCCTCTCCCCTTGGATCTCCGCAAGGGATGTGAGGACTCTAAAATTTTACCTGAGCCTCCCTCGGCATATGGGTGAGCAGATAATGGCTGAGTTTTCATTTTTGGGTGCACTATCCCTTTAATCAGGCAGACATCCACCTTGTGTAAACGTGTTTTCTTAAAACAAAACCAACAAAGTTCAATCAACATTAAGCTTTTATTTAGCAACAATAGAAATTCCGTTTTGATACCCAAACGAGTGATAACAGAAAAACTAAACCGTATAGCAGCTATCTGCAACATTAAAGGAGTATTCAGTGCTTGATTGTGAAGGTAAGGCTTGCATAGTTATAGTGATGCACATGCAATAACTGTATAATAGTTGTATTTCAAATAGATCAGGAATATATAATCAGACTCAACTATGGCAAGACTTTTTACACACACAAATCTATAAGTGCAGAGCCAGAGTCCCTGCTTCAGTACAGTTAGAAAAAAGTGCTACTGTGTCCACAGAGTCAGGTAGACTTATGTGCAACGCTGTTAGTTTCTATACACATCTATACAGTACATAGTTTAGGGCTTAATGATGTTTTAATATTATTTAAGTTTTATTGTGGTGCTGGCCACAATTCTTGAGTGACATTTTACTTGCCAACTGTGCAGAGAAACAGCCAGACAGATTTACAGTCGATTGAAGCAGAATCTGCAAACTAGCATAATATAATCAAATACTGCACTGCATTATAGTATGCATGTTCAGGTAGAGTCAGTTTCAGAGCTAAATAAACATGTAACACATGCTCAGGATGCATCACACACTGTTTTTGTAGTGGTGTAGCCTAGTGTTTCTCTGCACTGAAGGAGAATTATGGACGAACTACCAACAACAAAACCACTGTTTCTGTTTAAACACTCCATCTATATATATAAATATTTCTAAAATACATTCTAGTTTATCCAAGACATGCCTATACCATACTTAAGTGGTCAAAAACCACAATAAATAAGCAAAAGAGAGTTTGTGCTTCATTGTTCACACACATCTATTAAGAATATATATGCCTCTGGGTTTGACTGATTTCAGACTCTTTTTTTTTTTTAGCGTGTTCTCAACCCTACCTGCTGCTGTGTACCAACTCCATGACACTGTTGCATGTGTTAGGGAGCCCTTGCAAAACGCCCCAGTACAGCAGATAAAGTCCAAAGGTGGTGAAAGTAGATATCCATGTGTTTGTTACGTGTGTGTGTGTGTCTACTTATTAGTAGATGTCAGGCAGGTGAGTGTAGTTCCTGTCCCAGTAGCCTTTCAAGTAGAGCCAGTCCTGAGCTTTGTTGTGAGGGTTGGGTCCTTGCTGAAACCACCTGCAGAGTTTTAACAACAGAAAGAGCTGTTTAATACGAGTACACAGAGATATTAAAGAATCACAGACAACAATCAACACACATTTAAAAGTATATAATATTCATGGCAAAAATGTGACTAGTTTTTCTTGTTCAACTAAATAGTTTGTTGTAGTTGTGCATTTTGTCCTGAGGAGGGCAGTGTAGTGCAGCACTTCACACCAGAGCACACAACATTAAGTAAGCAAAGCACTGAACCAAACCTTGGGCCAAGTGCAGCATTCCTTCTCAATTATAATAAAGCAGGCAGCATAGTTGATGACACAAGACAACAGGGAGGCGATTACCACAATGAATTAGCAATGGAGCAAAGACATTACATCATAGTACACGGTGACTAACCTTGTTTTCCATTCATCACTTGCTTTGCTGCGATTTTTCCGTGCCGTCCTCTGTTTTTCTTCAAGTCTCTTCTTCTCTGCACTTGCCAAATCTATTAAAGATGTGGATATAAAAATCTAAGTACCACAACAGATGGTGTAAAGGTGGTGTAAAGGGACTCAAATCCAGGTCATACATTGTACCTATATCTCCATTCTCCATGGCGCGGATGTCAGGTCTGAGGCGACAGTCTGTGGGGGGTATAACTCCCTCCATGCTCTTCTCTAGCTCATTTAGGTGCATGGCGAATGTGGAGAATGCATAGAACTGAGAGAGAGAATTAAATCCCCACAAATGTCATCAGTCACAGAGGACAAGAAGCAAAGCAGTAACGCAACACCTCATTTTAAGCTACTGTGCCTTGTCAACCAAAGTTTACAACTCGTTCTCCTTCCACCCCGCCTGTCTTTTCCTACCTTGGCTGAGTTATCTGGTCGCGGCGTTATCTTCCAGATGAGCTCGCTGCCGGGGATGACCTGCACCGTCTCAGCATCAGGTGGAGGCATCTCCTCTGGCTCCTCATCCACACTGTTCTGCAGCCACAGATACACACACGTTAAGTTTAACTTGAACCGAATGGAGGCCGACCACAGATGACTTTGAAAGCAATAATGTAACACCTATTAACCTTCTTTTCCTCTGAATTCTTCTTGTCGGTCTTTTTGTGGGCGTCAAAGGCAGCAGGGTCGACTGTGTACAGGCATTCAGTCCATTTGCCATATATTGCACAGAGCTTCTTTTTGCTGCAAACGGAGGAACAAATGTGAATCTTTAGATTTAAGATTTAGATATTTGATACATCATGACTGAGTAGTACTGTTCTGACAATACTGATGAGTAAAATATGTCGGGTTTTGGTCCAAATGTGGCTCAAATTTTAGCAGAATTTTAAGAAAATCAGCGAAAGAAAATGCAAGTTTTCCATCCACTGCTGTTCTGCGAATATTGAGACAGTAGACGGCGCAAATTCTCAGGTCAGGTCAGGTGCCACTGCAGAAGAGGGTACAATGACATGACGTAATTGAGTCAAATCTCAAACAAAGGAAAACAATGTTATATAATAATGGAGAGCACACTGAACAATGGAAACAGAGTTGTGAACAGTGATTGTCACAGCTATGCACTGTTGGAAGAGATGTAACAGCGTTGTATGCATGAGCGCATTAAAAGACATTCACAGACAGAGAGAGCGAGCCTGCAGTGGTCTATGCAAAGACTGTATGTCACCATTTATTTGCTGAATCTGTTTCCATTACACACAGTCGCATTAACTTTTTATTGATACATTAACTTTTCCACCTCCTCTAGATGTACTTTTTTTATTGTTAATATTTTAGCTTTTTTTTTTTTTTTTAAAAAGCATTTCCAAGTTGTATTATTGTTGGAGCTGCTGTTGCAAGACAAATGGATCGCTTTATGTTTTCCTCAGAGCCTAGCAACTACCAACAACACAGGATAAACGGCACTCTGGTTGTTCGACTGTCCACCATTTCTGCTACTGGGGATAGTAACGGCAAAGAACTTACATTGATAGTCTTTGGCAACTGGGGATGAGGTCAGAGGGAAAACAAATGCACTATGCTCTTCCTGTTTTTGGTAGCACAATGGTTGACGCACTTCCTTTGCACTGTAAATCACACTTTCATTTTCCCGCGAGATCGTATGCAGTGGCAGACAGAGTTGCGTAGTGAAAACAAGGCTTAAAGGGAACCGATCTAAATGTTGATCATTACTCTACAGCAGGGATACACACCTTGCATTGCCCAAGAGCCATTTTTGCAAAATGCCAGGAGGCCAAGGGCAGTGTTGGGTAAGGGTTACTTTAAAAGTAATCAAAGTACGTTACTGCGTTACTTTTTAAAAAAGTAACCAGTTACTTTCCTGCGTTACTCCCTGAGTAAAGTAACTCAAGCACTTTTAAAGTACTTTTGAGTATTCTACATTTCCTATTGGGCAATGGACCACAGGGCGCTAAGCCTACATGTTTTTGCCTCCAAAATTAAAGTTACGGACCACTTGCCCTTCACTGAGATCCAAATCTCCCATCACAGCCGTCACTTTGACCAGTAGAAACACAGAACGATCTGCTGCCGTAGACAACTGTATGACAACAACACCCCAGCGTTTTTAATATTTCCTCTAGGAATGTTACCACACAGAGTAAAAGGGGGAAATGATGGTGTGAAACAGCAGAGGCACTTTGTCAACCCGCTGAGTTAAACATTACTGTCATTAGCATCAAGCTAGCAAACAATGGTACATCCTCACGGTCGGACATAAAGTAATAACATTAACAAATAGCGGCGGGGCTTTTACTCACCACAACTGCAGAGGCTCCCAGCTTCATGTGAAACAGACTACATTATAGACGGTCCGTTTTATTAATCCCTCTGTGTGTTTATATATTTACTTTTTATCCGCTCCGTTGTCTTTTAGGGCTGCCACTAACGATTATTTTCATTGTCGACTAATCTGTCGATTATTTCTTCGATTAGTCGACTAATCATTTTATCAAAAAATGTGTTAAAATGTTGAAAAATGTCTGTCTGTCTCGCCCAAACCCCAAAATTACGTCATCTAATGTCTTGTTTCGTACTCACACCAAAGGGTTTTAGTTCACTGTCACAGGAGAGTGTGTAAAGCTGCCAATATCTGAACGTAAGAAGCTGCAGTAAGAGTATTTTGGGGTACTTTTATAGTACTTTTCTATGAAAAATGACTCAAACCGATTAGTCGACTACTAAAATAGTCACAGATTATTTTAAGTGTCGATTAGTCATCGATTAGTCGACTAATCGTGACAGCCCTATTGTCTTTATAAAGTTAATATATCGCACCGTCATTTCAAACTCAACACTTGTTTCAAATTAAAAGCCCCTTATAACCTCGGCTGAGAGAATCCCTCCATTTTCTACATAGGCTTTTATTCTGAAACATTTGTCACAACTTCCTGTGGAAGATACAGTAGCTTGACAGTTTACGTATGGCACTTCAAATGTAGCTCCTGCTCTGCTCCGTGGCTTCTTTCAGACTGATAGGTTTAACGTTATCTCCGTTATTAGAACCAAACGACAGCTGTTGCTGTTTTGGAACTGAAGGATCAAATAACGGAAGTAACTGATGTCTTGTTTGAAAATGTACTTAAGTATTTGATTACTCAAACAGCAAACTAACGTGTTAGGTTACTCTTTACTGCAAAAAGTAATCAAAGTACCCAACTCTGGCCAAGGGCCACTTAATAAGCTAACATTAACAAATAATACATAAATAATTTGCCTGGACCTCTGGGTGTATGTAGATCCTCCTCCTGGTACTTTTATTCTGGTAAACAAGCTATTTTTTGATGCCTTTTTATGCACTCTGGCACCTTACATTCAAAGTACAAACAAAATCCCTGTGTGAATTAATTTCAATTTCATTGTGAATTAGAGGATGGTCAGAGGGCCACATGGCACCCTGCTGTGGGCTAGATTTGCCTCCACAGCCATTACATGTGCAATAAATACTTAGATCTTCATGATAAGTTAAAGCAAGAACCTTTTGTGTATTGCCACTTTAAACATGAGACAAGTAATGAAATCATTGGTAATTAAATGAAGAAGATACCTTTTATCAAGGATGTATCCCTCCACTTTATGGAGCTCTTTTCCAAAGAGGCCACAGGGCTTGAACATCATGCTGCATCTCTCCCCGGTCCTGCCACAGAATGACAGACTCTTTACTGATTCTCTTTCACTGTTCTGCTTCTGCGAGCTGAGGCTTTCAAACATTAATTATCCAGCTCTTCTATTCTAATGGCAACTGTCCCAGTTCTGCTCCCATGATCAATAAGCTGAATCTCAAAGTAGATCAACACCCCACTGCAGAGCGCTGAAAAAAAAAAAAAAGATATTCATGCACTCGAGTCTCTGTGCATGCAAATGAAGTGGGCGAGAATGCACTCGCAGACAAACAGACACAGAGCAGCACAAAGAGAAGAGGATTTCTCTTACTTATGATTGATCACTTCCACGCTGCCGTACTGCTCAATCCACAGCTGGCCGACAATGATGTTGTGGACACAACAGGTGGGGTTTGTCCAGGTGTAGGCTTCATTATATCTGCAGAGGCAGAGAAGCAGAAGATGACACTTCCTCAAAGGGAACCAAATCAGACTTGCAAAGCAGTGGGACTGTGCACTCACTTGGGCAGCTCCAGTGTGATGACTCCCTTGGGTTCAGCTTCTATGCTCTTTCCCCAAAACTTGAGTTTGGGGTAGATGGAGCCATGGAAGACAAAATCCTCGTTGAGGCCCTCAGCGTGAAAGGCACTGACTGGAGGGTGATGGCTTACTTGCTCCGACAGCCACTTAAAGCCCAAATCTTCTCTGATGGGGAAAAGAACAACATGTTTTGTGTACAGGTTTGCTCGTGAAACATATTTGTGCATTTAAGGTGCTGATGAGTCCGCTGTTCTACCTGATGAGCTCATAGGTCTCTCCCAGTAGTGGGTTGAAGGGTTTCCCAGTCCTCTCCCACTGTGATGCTACAGCTGACACAGCAAATGCTGCAACACACTACAGAGCATCGACTCATTATAACAAAGTACAGGTAACTTTTTCAATATGTGATAATGATAGAGTCCTAAAATAGCTGCTGTTTTATTCAAAAAGACAGTGGTGTATAATTTTATGGAAGACTATGAAGGAACTCTACCGTAGTATTTGATTCGACGCAAATAAATAATGTAACCTTGCATGAGATGAAACAAATGAGATATCACCATTAGATTTAGCTTTGTGTCTTTTTTTTAAGAAAGTAAACTTGGGCATTGTGTTACCTTCATCCTCTCGACAGAGTCTGTTGTAGCATTGGCCTGCTGGATGAGGTAGGTGTGCTCCATGTATTCCGTTAACCGCTGGAGAAAACTCAGAGGCTCATTAAATATCACAGGCATGGCAATCTTTGACAGCTCCTGAAAGAGATGTTGGAGAAGATACAAGAAACTGTGAGGACACAAACTACTGGGGGATGGATTGTGTGTATCTCTACTCATTAGGTACAGCTCTAAAATCTAACACAACTCAACAGAGCTACATCTCATCTTTGTAAAGCACACATATGTGGTAATAAATCAATGACACGTTTCTATACAGTTAAAGTTCCCATGAAACGGCGAGCAGAGTGCTGTGTGTTTTCTGTAAAGACAGGAAGTGATGGAGGGACCTGTCTCAGTGGCTGATGGTAATATTGAGGCCAATCTGATGTCACATGCAAACAGAGGTGTCTAAGCCAGAATGGCGACAGCAAACGCCAGCTGCGCGAACAGTGCAAACATGATTACAGTGCTGACAGAGCTAACAATGCTAATGGGAGCTAGTTCACACCAACCAGGACATAATTTTTTTCTGCCTTTCGCTGCCTCTGACTGGCTTACCCTGATATTTTTACACTAACCAATCCAACTTCCTATGCCTAACCCTAACCACCCTAACCAACAAAGGCAACGAGTACTAGCCAGTCAGAGAAAGAGTAGGGCAGGTAATGCCTTTGCCATCCTAGGAAAAAGAAACTGGGCACTCGGGCAACCGAAAGAGCTAAAATCAGTGTTGAGAGTAACTATTTACAGTAGTTAAAATATGAAATAAATGTAATTGTAATCAGTTACAGTTTCTGAGAAAAAAAGTATGTAATTACATAACAATTACACATCAAAATGTTGGTGATTACAGTGGGCAACATTTGTCTATATTCGTCTATATGTAGAGTATTACATTACTTATTACATTTTTAACAGGGTAACTTGTAATCTTTAACATGTTACATTTCATCATTAACCTTCCCAACACTGTTTAAAATAATACCTAGATACCACATGCCAAGATGGTGCCTTTGCATTCTGATGTAGTTGCTCAACTGCTGCATATGCCAAAAAAAGTGTTTAGGTTCCCGGTTTAATTCCACGGTATGTGGCCAACTGACTATGCACAGTGATGTGTCTGCTGCTGGCCCCACCCCTGAGTTCCTGCTCAGCTCATAGACGTTACACTGTGACGACATCACAGATTTTTCTTTTCTTGGGGTCAGGAAAGTTTTATAATTATAAAATCTCCATGGATCAAAAATTAGAAAATAGAAAAAAAAACATAATCAACCTTGTTTGCAGTTCGAGGTGTCCTGTTGAGTTTTAGAGAAGTCTGTTTTATAAAGGTGGCCTATGGAGAAAATGCTTTTTGGCCACAGGGGATTTTTTTTTGCCGAAATACCGCAAGTGGCCTCTGGCAAAAAATTGGCTACACGGCTCATCTGCTTTCCTGGGGACCTGGGGCTGAGGGATGGGGGACTGGAGAGAGGCCTCTTCCACAATGATGCTGTCTCACCAATGTGGGTCAGGATGTCTTTTTCAGTGGTGCTAACGGAGCTAACAACGTGAATGGCAGTTCGCTCACACTCATCAGGGCAACCTAGGGGGGCCTTGAGAGAGGGTGGACATAAACTTCTGTGACGCCACCATCCCACCACTACAGGTTGGGATGCCATTATCAGTGGTAACTCTGAGAGTTTGCACAACCAAAATGATGACCAACTCGACTGCGAGCTAGTTTGTAGGTCCTGTGCGCCGAACGGTTACTGGCAGAATTTATAGTCACGGGGGAATGACGTAACAATTCCAGAAAGCGTTTTAGTTGGACACAAAAATATTATACGTCCCCGAGTGCAGGATGAGACATTAACATCTTTTATTGTTTCAGGAAATAAAATGAAAAAACTAAAATACCATTGTCATTGTTGGTCCAGAAACTAGCGCATAGTACAGTACAAGACGTGGTAAAGAAAAAAATATCTTTCTCTCAATTTTTGTCATCTTTAAATAGAATAATATCATAATTTACAAATTAATGTTCTACTTCGGTGTTTGAGATATGGATTCAATGTTTTGGTGGTGTTGCACACTGACTCCATTCTGTCTATTCTAACATTCATCTGTTTAATTTGCAACAATATTTGGCCTGACATGCACACAAACATAATGCTGTGGTTTACAATTAAAAAAAATAGATGAGGTGGAGAAAAGACATTAAGATAATTAACATAATTGAACAACCACATGACTTCACTCTTCAATGCACCTTATGGATACCCCACGTGTGACTGTATATCTTTCTGCCTGCTCAAGTGCGTATGCATGAATCATTAGCCAAATTTAATTGGGGAAAAAAACATTAATAGACATTATTAAATGTAATTAAATCCAGGCAGGGCTGAGTGAGGACTGAGATCCCTCAGGACTCAAAGACACTGATACTAATGACTATATTCCTCAAGCCACGAGTTAAGGAGGAAGTACAAAAACTAATTCATCCCAATTACCTAACTTTTGGTCTTTATTCAGCAGGAATGCTTCAAAACGATAACTCAAGTCAGCATTCAGCTTCTCCAAACAGTAAATCGAAGCACACTAAAAGGATGCGTGTGAGGAGAATAGTCTGTTCTCACCATGCCAATGCATTTTTTCAGGATACTCCAGATGCTGACATCATTCCTGGAGAACATGGGAGCCGGTAAAGATGTTCTGTGGGGCAGCAGAATAAAGAGAGAGAAACACAGTCAATGAGGAGAATTTATATTAGTGTCATGACATCAAACTACATGTAAATATAATATATTTTAAACTTCATCAATGGGAAATCAGTCGATTGTTTATTTTGTGTCTGGTTTTCAATGTACAGCAGGCAAACACTGATGCCTGAGGGCATGACACCTGGTCTCGTAAACACTCAAAATGATTTACAGCTGTAATATGGCACTGAGCACAAACCTAATACCTACAAGTAAAGCTGGACAATATGTGTGACCAAATATCTCAAAATTGATATTGCAATGACACTGTGGGACTGACTACTGGTGCTTTTACAAGATATTTAAACGATTACACTGAACAAAAATATAAACGCAACACTTTTGTTTTTGCTCCCATTTTTCATGAGCTGAACTCAAAGATCTAAAACTTTTTCTACATACACAAAAGACCATTTCCCTCAAATATTGTTCACAAATCTGTCTAAATCTGTGTTAGTCAGCACTTCTCCTTTGCCGAGATAATCCATCCCACCTCACAGGTGCGGCATATCAAGATGCTGATTAGACAGCATGAATATTGCACAGGTGTGCCTTAGGCTGGCCACAATAAAAGACCACTCTGAAATGTGCAGTTTTGCTTTATTGTGGGGGGTCTGGGGGTCAGAAAACCAGTCAGTATCTGGTGTGACCACCATTTGCCTCACGCAGTGCAACACATCTCCTTCGCATAGAGTTGATCAGGTTGTTGATTGTGGCCTGTGGAATGTTGGTCCACTCCTCTTCAATGGCTGTGCGAAGTTGCTGGATATTGGCAGGAACTGGAACACGCTGTCATATACGCCGATCCAGAGCATCCCAAACATGCTCAATGGGTGACATGTCCGGTGAGTATGCTGGCCATGCAAGAACTGGGATGTTTTCAGCTTCCAGGAATTGTGTACAGATCCTTGCAACATGGGGCCGTGCATTATCATGCTGCAACATGAGGTGATGGTCGTGGATGAATGGCACAACAATGGGCCTCAGGATCTCGTCACGGTATCTGTGTGCATTCAAAATGCCATCAATAAAATGCACCTGTGTTCCTTGTCCATAACATACACCTGCCCATACCATAACCCCACCGCCACCAGATCCACAACATTGACATCAGCAAACCGCTCACCCACACGACGGCACACACGCTGTCTGCCATCTGCCCTGAACAGTGAAAACCGGGATTCATCCGTGAAGAGAACACCTCTCCAATGTGCCAGACGCCATCGAATGTGAGCATTTGCCCACTCAAGTCGGTTACGACGACGAACTGCAGTCAGGTCGAGACCCTGATGAGGACGACAAGCATGCAGATGAGCTTCCCTGAGACGGTTTCTGACAGTTTGTGCAGAAATTCTTTGGTTATGCAAACAGATTGTTGCAGCAGCTGTCCGGGTGGCTGGTCTCAGACGATCTTGGAGGTGAACATGCTGGATGTGGAGGTCCTGGGCTGGTGTGGTTTCACGTGGTCTGAGGTTGTGAGGCCGGTTGGATGTACTGCCAAATTGTCTGAAACACCTTTGGAGACGGCTTATGGTAGCGAAATGAACATTCAATTCACGGGCAACAGCTCTGGTGGACATTCCTGCAGTCAGCATGCCAATTGCACACTCCCTCAAAACTTGTGACATCTGTGGCATTGTGCTGTGTGATAAAACTGAACATTTTAGAGTGGCCTTTTATTGTGGCCAGCCTAAGGCACACCTGTGCAATAATCATGCTGTCTAATCAGCATCCTGATATGCCACACCTGTGAGGTGGGATGGATTATCTCGGCAAAGGAGAAGTGCTCACTAACACAGATTTAGACAGATTTGTGAACAATATTTGAGGGAAATGGTCTTTTGTGTGTATAGAAAATGTTTTAAATCTTTGAGTTCAGCTCATGAAAAATGGGAGCAAAAACAAAAGTGTTGCGTTTATATTTTTGTTCAGTGTAGATGTTTGATAAATAATTTGACTAGGTGGATTAAGGCAAATAATTCTGAAACTTGCATCACTATCTTGTAATGCAGCCTTTAAAACCAGGAAGAGATATTTAACACAAAACAACATCCAAACTCTAAGACAATATCTAGTCTCATCACACTATTGATATAATACTGATATATTGCCCAGCTTCATCTACAAGTACGGGAAAACCACACATTAAAACCTTTATGTTGCCTACTGCTTGCTGAGAGCTTGTACCATTTAAAAGCTGCGGAACAGACAACATAGCTTGAACCACCATTTGGAAACAAAGTCATCCGACACCTGTAAGCTAATGAGCTTTCAGCTTGTCTGGTCAGGCCTCATGCAATACCAATGAATGAATGTACAACTCAACTTCACTGAATTATGACTGGACTTTTAACTTTTAACCTTTGCTGCTAAATCTGGTGTGTTTTGAGGCCAACTTCACCTTCCAGCCTCGCCAACAGCAGCAGTGTGGACTGTGACAGGTATACCGGCAGAAGGCAGATGGTGTCCTTGTTTAAAATTGAGTGCTGAAGCAACTACACAAATAAAAGCCATTACTTCAGCTAAATAAACAGAGAGGTAGGAGGTGGGGTTGGGGGGGGGGGGGGTTGCTCCATCTGTAGGATGAGCAGCAGTGATGCATGGCACACTACATTTCTGGCCTAGTTTGTGCTCCATCAGGCTCAGCCCCAAAATTATTTTTCACACAAAGGATGTCTTTCACTGGACTGAAACGTGATAATAGGCAATATATAAATGTTATATTGATATCGATATGAGACTAGATATCATCTTAGATTTTAAATATCGTATGCGTTGTTTCCCTGGTTTTAAAGGCTACTTTAAAGTTATGTCATTTTCTGGACTTACCAGACTGTTCTAGCTGTTCTAATATTTCATTTGTATCCGTTACACTACTGTGAATGTCTGAAGATTCATGGGACTTGTAGTTGTTGAGCACAAAAATCACACTTTAGAAGAAATGCTCCAATTTTAACGACAAAGTTCATCCATTTAGCTTAAAATATGGAAAGGAATCCTCAACACTTTTTTCCAAAATACAAACTGCATTGTTCAGCAAATGATACTGAAACACAAGCTAAAATCGATACCTTTAAGCATGTTGTTCTTGCAGCCAACACACCAGAGACTTTATGGTACGGAGCAGTTACAGAAATGTAGAGTCAGAGAAATGTTAAACAACTAGACTGAGGCCCATCTACAGGCAACCACGGACAGACGTATCTTTGAATGACAGGAGTAATTCCAAATAAACAGACACCTCATAAATCTTTAATGCACCACACACACACACACACACACACACACACACACGAGCCTACACATATGCACACAGAGCTAGCCAGTCAGCCAGTCCCCTTTCCTCCAACTCATACTTTGAGCCAGCACATGCTGAATTATTCATGGATCACTTGTTGGATTATGGAAGAGAAGCCGAGCCAGAATCGGCATCCACGGAAATTAAAGAGATTTTCAACTCTTCACAATAATAATAAAAAAAAAAAATCCCTCACAAACACAGAGCGCTACGTTGATTATTCGCTTGGAGACTTGGATCTTTCAGGGAAAACAAAACAGGCTATTCTCTATGGATTGGGTGCTCAAACAAAAAACACCTGACTACAGATACAAACCGGAGTGGAAAGGTGGTATCCGATTACACCGACGCTGCCTTCACTGGCCTATCCTCTTGCTGATTGAGGTTTGTAAACTGTCATCAGGCACCAACACTGATATCTATTTTAGTTGCTCAGCAATGTAAAGCTAAATACTACTGAATTCTGCAACCAGCTGTGATAATTATCATAAATGTATCCGTGCACATGATAAACAGTGAATAGGTTGTCTGACGAGCACTCAGTATAGCTGACATTACATTTCCACTCGTCCCTTTTCCATCGTTTAAGCCAGTAAACAAGCATGACATCATAACTGGAGCATGTCCCACCTGTGCTTCTTGACTCCATTGTGCTGGGCGGGTTGGTTGCCATGGTTACCTTCCCCTGACATTCCGGCAGGCCCCCTGAGTGCACTGGGATGGCGGAGGCTGCTGAGAAGGGGGGTGTCTCTCCCCTCGTCCTCTTCACAGGAGTGACTGGCCACGGACAGGAAGCCGCTCACCGAGAGCTCCGACTCCGACTCTGTGGGATGATGAGAGGGGGCAGATGCCAGGTCATGCCAAACGCTCGCACACGCATGCACATACGGGTTCAAGTGGCCAGGCTCAGAACGCTGCAGCCTGAAGAGCGCACTGTCCGCAAATAAGCACTCGTGCTCGAGTTCCTCTCCCACTTCCCCCTCCCTGCTGCCTGCCAAACCCCACCTGAGGATTGTGTTCCACTGAGAGGCCACACAGAGGCTTCATTTCCTCTAACATTGTTTGCTCTATGCTCGCTGGATGCTACTCCTCCCCTGTCAGTGACCATACAAGTACTGTCACATACTGTTCACAACAGGATTGGAGAATAATGTGTGTACAGTATGGCACTAGCTATATGCGAGTCACTAAAGCTCACTTTCACTTGCATCCTGAAAAATGCATCACATGTAGAATTTTCATGGTGGCAGCAGATACAACATGGCTTCATAAACATCCTCTGCACAACCAAAAACATGTGATTGGGTTTTACACTCTCACCTCGGCATGTTAAAAGTCTCATGTGTATGCGGAGCACAGTTTAGAGTCTGTGGGCAGAGTGTCTCCAGCTGGCAGATAACTCAGGGCTATCTATGAATTATGCAGTGATTCCTGAGACAGATTGGCCCATAGTGCGCAAACATGTTGTAGAAGGAAGTCTTGTGTAAATAATCACAATAGTGAAGCTTTTGGCTACACAGAGAGGCAAACTTTGTATGACTCAATTAACCACAGACATGTTGCTAATGGATGCCTGTATGTTATCAACGTACAGAGCAGTGAACACTGTCAAATAATTTATTTCAACTACTGATCAACTGTACTTGAAGCAGTAACAGCATCAGGCTGATCACTATCTCATTACCCTTCAGTATAAGACAAGAAGACATTGGCAGCACTGTCTGCGCAATCTCAGAGACAGACAGAGAGCCAAAGGAGTGTCACCGTGTATACACACACACCCACTCACACACAAACACACACAGAGTAAAGCTGTATTTTTTAACCATGCTAATTATTCTATCACTGAAGTGAGAACTGGAAACTGTGAAGCAGTTACATATCAGGACAACATGCAGTGCTGGAGGCGTTTGTTCCGACACAAATAAGTTAATAAAGGTTACAATTGTTCTGAAGTCGCCCTGTAGAGCTTTCTTGCAAACAATCAAAGTTAAGTTTACATTCATTGTTACTGGAGATACATTGTTTATCCCTGAGGCCTGCGAACTTGTTAAATGCCTTCCTCATACACCATTTGGAACGATGATGTTTTAATGTTTAACATTGTGTGTTGTTTACATCCATGTTTGCAAGCTTGTACTTCTTCTTCCCTGCCCTGCTTCTTTGCACTTTACTGCCAAACTATCGAGCGTTGTCATAATAGTGTGAAACCAACAGCAGGAATATGTAAAGCCAGTATACTCGTGCATATGGACGATGCAAACAAAGCTAGAAGCAATGCTCCATAGTGCTACCAGAGGGCAAAAACTCTACGATACATTTAAAAAACTCGGCATGCAGCTCAATGAACAATGCACTTAAAAGCTAACCAGTGTTTTTCAACCTGGACTCTGTTTTCCCACGTTTTTGTGTCTAAGAGACTAATGGAGACAACAATTTTTGAAAATGGTTGAGAGAGCACTGCAGCTGGTCGAGGCAAAACAGACTGCAGTGTAACAATGGGCAATTGTACATCGTCAGTTTACATCCACTATAAGTGCTTGTTTTTGCCACTGACAGGCTCAGTGTCTGACAGCCAGTGGTGGATAGTAACAAGGTAAATTTACCTGAGTACTGTACTTAAGTACATTTTTGAGTACCCCACTACATTTGAAGGACAAATATTGTACTTTTTACTCCGCTACATTTGAGTCTCAGTCTCTCTCTCAGTCTCTCTCTCTGTCTCTCTCTCTCTGTCTCTCTCTCTCTGTCTCTCTCTCTCTGTCTCTCTCTCTCTCTCTGTCTCTCTCTCTGTCTCTCTCTCTGTCTCTCTCTCTGTCTCTCTCTCTCTCTCTGCTAAATTCTGATACCAGAGAAAATAAACTGTTTCTGCTGATTCGCGTATGGTTTGCCTTAGCCGTATTGCTGTACCTGTACTACGTCATGCTTAAAACTTAACTTTGGCGGTTCACATCCACATCATGCGATAGCGGTGTCGATTGCTTCAGCAGCGATGGAGGAAGAAACCGATGGAGAAACTGTCCCCGGCCCCAAGCATCCATGGCCGTATCTCAAGCCCATGTTCGAGGTTTTTGATACGAAGAATGATTCGTATCAGTTCGGGGGTTTTTTTTTGTTATTACAAGCAAAAAAAAAAAATCTAGCAGATTCTTCTACTTATAAAATTTGCTTGAAACAATATGAAAATTGTCTAAAAACAAGTTACTTTTTAGGTGATGTGTCTTATTTTAAGTGTAGTGAGATTTGTTTTGACTAGAAATGAGACATTTTGACTAGAAATTAGACAAATATTCTTGGTAAGATTTTGAGTTTTTGCAGTGTCGACTGCATGACTTCATGATGTGTTCAAATGTAACTACAAGAAAAGGAAATTTTGGTTTTTGTGTTTTCTTGGCAATATGAAGCAATTTCATTTGTTGATGAATGCAGCTGAGTTTGTGTTCTGAGGCTTCTTGCCTTTTTGAGCCATAAACATTTCTGTAGCAGAATCGCGTCAGAATGACAATAAAGCTACTTTCCTTTCCTGTATTTCCTGAGATTTTTTTTAAGTAGGCTACTTTTACTTAAGTAATTTTTAAGCAAATACTTTAGTACTTTTACTTAAATAATATTTTGACTAAGCTACTTTTACTTGTATTGGAGTAATATTTTACAAGGAGTATCTGTACTTTTACTCAAGTAGTGAAGTTGTGTACTCTGTCCACCTCTGCTGACAGCATTATGGAAAGGGCCCTACAGAGATAGATTTTTTTGTCAAAAAGTAAGGGTTTGGTTCAGTTCAGTTCAATTAAACTCAAGTTCGTTTGCCCCCTAAGTGCGGTTCATTTGGGCACGTGTGAACACAGCAATTGCACTCAGATGTGCACCAAAACAACTGAACCAAGACCTTCTTGAAGAGGTGGTCTTGGTCTGGCTGTAAACAAACTGGTGCGGTTCGAACGTGTTCCGACCTGGATCTGAAGCAACTCCAGTCACATGACACATTGTTTGGGTTAAACATGAGCATGTTACAGTCCTGGAGGATTATTAATGTGCACCTCCTCCTGTACTGCCTTAATATGCACATTCAGCACATCCAATGCATCAAAACATTGTTTTCTAGTTGGAGCCGCGCCTCGTTTTCAAACTGTATGGTTTGACTAAAATGAACAATGACAGCAATATAGTCCACAATGAGCAGCGCTAAAATCAACCTGCGTAATTGTCCCTCCATTGTGACATTAGAAAGTGTCACATTTATCTTGCAAGTGTACTCTTCTTCAACATTTTGTTTACTTCCTGGATTTTTCCCACATGGAAATTCTGACCAATCAAGAGCAGCTTTCTCACAGAAGGCATTTTATCTGGTCCATAAATGCTGCCGTGAGAACACGAACCAACTCTAGATAATTATACAACAAAATTATTCCCTGATTCAGACCAAAGGAGACAACTCTAGGTCTGAAAGCACCCTTAGATCCTTTTTTGTTTAACCAGAAACAGCCAAGAAACCACCATCACCAAACCCACCGGACTCCATTTTACCAGTGTAAAACATACTTCATTTAAAGTAAACAAAATCCCAATCTCCCATCCCATCTCAATACTAGATCAATTTTGAAAAGTCTTGTTCCCATTAGTCACTTAGGCACAAAAACATGGTAAAATAGGATCCAGGTTGAAAAATATCAAAGTTACCTTTAAAGTCAATATTACTTTAAGTGCAACATCAGTAAAAGTAGGAAATAACCAGGGAAGAAAAGGCTTCAGATGATGCTTGAGATTAAATTCATCTAATTGATGACCTAGCCACGACACGGTATGAGGAACAATTTGTAGTTTACTGATCTGCTGTAACCCCTGTAGGATATTAACTTCTTGATTACTTCACTAACTGTCCCCCTTGAGGCTGCTGACCTGACAAAGCATCATAGAAGTCGTCTCCAGTGAGGGTACTGAGGGTCGACGACCTCCTAATCTTACACAGGGACTGCTTGAGGTTGTGGTGCTCAGTTGCCAATGTCTGCAGAGCCTCAGTCAGAGCTTTGTTCTTCTCCACCTCCTGCTCTAACTTCAGGCTCCACACCTGCAAACACAGGACCACCACAGAAATAAAACACACACTAGAGACAAAGTAAAGTAAATAAAAGAATATGCTCATGTACTTTGATCCAATGTACAGACAGAATGGAAAATCTGGCAAATTTGAGATTTACTGATGGTTTGACTGATATGAAGGTATTGATCTGCTTCTGTAGCTGCCACAGTGTGTGCGTCTTTGTGGTTCTGATGGCAGGTCATTGTTCTAACCCTGCCCACATATCTGGTTTCCTCCAGTCGGAACCAAACACCCCAGTCTTTGACAGCTCTGTAGCCCAGGATTGAGTGTCTCTACAGGGCAACCTGAGCCAGGCCACTGTGGAACAGACCAGATCAGTGTTTCCTATTGTCTAACACTGTCTTTGTGCGTCATTTACTGACCAAAAAGAAGACAGGCAACTTCACAAAAATCCACAGATACTAACAAAAATAACGTGGAATAAGATAATGGCCATCTTTCTTAAAAAATGAAAACTATCATATAACTTTTATGAATTTAATGCATTTTCAGAAATTATAAACAGACAAGAAAAATCATTCACAATCACAAAGCAAACAAAGTGCACTGAGAAAATAATGCTGCTCATAAAAATGGAGCCTAGCCTGCCCTGTTAAAAACCCTTCCAGAGTCACCTTGAGGAAGGCAGCGGAGAGAAACAGGAGCTTGTAAATCACACTGTAAATCTGAGACTGCAAAGCAGGACCATCGTCTTCTATTGAAGAAGAAAAGTTCATCCTCATCTCTGATACTGCCTGAAGTGTTATCAGCTGTGTGCACAGCCATGCACAAAGAAACACCTGTCAACGCATCTGCTGATGTGCTCAAGGTTGGTTATAAATTGTGCCTGTGTACCAGGTTGGACCCCTTTTTCCTTCAGAGCAGCCTTAATTCTTGGTGTCATAGATTCAACAAGGTGCTGGAAACATTCCTCAGAGATTTTGGCCCATATTGACACTATGACATCACACAGTTGCTGCAGATTTGTCAGCTGCACATCCATGAAGTGAATCTCCTGTTCCACCACATCCCAAAGGTGCTCTATTGGACTGAGATCTGGTGACTGTGGAGGCCATTGGAGTACAGTGAACTCATTGTCATGTTCAAGAAACCAGTTTGAGATGATTTGAGCTTTGTGACATGGTGCGTTATCCTGCTGGAAGTAGCCATCAGAAGATGGGTACACTGTGGTCATAAAGGGATGGACACGGTCAGCAACAATACTCAGGTAGGCTGTGGTGTTTAAACCATGCTCAGTTGGTACTAAG